AAATACTTGTTGCAAATAAGCAGTGCACCCGAGGAGCAACTATGCAAAGACGTAAAGAAGTTACCCGATGCAGTGAGTTAATTTTCTGAGAGTTCATAGTAAAGAGTCCACAACCAAAACGGGAAATGTGGCTTCAGTTGGGTTTTGGATCCGTTCAGTTTGCTCTATCTTGGACTTTTTTTTCTCCTTCCTTTCAATGGTTCCAGGAACAACCAACTATCTTGTTACAATAATGAAACAAGCATCATTAATTCATAACAGAGGCACGTCTCGTTCAGAAATGGTCAATTTCAGTCATACTTGGAGCTGTGTGTGGAAACACAAGGAATGTGCCTTTAGGGTTGAATGATTCAACATGACACTCAGAGGCCAAGTTTCCCAGGCAGTGTGGCTCCTTAGACCATATTTTTTGTTGGCGACTGACTCCTGGGTCGCTCTCAAAGCCATTCATGACTAATGTCATGGGCTTTTTTTTTTTTTTTTTTTTTTTTTTTTTTTAAGGACCATTGACAACTTTAACATTGCTACATTTATATTGTCTCAAATATTTTAGGAACCCTCCCGAAACATTTTATTGGCAAAAATGTTTTAGAGTGCTAAAGAGCCAGATAAAAAATATGCGTCCTCCCCAAACCGGGCCTTCCTTCTCTTTTTATAAAAAGCGATAACATAGTAGGCAAAGGCATTTAAAAAAAAAAAAAAATGTAGGGGTGTCACAGGTTGCGTGTTTTTAACAATCTACAATTATACTTTTTAAATATGTTTTTCTACGACGATTGCAAATGCACTGCTGACTTCGAGATATAAAGAATCTGAGCCCGGTGGTGTTTGTGACAAAGCATCGGCTGTCTCCTGGTTTTGTTTTTTTTGTTTGTCTTTTTTAACCCTCAGCAATGCAGTACCTGGCAGCTGCACTAAGGGCATTGAGAGCTGTGGGGATAACTAAAAAAATCAGCAAAAGCTTGAACAAAAAATATTTTTTTGGTGTTGATTAATTTTTTGGATTTTGAGAGAGCAGTTGTCTAGTGATCGAGAAGCTTGGGTTATCTCTCGTATCGCTTGCCGAAGTCTGCAACACGTCGTCTTCCTCATAGCCTCTTTAAAAGGAGCTTTAGACCCACCAAGCAGAAAATCTCACAAAGAAGAAACTCGAAACTGAAAAGCGACGCGTCATCTGCACGCAGAGTAAGGATACGTTTTGGCAGGCGTGCGCAGCCGTGACGTAGAGACGGTGTGAAGGTTGAACAACACTCCCGGTTTCACGTCATCCGAGAAGCTAAGGAGTGCACCATTTCACCTTCTACCGTCAAATACCACGGAAGCACCCTCTTCGCCCAAGTGCCCACTATTAACCTTTCCCAAATCTAAGAATGCCGCAGATAATGTGTTAAATGCCCCCATTTGACTGAACAAGCGCCAGTGTCTAGATTACTCCAGTTTTCTGCAAAAGTTGGTTGAGCACTCTCCCCGGCATTTTACAGTACGTCATTGATCAGGGCGCAGGTTCTGGCCTTTGAAAATTATTATTTCATGTCGCAGATGTGCTGCTCCCAAGCTCAGCATTTTTATTGTGATGCCCAGAGACGTTTTCCAGCGATTTGCGACAATACAAAAGAAGTATTGACGTCGGGTTCTGTCAGGTTGAAGAGAGCTTATCTATTGTTGTGGTTGTTTTTTGCACAACGGTTGCTAACTTTTTTCTCCTTTGTTAAGCCTACGAGCTGAAGTGTCCTTTGTTAATCACTCGAGCTCATAGAAACTCAGATTTTTTCAAAATTGCGGACGATACTAGGAATTACTTATTGTATTGGAAACCGCTTATTGATGTATAAAAATAATTGTAAAGGGTCGATCGCGCAAGTGTTACCCCCCACACATGGGTTGGAATAACACAGTTAGTGCTGGTCGCTCAGTAATTTCGTCTTTTAAAATGTTTGAGAGAAATAAAAATATTTGGTTTCTGAAAAATATAAAACGCGGAAAATGTGGGAACTGTAAAGTATGCAAGTACACATATTGCGGTTTGACTAGTTAAACAATAACGCCAGCATAAAAAAAAAAAGTGTTACGCTTTAAATGATTGGACAGTTTCCATAACCTTCCAGGATGGTTTCCAAACCCTACTGCGCAGGAAAAGGGCATATGTTTGAAGCTCACGTCATCATGGAAACAGGTCGTGGGTTCGGACCGCAACCTAAATGCGCACCTCTTTTTCCACTATCTTTTATATATTTGTGCAGAAACGCGATTGAGGCAAGACTATCAAAGCAGGGAAGTGGTCATTAGAGTATGTTATGGCATCATTGCGAGTTTTCTCATAGTTAGTCAGTCCATGGTGTACAGGTCTCTCCCACGTTTAATTATAGTGAGGCTGCAGGTCTCCTATGAATGCATGTTTTTTTTTTTAAATAAATAAGTTGCCTACGTGTTTACTTGCGCCAAAGTGTAATGAAGTTACTAATACTATGGTGCCTTGAAGACATCTCTGACTGGCGTGTTTAGCGTCCCATTCCACCCATGCATAGAAAATGGTCCCCAAGTACCATCAAATGTCGTCCGAAAAGCTGGAGTGTCACGCTGTGGGATGTCGTAATCTTGGCAGTCGTAGAAGTTCCTGCAGAAGGCTCGAAACACACCTAAGCACTTCTTACGAGTTGTGAATGAAAAAGCATGAATGTCGTTGTTCGCGTCGCGTTCGCATTTGATCCTCTCGGCGCCGCGGCCTCTAGCAGAAACGGCCGAGGCGCCAGAGGATCAGTGGGTGCCTCGGCCGTTTCTGCTCCGGTGGGGGCACGCAGCGCCATAGGGTGGTGCCAAATGAAACTGACGCGTAGCGGCTTCATATCATTGCCGTTTTGCGTGGCTTTCTGCGTGGTTTTAAAGCTGGGATGCCTCAGATCGCGGCTTCGGGAATTTATCTGCCGTGTGCTTAATGCTTTCACATTAAAAAGCACGAGTGTCGTCGCGGCGTCCCAACTCCCAGCTGCCAAAGCTACCGCGGACTGTGGAGCTGGAGGGCGACACCGCTAAGATCGCGGCCAGGAACAGCGTGACACCTTGTATGCCGTCATTAAGCGGAAATCGAGGGACCGCTTTTTTTTCTGGACCTGGTAAACACAGCAGTGGGGGACGCATTCCAGGCACCTTACTAACAGTAGGGCCAAGTTCTGTAGCCGCCTCGGTGACTCTGCCGAGGCAAAGCGCTGGCCTAGGAATTCCCCATGTGGCGGGTTCGAATCCCGACCGAGGTGTCCGCAATCTGACGGAGGCTCGTTGCGGAGAAGGGACCGTGTAAACGAGATTTCAGTTGCACGTCAAAAGATCCCCAGGCGGTCCAAATTGATCCTCAGTTCTCCGCCGGGGCATGCCAGATGCCCTTTGCTGGTTTGACGCATAAAACCTCCAAGTTTGACTTTGAGCCAAGCTCTTGCGAGTGTGTCCGAGCACACATGCTCGCAGAAAGTTGCCAAGTTGCATTCCATTCACTTTCTAGATATTCCAGAACATTGAGGCGCGCCACGGTTGCTGACCACCAGCTCGGGTGCCAATGCACAAAAGGTTGTTGGCACTGTTCTGCTTTGATGCAACACTCCTTTTGAGGCAGTGCCAAAATGTGACACTGTGAAAGTGCAGTTTTGTCAACGATTTTTAAAGGCAACCGTAATGAAGCTAAGGTACGGGTTACTTTTTTTAAAGTAGAATTTTCAATGGAGGCTAACAGAAAGTATGGCCGTCGGTCAAAATTCAAACCTTCACCCAACCTGACCCAGTGGCCTAGTGCTTTGCTAGTTCTGCAATGACCATTTTCACTCTTTCTGCAATATGCAGTGTATGTAAGCTAGTTGCTCATAAAGGATATTAAATTAACAAAAAGTTAGGGTGCAAACTAGCTGGTGATGATTGAACATAATTGAAGACAAAACCCAGAGACTGGGGAAAAACAACACAACGCACAAAATTGAAAAAAAAACAAAAAAACTGTGTGTTTTGTCATCTTTCGTTTTGGAACATATGAAACAACCAATGCAAAAAAAAAACTGCGAGCACATGTGTAGACATGATGTCAGCATTACGCACAATGCAGACGCTCGTCTCTTACAAATGAACAGTCTCGCCGTAGGTCTGCTTCGGAATGACATAGTTGCCTTTTTGTGCCATTATCGCTCGCTTGTAACAGCTTGTGGAACAATTCTGTGATAGTCCCCTTCCAGATTTAACAGGTATTACACGGCCACACTTCGTGTAAGTTCCAATCTGCATGTGTGATGACTGCCGGCTGTGTCGAGGCATACATTGAAGGGCTGCAGGAGGCCCTTCGACTTCGAGCACATTTAACCCATTGACGGTCGTCGTTGTACATGTGCAGCGGTGATTGCACATTTGAAAGTGCCCGCCTAAACACGAAATTTTGCATACCGCGGGAGGTGTTAGTATTTGTTATGTCTTTGGTGAACTATAATGTTGTAGTCATACATTTTTTCGCACTGCTAGGATATTTATAGCTTTAAAATTATACGCCTTGCGCATGTAATGCTCACTTCGCATACCAACTGCTCTGGCGTTAGTGCCAAGGGGAGCACTCGCTCTTCCAATTCAGGCTTCCAACGCTTTTCGCAATTAAATTTAGAGAATGCGAGCTCATCATCCGATGTAGAATTTCTGTAAAGTACCTCCGGTTAGCAATCTGAAGCCGCTGGAATGTTGCGGAAGTGAATGCGCCAAAAAAAACAGAATGAAAGAAAGGTGACAACTTTTCGCCTTCAATATTTAACGTGTTGGTTCTAAACCAAAACAGCTTGTAAGCACCGTACATGCTCAAAGCTGCGCATTGACCCTTTTTTGTATTATTCCTTTCCGAACAAAACCGGACTACTGGGAAACCTCTTGGGGAAAAATACTTGACCTTCAAAGGGTTTACAATCACGAAGTGTTCTAGCTCCTCCGTCGGTCGGCGACGGAGCGTGGCAGTGAAGCACGGCCTCTGCCGCTCGCCGTTGCAGGCTGTCACGCAGCGCCAGCGAATCTCCCGAGGCCACCGGCGGGTCGCAGTCGGGGCTCGCCGAGCTGGCGCCTTTCTCCAGGTTTGCGGAGAAGAAGCGCCAGCATGCGGAGAAGAGGACCAAGACTCTGCGCAACATCATGCGCAGGGCCAACACAGTGAAAGGTACGACACAGAGGAACGGATGCATACCAGTGAACCCTTTGAACTGGATAGTGGCTCACGCTACTGGGCCGGTGTCCTCTCTGCAGCACCACCTCACGAGTGCTGCGTCAGCATTCGTCGGATACTCGTGTCCAATCCGTGCCTTTCGTTCACCTGTTTTTTTTGGTGACTGAAAATTCAGCATTAAGACCTTGCCATCTAGATGTTGGTCATGCACGATTTTGTCTGCATCCAACTAGTGCGGCAACTGAATCTATGCCATAGCGTAATCCAGACTGCCTAAAGCAGCCAAAGGTGTTTTTAAAAGGCGTGCGTCTCTCCTTGTTTTTTTTTTTTATGGAAGGACGATTCAATTATTTTGGGGGGATCAGTCGAGGGGGACATTGTGACAGCCGATAGTGGAAGAGCAGGTGCTTTCTGCTGCTTAGAAGTTCTGTTGGCCTGCCACTTTTTTTTTTGTGACAGCAGTATGTAATTGCCTCATAGAAATTTTTTAAATAGTAATCGCTTTGTAGTATATAAATATTTTGTATATTTTAATTTTCTAATAGATGCCTAAAAGAATCCTGACAGAAAAAAAAAAAATTAAAATTGGTGAACCAGTCTGGCAATTTTGCATTTTTTTCTGAATCTTTGATTTGGCAAAAGTGTGGCCTATCCCTAGGATGCGATGTACGGGTCAAAAAATTGTCTGAGAGAAGTGGCGTTTTTCCAGCTATCTGAAGCCCCCCAACTGCACATGCTGCGAGGCATACGTGCCTCGCAGCATGTGCAACCTTTGGGAAGTATGTCTGCCCTTCAACTGTCCTTTGACGGTAGTATTTTGGTCTGCCCTTCTACTACTACGTCTGCAGCTGTCCTTCATAGAGAGCACACATTGAGGCGTTCTTAGCGACGTAGAACTAACCTCTCCCAGGAGCTTGAAGCTTCATCGTTTTTTACACGTGCAGTTATAAGCGAGTTGACTAACCGAGGCAAGAGTATCGCTGAGAATCTACCCCTCTTTGCAAGAGCAGTCGATCCGAAATATTGATATCCGTTTGTTGCTCCCGACAGCTGGCATGCCTCCCTCCTTACTCATTCCCCCGACACCTCCTCCAGCTGCTCTATTGCGCGAGAAAGACCGCGGTTGGTACATGCGCCTGCGAGGTGTGCGGCCATTGTCTGGTCTCGCTCTGTTCTCAAGCTTCCTCTCTAGTCGGCGGCTGTTGCGGGCACAAAGTGTCTACCCATAAACGCTCGGGATTTCTTTCCACTTCCTTCTGCGAACCGAAAAAGGAACCGAGGGGTCCGGGGAAGCGGCGATTACGAACCGAGAGGTGCGAGCAAGTGGGAACTGCCATGAGGTGGCTTCAAGAGGTGGTGCGGTTTGCAGAGTCGCCCAGTACCCGGGATGTGCAGCTGAGTAGCCTTGAGAGCAATCCGGCGGCCAAGGAACTCAGGGACTTCCTGCACGGTCTCAAGGACTCGGCCGCCTCGGACGTCGTCAAGCAGGTGGGCTCGCCTCGCTTTTGTTCGGGACTCAATGCGGGAGATGAAAGTTTCGTCGCCGCTCTCACGGTGCGAGATGAAGGGGCCGGGACTGAATGTCGTCGCTTTCTCATTCCATTTAGGCTCGCGCATTTAGTTTGATGGTGCGTCTTAAGGCTCGTGCAATCACCTGCAACCGCTTACGACCGACTGCCTCGAAATGTCTCGGGATGTCTTGCAAGGGGAGAACACACTGGCGCTATCAATTAGGCAGCCATAAAACAGTTAGCATTTATGTAAATTTTTTTTTTTCTTGCATCAGCTTTTTTTAGCTTAAACTTTTGACAGTGTTATAAACGACCATTTCTCTTAGGTGGTTCATACATTTGATCTCGCGAATACTGCAAAACCTTCACTCTAGTGAAATTCACTTTAGGGGTCAGCTCATAGATTGGTGGCTCGCAAATGGGGGTCCGCATACCCTTTGGGGTCCCTGAATGCCTTTTGGAATCCCTGAAGCCCTAGATCATCAGTAAAGACTGGCACTAAAACTTTCCTTTTTTAATGCGTTTGCATTAGATTGTTTGTTTTGACGAAAACTTGGTGGTGTCTTTCATTTGTCAGCGCTAGGGAGATAGGGGGAGAGAGTGACGCATCAACATCTCCCTCTATCCCCGGCGCTGACAAACTGACAGACACCGTCGGGTTTTCGTCAAAATGAGTCCTTTCATTCTCGTCAGTCATGAGCACAGCTGGCGCGGAGCCAAGGAGGAGGAGGTGCCGTGCAACACCTTCTGATAACAAAGCCTAAGTGCTGAATGAGAATGCATAGTCAGAGAAGGCCAACACTGGAAACAGATTGGAAGCGAGGGCTACGTCAGTGCTCGGCTTCGAGTCACATTTGAGCCGAACGGTGACGCAATCATTGTTTCCTATCTGTGCCCATCGTTGGCCTTCTCTGATGATGCCATCTCATTCAGAACTATGGCTTTGTTATCTAGGAGTTGTTGCGCCACGGCGTGGTGTAATGCAGGCGTCCTCAGTTGCCTCTCAGCCGTCGCCTGGCGCGGTGGGTTCCGTAGTAGCGGAGCAAGGGATGTGATCTGTGTGCGTAGTTAAAACGATATAGATGAGTGATATGGATACGGTTGCTTTCATGAGTGGCATGGATGTGGTTTTTTCCACAAGTGATACTGATTCTGTAACAAGGCCAAAAAGAGGCAGCAAAAAATAGACAAAGCGAAAGAAAGCCAAAAGAGGAAGCCCAAAGAGAAAAGTGAAGGGGTCAACGTTAGCATTTCCCAAAGGGGGTGGACATGTGTGGCGTCTGCAAGGGTCATGCTAATGGATCTTTCCAAGTGTCCACCAATGGATTTTCCTGTAATTTTTTATTGATGCTGACTGCTCCCAAAAGTTGAGCAGATGAATCTATGTGCACTGAGTGGGTCCCTTATCACTTTTGGCGAGTCAGAATGGGTCACCAAAACTTCAGTGGCTGAGAACCACTATCATAGATGGTGCCAGCATGCCACTGTGTTCTCTTGTCGTGAGAGATTGCAAGAACTCGGTTGTAAGCAAACTCAATTGTGTGAACTGTCCTTTGCGTTGCAGTAGTTCGTCGGCTTTTTGTTCTCGGTTGCGGGCAAGTGGGAGGAAGACTAGGATTGCGGGAATATTTTTTTTGCCGGATCATTCACATGGGCTGCCTAAAGGACCTGTAGCTTAGGTCCTTTAGCTAAAGATACCTGTATCAAAAGGCGTTCGAAATCCACGGCAAATAAACGGAGGGTTTAGGGTTTATGTTTATTGCACCAGGGATAGCCCGGCTAAACCGAGGGGCAAACGAGCAATATATATTTTTGGTCTAAACAGGTTTGAGGCACATTCTTTACTTTATTAGAAGTGGAATATGATGTTTTAAAACAAATTAATAATTGTTTTATTGATTTTATTGCATGGAGCAAGTAAAACATACTTTTCTTTAGAATGTCTCGCTGGTGTGGCTATATTGCTATATTACCCAAGCATCAAGGAGAATGCAGAGATTGGTGTTCCACGCGCCGCACCCGCTGGCCTCAGCAGTAGTAACTTTTCTAAAGCAAATACCTAAAACAAATGGCATCTTGCATGCGCGTTCGTCAACGTTTTGTTTTCGTTATTTACTTGGAATATTTTATACGGGGAAGGTGTGCGCGTGTGGCGCGTGGAACCCCAATCCCCGCATTCTTGATGCTTGGGTAACATAGCAAATCATCTATTGCCCGCCGTGTTATCTAATCCAAATTCATTGGTGGTACACAGTCGAGGTACAAGAGTTGCTTAACGTGATCAACAACTCTCCGTGTTTCCTCGAGTTTTCTCTGCTACTTCTTTGCATCTGCCTTCGGGTCGACCGAGGCGGATCGTTTTGTACCAAGGAGGTCATAAGTACTTGTTTCGTACACTTCGGCATCCCTCCTTTGTTGCCAGAGTTTGCCAATGTTGTCCTCCCAGAGATGACCTAGCGACCATATGTTTCCGCCTCGGACCAGTGAACTCGAGGGCCTTTCTTACTGGTGCCGCATTGCTGGCACATATGTTCACAGGTCCACCAGATGAAATCATGGTCACAAAAAAAATTCTCTGGGCAGGCGAAGTGGACAACCCGTCATCACTACTCAAAGTAGAGTGTATACTCACTACTCAAAGCAGGTACAGCCGCCATTGCGTTTTGGCCACCGCTGCTGCCCGCTGTCGCGAGTATACATTTGTCGCTACCGTATTCCATCAGGTTTAAGCTCACGTTTACTTTATGATCTTTGCCTCGCAAAAAATTGTTTTTTTTACAATGCAGTAAACAGAGCAAAAGCATATATGCTAGATTTTTGTTGGGAATTTGTGGGTTCGAGGTTACTCCCTGTAGCTGTAAATTAAAAGGAGTTCTGCGACCCTCCTTTACTGAAAGTGCCCTTTGTGCGCCACGTGTCGGTGATAACAAACTCCATCTCCCTTTACAATGGGGACCTATGCCAAAGGTACCTTTACACCGCCCGTGTGAATGTCCTCCATCCTCGGGAAGCGAAGTGCCTGAGCGGAGGAGCATCCATTGTCCTTCCGTTCGTTCCGGCGGCACAAAGGGACAGTGTGTGTTGCTGTGGCTATTCATAGGGCATTGTTTGCAGCCTGTGGTTTCAACACGTGCGAGTGATGCTTCTCTGGTGTGTGAAAAAAGATAAGTCGAACTCTGATATATGGAATTTAAAGGGGATCATAAAATAGTTTGATGTATCAATAATTTGATATACAAAAATATGTTAAATTAAGCTTGAGTTGAAATTTCCTGGCGCCTCTGCTAATGCCGAAGGTCGCGACAAACGGGAGCTTACCAAACAGAGCATCCAAGAGCCGCTAAATACAGTAGAGCGTAGTTGATGGAGATCGCAAACACCGCCGCGCTTACACGCGTGGCTTGCACGCAGCATAAGCAACAAAACACGAAAATAATAAAAATAAAAAAAACAAAAGAAAAATGTAAAAGTGAGACGCATAAAATAAGACATAAAAAAGTTAAGCAAGCAACAAAAAAGACAGGTTACTAAATTCAAGCATCAAAAAAAGAAAGGCACAAAAAAAAAAACGGGCAAAGCAATAACTGCAAAAGGAAAAGGTAAACAAAGATAAGTCCTTTGAAGTGCATCTGCATAACTTGTTGTCAACACACTCAATTTGTTGAAGACTTCTTTTCTTTTTTGCTTATTTTATTTTGCAGTTAGGGAGTTGCGCAGCATCAGCAGTGTTCAGGGAAAGGGTGTGGGTTACCGTTCCAACAGTGGGCACACCATGCTTTCCCTACCCGCGCATGCGCGCACGCCCTTCCCCTTGCTTTTGTCATGCTCCATTTTTTTTTTTTTTTTAATTGCGTGTATGTTGGCTTGGGAGGTCTGTCAGCCCCGCAACGCAAGCAATGTGCTCGCCACCCGCACAATGGGATCGCGAGACAAGCAACAGGCGGCCGGGCTTCTTCTCCATTACGAGTGTCGCTGCCATGGGAGTTCGATACAAAAAGACAACGCTTCTATAGTATTACGTGCGATTTTCAAGTGCATCTTTGGACTCTTTGATAGAAACAATAATTCGAAATACCCGAGTGTATATAACCGGGCTCGACTATGAATGGCTACCATTCCTAGTCATAAGACAAACGAATGCACACTTTCATGCAAAGCTGAAGTGACGCAGAACGAAAAATATGCATATTTACTATAATAATATTATCTATTATAATATAGACGTACATTCGAGCTCGGTTATATCACACTTGGGTGTTTCGAATTATTGTCTATATCAAACAATCCAAACATCCCCTTGAAAACCACATGCAATAGGATAGAAGCATTGTCTTTTTTGTATCCAACCCCCATGGTGGGGACACTTGATATAGCGAACGAAGCCCGGCTGCCGGTTGCTTTTCTCGGGATCCGATTGCGCAGGTGCGAGTACATTGCTTGCCTCGCTTGGCTGGCAGACCGCGAAGCCAGCATACATGCGGGAAGATATGCAGTGAAAGAGCAGTTGTAAGAAAAGAAAGGCAAAGAACCGTAAAAATAAAAAAAATAAAAAGTGGAGGACGGCAAAAGCAAGGAGAAGGGCATGTGCCCGCCATGTACGAAGAGCAGGGAGTGCTTGCTGTTGGGAACAGTAGCGTCCGCCCTTTCCCTGAACATTGCTGATGCTGCACGACTCCCTAGCCCCAAAATGAAATTGGCAAAAAAAAAAGTTTCGGCAAGTTGAGTGTGTTTACTGCAACGGTGTTGCAATGTGGCAGTCAATCGCACTTTGAAGGCCTTATCTTTGTTCAACTTTTTTTTTTGCTTGAATTTAGTGAACTTTCCTTTTTGTTGCTTGCTTAACTTTTTTCTATGGATCAGGAGATTTTTTTGTGTGTGTGTGTCACTTTTCCGGTTTCCTTTCATTTTTTTTTTTTTTAATTATTTTTGTGTTTTGTTGTTTATGCTGCGTGAAATCCCACCCAGGCACGCGTTTAAGCGTGGAGGGAGGTGTTTGTGGTCTCCGCCAACTATGCTGTACTGTATTTAGCAGCATCTTGGATGCTCTACTTGGTAAGCTCCCGTTTGTCGCGACCTTTGGTATTAGCAGAGACGCCAGGAAATTTCAACTCGAGCTTAACATATTTTTGTATTTTAAATTATTGATGTATCAAACTATTTTACGATCCCCTTTGAATTCGATATGTCCGGGTTAGACTGTAGCCCCACGGAACAACTGCCCCATACCTTGCGACCTTACGCTCACCAAGTATTATAAAAAGGATGTTCCACGGGAAGGTATAAGGCAGGAATGTTTTTAGCTTCAAACCAGGTATCACGAGTGTGCCATTTTTTTTTTGTACAGACGAGACAAAAAAAGATTAGGTAGTAGGCTGTGCTATGGTGGACGATTGGTAAATCAGATAAAACAAATCAATTGAACAGCCACTGTACTAACAGCAGAGCTTTATGGTTTGCTGCTGACTGTTGATTACATAATTAACCCCTTGTGCCACATATTTTTTCTCCAAAAGTACCCTAAAAGTGCCATATTTTTTTTATTTTGAATTTTTAGTCCTCTAGTAATACACATATAATTTGAAAAGTTTATTACGAAAAAATCAGCGGAGGTGAAAAAAATATTTGCCAACTAATACAAGTGCTGCCATCCATGATCAGCGCCGCAAAACTACACAGACGAGCCTTGCTCGTCCGTGGAATTGAGGGCTACCGAAAAAACCACTGGACGAGCTGAGCTCGTCCACGGCATTTTTAGCCAAAAAATGGCCGACGAGCTTAGCTCGTCCAAGGCACTTAAGGGGTTAAAAAAAGGCTTCCTCCCGCTGTCACCTACACAGACTGAGTCCTCTAAAGGCAGTCACATCAGTGAACCGTGCAACAAACCCACTGGTTTCCGAGTTAAAGAACCTATGCTGGGTTCCTAGCCACTTTGGCTTTCCTGGAAATGAAAGGGCTGATTGTGCAGCCAGCTCTGTTATTGATAGAGAAATCGACACACACCAAAAACCATACAAAGATTGCCACAACTCTTTGGCAAACTACATGCAATCAAAGCTTTTCTAGGCAAGTGGGAGAGTGCCCGACATCAGGAGCACTTATGCCTTATGTATGGCGAATGCCGTTATAAACACCTCTCACTGCTTCATAAAGAACTCATTCCACTACACCTTGCCCTACTACTAGGTGATGAACCGCTCATCCCATACAGCTGTGTTTTTAACTTCCTCACAGATGTTGGCCTTTCACACTGACCGTGATTTTACTTTCTATCCTAAACACATTGTCATATTTTTTACACTTACACACATTCATGTCGGTGGCAATCAGTTCGTCGAACGACGTTTCATGGACAAATCGTTTCGTCGACACTGCGATGTTTCATCGACAGATTGTTTCGTGGAAACAAGCACCCGCTCGTTTCATCGACAGATGTTGCGACGTTTCGTCGACAGCTCGTTCTCCCAGCTCCTGGCTCCGCCAGCTGCACCTCCTCGCGACCTCTGCGCCTGCGCGGCGCGCGGCCTTGTGTTGGATGGATGGATGGATGAAAGATGGCCAACTGGGCCAAGTATGGCGAACCAGTGCGCAGCCATCTTGCCTCTCCCCGAAAATTGTTTCTTTCAGTTTTTTTTGTTTTTGGGAGAGGGGGGGGGGGGGGGGGGGGGGGCGGGGCGGGGCGGGGCGGGGGGCGGGGGCGGGGGCACCGATCGCACTGATTTCGGAACTTACGATTTGTCTGGTTTCGCTCGTGTCTTTGCCCGAACCTTTGGGGAAGCGTTGTCAAAGCCGGGAAGTTTTGTTCTCGACCACTCTCCTTTCTCAAATTAGAGTCTTAAAACATTCAACATGATGCGCTGCTCTTGAGGGCTACGCTTTCGGCAGCATACGTGATCGAGGTGTCTGCACGTCATCGAATGCAACCCTTCGCGGGCTGACCGCCGGCACTCCGACTGTTTTGAAAAAAGTGGCAGGATCGTTTCCAGAGCAAGTGTATCTTTCCGCGCGTCGCGTATTTTGGTAGGATCCTCAAGAGCCACCTGAACATAGCATAGACAGCCCACACGTCAAAACACTGAAACTCTTAAAAAAATTGAATGAAAAAACGAGGCCTGTTTGCGGTGCACACAGCCTTTCTACCGTTGAAATCGGCATAAAATCGGTTTTTAAGCGAATTGGCATCTGAGCTTAGCCGCAAGCAATAAACTTCGAAAGAAACTGAGCATTCGGCTACGCGTAGTTTACTTTACGGCGATAAAACACGGTTGTTTTCTCCTCAAGACACCGGGTATTTAACGTACTGTACTTACCAGACCGCATACAATTCTTAGACTTTAGCATATTTAGCTTCTGGATATTAAATAACACTATAGTTCTGCATATGTTATGTCTGTAATAAAATTTTGCATGCACATAAACCAATATGTGACCAAAGAACATGAGATTTGGAAGCCGCTCCTTTATGCAAAGAGCTGGGCCGCGAACTTACCCCAGGTATCTGTCTGCTGGCATCGATAAAAGAACAATTGAATGTTGCGTGTGAGGACCAGTCGGCTGCTGCCGACAGATCTCGTCTAGTGGTATCTACCGCCTCCGAGGCCTTGGAAGTGGCGGCCGCTCGAGAGAAGCTATATAATACATTAAGTTGCACATTTGATATCAACTATGGTTTACTTCGTGTAATAAGACTAAATTACTTGATGTAATGTGTTATTTATATGTTACCAATTCTCGTGTTTTTCTGTATTTGCATTGCAATGTAGCTTTTTTTTTAGGTTTACTCGCGGGCAGCGAGCTCGCGGTAGTACGTGCGAGTGTTACTGGTTTTCGTGTTTTTGTTATTTATTTTTATTTGACATTGTTGACAGCCCCCTTATTATGTAATGTCCTTTTTAAACGGCCCTTAAAAATAAATGACGATGAAACGAGTGCGACTAAACAGTTTTCTCGCGTATAAGCCGCAGTAGCCAGTCAAACACCGCATCACTTTTCCTTTTGACTAATTGAGGGTAATGAACATGTTTAATTTCAAGTGAAATATTAGGGTTGTAATGTTGCAATAAAAAGCTGCAAGTTGTATTTTTGTTTAAAAATAACCAATATGAAGAAAAAAAATCAGTGTTTACGCCCTTTTCCGCAACCCACCATTGGAACGAAGTTTTGTTTTGCGCCTACGCATATTTTTCTCCACCGTTTTTTTTTTTCTTCCAGTAACTTTCGGTTCCATAAACGGGCATCGGAACTTGCAAATATCTGAATAGGCCACGCGCGAAGTCCTGCGCGCTCTTACTTATTCCATGTGGCACGGATGAGAGCGAGAGGATAGCGCAGTTGCTCACCTTGGAGAGCAACTGCGCTAGGCATCGTCTTTGTCATCTCTTACAGGCGCTTGTACCTTAACGGCATTCCTTTCGGAACAGCAAAAAAGAAAGTTTGTCGACGAAACGTTTTACGGTGGTGCTGTCGACGAAACGATTGTCGACGAAATGTCACAGTGTCGACGAAACGTGTGTACATGAAACGTGTGTCCACGAAAAGTTGTCCACGAAACGTGATTCCACGAAACGAGTTTCGACGAAATGATAGGGACCCCATTCATGTGCATAGCTTTATCACATATTTCGCTACTATAGCTCTTTCCTCTTACTAAACCCGAATTGCAATAGTCTAAGCTTGGTGCAACATAGCCTTAGATGCTGATGCGCCATAAACCCCTAATCAATCAATAGAATGTCGACATTGAGACCAGGATGTTGATGTCGTGCCTTTTATTGATTCAATCTGCCATCTTAGGCCACTTCTATTATTCATTCAAAAATGGCAGTGGCAACTTTTATTATTTATTCAAAAAGGGCTGCTACAAATACTCGGTCTCGGAAACAAATGAACAGCTGAAGCGCCCCGCCGAAGATGGGTCAGAGGTGAACCAAAGACAAAGGTTCCGCGATATCTGCGTCATCGAGGACGTTGCATAACCACCCAGTTTTGTTCTCCGAAGTTTTTATGTCAGGTGGCAGCTAGGAAGTGAATGAATGGGTGAGGCAATAAACCTTTTGCCAATTTACCCAAGCACCAAGGAGCATGCTAGGAACGTATGTAGGTATGTGTGCCATATTGACTCACCTTCTCCGTATGAAAGATTGAAAGTGAATGGCCAAAAAGGGAGCCAACAAACAGATGCACAAAGTGCCATTTGTTTTAGACTTTTGCTGTAGGGCAGCTACCACTGCAGATGTCAGCATGTGCAGTGCACATAACTGCACTCGCAGAATGCTCCTTGCTGCTCGGTTAATGTTGCAAAAGGTCTATAGATTACCACGTAAAACTCGTTAACCTTTGCAGTTCACACAGTGTAACGTAGCAGATGCCAACTGCCGGACGGAGCGAGTATACCTTGTAGGTAGGTATCGCGTCGAAGTACCAGTCATTGCAATTGTTACAAAAATTTCCCGGTTCATGGCAGCTGTTTGCCTTTTCTTTTCCAGTCTTGGCTTACTCCTCTGCGTGTATTGTAGTAATCTGAGCTTCGCCTCTTGTAACTCTTAGGGCCAGTTCACCCATGCATCTCGACACTGAGATGACGACGAGTCGGCACCGCACCAGCGTTACCGCCAGCACCAACTCGGCACCGGCTTAGCACTTCGTTGTGCATGTACGCAGGAATAACTTTTGAATGAGATAGCGGTTAGTTCCGAAACCTTGGGTTCTAGTTCGGACCACTTGCGCCACATTCAGGTGAAAAACAAGCGTTCGGTAATGCGTCGTTTATTTTTTGCGGTGAAAAGCACCCAGTAAATTTTTTTTGAGGGGACACCTTGTGCTATGAGTGTGCAGATCTTTACAGGTGCGCACATATTTTCTGACGCCGTTCGTCCCGTCTTGCAGATCAGGGCGGCCGTGGACCGGATCCACAAGATGTCCCGGGACCGGACAATAGACGAGCTGTCGGAGCTGGTGCAGGACTTCTACCAGAACATGCAGGAGCGCTTTGAGAAGCACACTCACTACCAGGGGCTGGAGGGGGACCAGGTGGAGGTGCTGCTGGACCTGATGGAAAACTACCTGATGAGCCTGACCTACAAGACGGTCTTCGAGTTTATCTCGACAGCCGACGAGGACAAGGACCTGGCCATCCAGAAGCGCATCCGCTCCCTCAGCTGGGTGGCCGCCCAGCACCTCGAGCTGGAGCTGGACGACCGCCAGCCCCCCGTCAGGGACATCATGGACCACGCCATCACCGGTGCGTCTGCTCTCTCCTGCCAACGGCTCCCTGGCGGCCGTGGGGCCGGATATTTTGCGTCGCCTTCGGGAAGCCAGTGCGGGGTCTCGGATTGGACACAAGTGCTGCGACGACGTTTGGTTTGGACTCGCGTCCCCGTCGATTGAGGACGAGTCAAAGCCGAGCATTAACGCCACACTCGTGTCCAACGTGTGCCCCGTGTTGACCTCAAGTGGGTGACACAAAAACTTGGGCACTTCAACCTTGCTAGCTAGGAAGGTTGTTCTAACTGGATTTGTATTCTTGAGAAGTTGGGGGGAATAGTGGGCTTTGTTTTGTTAGTACTTGTGGAGGATGCCTGCGACCGAAGATTGTTCTTTAAAAATCACTGAAATGAAGGGGCGGTTGATGTTGTCAATTTCCTCTTAGACTCGTTTGAGAAATCGCTGCACCGTACCGAAATCTTGAGGAGAGCTGTGTTGCTCTACGGTATCTTTGAATGATATTTTAAGGCACCTCGGCTTCGAGATGGAATTACGATTGTTGTGTGAGCGTAAAAATAATCTAGAGGTGCCTTGATTCTGATAGGGCCTGCGACAATGTGGCCAGGCAAGAAAACTAGAATGAGGCACTTTCCAAGCATAGTGAGGATTGCTCAGATGTGGGATGTCCTTTGACCTTCCACACATTTTCTGCTGTCTCCTCCCAGACAAAAATTTCAGCCTTTTCAAAGGTGCGAGTTCAACCGGGGTCACATGCTCTTGCCGGGACTAGTCGCCACGGGGGGCCTCACCGTCTCTGTCCCCCCTCCGCGGTTGCAGACATGATAGAGATGGACTCTAAGCACAGCCCGAGGGAGAAGCTCGAGTGCGTGGTGCGGTGCAGCAAGCAGCTGTTCGAGGCCCTGCGGATGGGGCCCCAGGGCCCACAGCCAGCCTCGGCCGACGAGTTCCTGCCGGCCATGGTGTATGTGGTGCTCAGGGCCAACCCGCCCCTGCTCCACTCCAACATAAAGTATGTCACCCGCTTCAGCGCCCCGAGCCGGCTCATGAGCGGCGAGGCCGGCTACTACTTCACCAACCTGGTGAGTGTGCCCCGCCTATGGAGGGCCCCTTTAGGAACAGAACGTGCTTTGCGAGTCGTTTTCTATGAGAAGAACGTCCCAAAAGGTTACACATAAAGTTTACATACGTTTGAGACCGGCGATAACGAAGTCGGTTATAACGAAATAGCGGCTACAGCGAAGCGATCACGATTTCCCATTCCCTTTGCGCTTAGTTATAACCGAAGTCAGTTATAACGAAATAGCAGATATTGCAAAGTGATTTCCAATTCCCATTGACTTCATTATAGCCGGCCTCGACAGTATAAAGTTTGAGCCCCAGCGGGGCCGGATCCTGGGTCGGTGCGGTGGCAGCCTCTGGGCTGCGTAGCACAGCTGGTCCTGGAGGGTAAATCAGTTTATTTGAATGCAAAGGTGCCTGCAAGAGTGTTAGGTTTTGGATTAAATTAATGCACGTAATTGCACACATAATAACGTTCACATGTAAATGGACTATTTATGTGTGGACTGAATGCAAGTACACACAAGCGAGCTGGATGGAGTAAATTGAATGTGACATAAAACCCGAGACTGTAGAGGTAAAAAACAACACGTATGAGACCTTTCGGCCTACGTGGTGTTTTTCTACCTGCAGTCGCGGGGTTTATGTAAAGGTAAAGAGAGAAGAAATAAGTGGAGGTAAAGAGAGAAGGTAAATGGAGGTAAAGAGAGAAGAAATAAATGGAGGTGATGGAGAGAGGGAAGAATCGGAGTGATCCAGGGAATCTGGCTTCGAGTGTTGTAGTGCACCAGAGCGGATGCACAGGACAAATTTGATTGTAACGGAGCAGGGAGCTTCTAAACGGTATTAACGCATACGTGTGTGCTAATACCGTTTAGGTGTTTAATTACCAACTAGCCCAGTTATCTACCCTTTTAGAGCAGGATGCTCTTTTCATCTCTGTATATGTTGAGGCATTATTGTGATTGAATGCCTAGGTAGGTTCGAACGTAAAAATTTAGCTGTATGCCAACAATCAAAGCGGATAGTAGCGAACGAAACCAAACGGCGTAAGGTTGGTCTGCCTTTGAGGTGCTGTGATGTTGGTTTACGACATAGATGAGAAATTCGGCCAGTGCAGTACCGCTGCTAGCCTGGAGTCTTTTAATGTGCATCACCTAGTAGTGATGCACGACTACACGCCGGTACGACGCTTATCCAGATGGAAATGGGCAGGGGTGGGGATTGAGCCCAGGATCCCTGGGTTCTGCAACACAAGCTTCCGCTTCAGGCACTCTGAGGTGCGATGCACTAACGCACTCGGCCACCTTTGCTATCTCTTTAGTATAGAATCCTCTACTTTTGACTGATTCTGCATAAAATTGTTCATTAATTATGAGGAGGCAGTCCTAGAGGGGAGGAACATCGAATGGCGCAACACTCGCCATTCTCCGTTATCCCCTAACACGTCTCGAAGTATCCCCACTTTGCTTGTCTAGTCGGGGCATGTGTAACTGACGGCGTCGCACCCCGTGTTTGTTGCACAGTGCTGCGCGGTGTCGTTCATTGAGAACCTGACGGCGGACTCCCTGAACATCCCGGCAGAGGAGTTTGAGCGCTATGTGACGGGGGAGGCGGTGCCCCCCGGGGGATACGATCAGGGGGCCAGCGAGGGCCTGCGCGTCATGTACTCGAACCTGGCCCTGCTCTCGGACCTCAGGCAGCGCCAGGAGCGCCTGGCTGCCAGCGCCAAGACCCTGCGCCACGAGATACTCGGATTTCAGGTGGGTCCAAACTCTCTTCGGCTCCGGCTTTGTCTAATGCCGCCTAGAAGACCGGGCCTTTCTCCCCCAAACGTCGTCGCCGGTGAATCCGGGCAGTGCCGCCTAGCTTGCGTCGCCGTCGCCACCAGAGCATCTCGCAGCCACGGTGGAAGAAGCACATTTAGATGATGACTCTGGCCGCTCTTCCCGCGAAGAGCGAGCGGCCAGGTCGTGTTCGGAGCTAACCTCGAACCAGGAGTAGTTAGTTCCGCTCCACCACGGAGGGCGCTGAGGTACGAGGTCCCTCCTCAGCGGCTACAGTGTCGGCGGCGTAGCGTGCTAGCGTTTTTTACGGTGTGGTGGTGGTGTTGTGCTGTGTCGATCACAAGTGCCACCATCGTGCATGAAGGTGAGCCTTAACCCAAAGAAGAAGGAGAAGGAAGAGAACACAGATTTACTGACTCTGGCGACTTGGTGACGTCGTACACAGGCCTCGTTTTCCGGTGGTATTGCTTCGTCCGCATGCTAAACAATGGCACAAAATGGGAGCCGGCAAACGTTCAGAGTCGAGCGTCTTAGATGTGCGCGAGCGTTCTATGCTCGCTAGTGTCAGTTCGAATGATGGTATATTCAATCTACTTCTGAAATCGAACAGCTGACTACTATTCAACTTGCTTTTTGAATCTAATATAAATATACTCTAAATTTGTAACATCTCTCGAGTTTGACTTTAGAGCAGGCAAATCCGTAGCACCCGCTATAAACGAAAATGAGGCTCGCTGGTAGCGTGCTCAGGGCTGTATTGCCGTTAGCCAAGCTAGCCGCATTCTAGTAGCTGAAGCGAGAGACTCCGGCATGAAATCGCAACCTTTAAATGAGGGGTGTTTTTGTTCTCTTTTGGCCCATTGTAAAGCTTACATTTCTGTCGGTCGAGAACAGTTCACTTTCGCTGTTGGTTTGGCTCGCTTCATTGCCATCTCCTGTTCTACGGCGGATATATTTCGGGTTAGTTGTACATACACGCTGCCTCGCGCTAGAGGCTACGTTCTGTGGGTCACGCCATGTCCATTTCATTTCCTGCGGCGCTCGAAAGAACAGAACTCGATTGCACCAGGGTTAGATATCGCGTCGGATGCCTGGAGGGTACGGACCCCCACTTAAAGGGGCGGTGCAACGATTTTATGATTAAAAGAATTGGCATCTCGTCATTTTTACGTTGTTTATCGTGTCCCAGAGGATAGAAAAAACACTTCCTTCATTAAAAATGTTGCGATTCCGCTGCATAATCGCAAAGCAATAGTCGAGCTTTTTCCCCCACCAGCAGCCCCAAGTGGCAGCCGAAGGAACTACGGCGGAAAGATGACGTGACCTCGCTCAGCTCTAAGCTGCAGCATAGCGCCCACTAGTGTACGCAGAGAGAGGGAGGGGAATCGTCCTCCGAGATAGCACAGGGGAAGCTACACGGCACGCCGAATGACATCACTGGGAGTGCGACCAGGTGTGACCCTGAAGACTGGGAGTGAGTTGAGGGGTGCCCGAAATGCCAATCTTTATCTTTTTTTTACGCAACAACTAGGACACACAGGCGAAATCGGTTTTCTGTTCTGTACTTCAGAAGTGTCAGGGGGCAACTTCCAGAAATCTTTGACCGAAGTCCGAAAATCGTTGCACCGCCCCTTTAAAAGCCTCCTTTCTCGTCGTGCACGCAGGAGGCGGTCTCTCGGGAAGTGGAGGGCGTCGTAGCGCGCACCCCGCTGGAGCTGCGTCCTTACAAGATCCCCGCCGACCTGGACGTGCGGTTCGTGCCGGCGTTCCTGCGCGACGCCACGATGCGCGAGCTTGGCACCGACGGCCCACTGCTACAGCTGGAAAGCGAGGAGGACGCACCGAGGGACGCCGCCCCCGGCCGGGCCTTCGCGTGTCCCCCCGGGTGTCCCCCCGGAGAGGACATGGAGACCACGGATCCCTTGTCCCCGGACGTGGAGGCTTCCCTACCGCGCCCGCTCCAGCCGACCGTTGTGGCTTCGATTGCCGCCGTCACGGAGACTACGACGGCGGAACTCGCAGCTACCGAGGCGGAGGCTAGGCTGCTTCCCACCCCCCCTACGGCGGGACCCATGGTGGAATGTGTGGACAGACATTCCGAGGAATGTGCAGACGGACACATTGAGGAGTGCATGACGGGACATTTGGTGCAGCAAGCCTCAGAATCGGCAGAGTGTGCCGTGCAGTCGTCGGAGCGAGACTCCACGGAAACGCCCATGGTGACGATCGCCACACGTCCTGCCGCCGCAAGCATCGAGCAGCACGGTGAGTTTCGAATTTCGATGCGGAACACGAGGCCGTTTTTTTTTACGCTACTTAGTCGCGCATCTACCTAGACGGCTAGGCTTCCTCGGTTAAACGACGAGGTGCGGGTGGCCGACCTGTTTGACGTAGAGCTAAGACTGTATGCGCCGAGAAAATGAGGGAGGAGAGGAGACGAGAGCTTCCACGGACGTCGGAACGCCGAGCTCCGATTGGAACGATTAGTGGGTAAGCCGAACGCTGGCAGCCTTTGTCTCCGCTGCACTCATCAAACAGGTTAGAGTGCGGAACGCGGGCATCTGGCATTTGGCTCTTGCATTCGAACGCGTTTGACATGTGCAGTGGAGACCAAGGCAGCTAGTTTTAGGTCTACCTACTAATTGTTCGCATCTGAGCTCGGCTTTCCGATGTCCCCGTACCCTCTTGTCTCCTCCTCTCCCTCACTTTTTTTGGTGCATATGTATATTGGATGGAGCATACAGTTCTAGTTGTATGCTCCAGTCTCGAGACAATTAAGGAAATTAGGACATGTATGACTAAAATAATCCCCGGAGAAGGGGAACAAGAGGGACAAACGACTTTCCATTTTACGTGTGCATTCCACTGGCACAAAATGTTGTTTAGAAAGATAAAAATTGTGTAAGAGAATTGCAGGTTCCCTAAAATCCGCTTAGTAGCAGTTGTCGGAGGAGCGACATTAAAGGGGGGGTGCAACATTTTAAGATTAAAAGAATTTGCATCTCGTCATTTTTACGTTGTTTATCGTGTCCCAGAGGATAGAGGGAACATCTCCTTCATAAAAAAATGATGCGATTCCGCTGCATAATTGCGAAGCAAAAGTCGAGGCAGCTGAAGGAACTAGGGCGAAAAGCTTACGTGACCTCGCTCGGCTCTAAGCTGCAGCATAACATCCGCTAATGTCAGCAGAGAGAGGGAGAGGAAGCGTCCTCCGAGAGAGCACACGGGAACCTACGCGGCGCCCTGAATAGACCTAGACCTATTGCCATATAACCCAAGCATCAGGGAGAATGCAGGGATTGGTGTTCCACGCGCCATACGCGCACGCCTTCCCCGTATAAAAGATTTGAAGTAAATAACCAAAATAAACCGTTGACGAACACGCGTGCAAGATTCTATTTGTTTTAGGTATTTGCTTTAGAAAAGTTACTACTTCTGACGCTGGCGCGTGCGGCACGTGGAACACCAATCCCTGCATTCTCTTTGATGCTTGGGTAACATTGCAATAGGTCTGTTACGTCACTAGGAGGGGGACCAGGTGCGACCCTGAAGATTGGGAGTGAGTTGAGGGGTGCCAGAAATGCCAATATTTATTATTTTTTTTTTTAACAACTAGGACATGCATGCGAAATTAGTTTTGTGTTCTTTACTTCAGAAGTGTCAGAGGGCAACTTTCACAAATGTTTGACCGAAGTCCGGAAATCGTTGCGCCCCCCTTTAAGCACCGTCAGTATAATGGGCTGCTCCGTCGATCAGTCACGCAACATTTCTTAAATTGCGAGGAAAAAAAAAAGGCCGCATTCAGAAAGGAGGGCATTCTTTACTTTTATTTATCCATCTACACTTTTATGCTAGATTTGTTTCTTAAGTTGTTGTTTGTCTCTTTTTCAGAAGAACCTTTCCCATGCAACTCGGAGGTGGACCTTGTCACCACGCTGTCGCAATCGTTGAATTCCGTAGGAGACAGAAGAAAATTGTGAATGCTCTATCACAAACTGTACATTTTATTTTAACATGCGATATTGCATTGTGCCGTGTGTGCGTGTCTTGAGCCTACCGAACTCCATTTTACTCTCGAACAAGTGCCATTGTAGCCGTCACGAGGCACGCTTGTTTAGAACTTAGTAAAAAGGCCAGAAAACAACCTTGTGTAAATAAATGACTTGCTGCTTTGTCAGCATGGATGTACACTGTCACCCTGTCTGTTTGGGAACATCCAGCAATGTGGCGGTAAAGCTTGCTGCCCTTTTGGGTTTGCCTAAAGTACAAGCTCTCAGCATTCAGCATCTGATGCTGTCCCGAGGTAATGTATTCAGCGTGACAACATACAGACCTGAGAAGCATTAACTGCATAGTAGAAGATGGCAAGGATAAGGGGAAGACTGGCATGTGAAGAGCTCTGCCAAACTCGTGTGCTCTCGGTGAGCTTGTACGATCAGCAAGCAACAGCCTCGGCCGTAGCTTGAATCAGTGTATCGGCCACGAATGTGTTGCGTTCTGATGCCCGTCGAAGGAGACTCGGAACTCCTGAACATATGATGCAGTTCCATTTTGCTCTTCACTGGAAAGAAATTGGCACAATGTTTGTAATATAAATAATGGGAAGAACATAAAATGCTAGGACAGACAATGCAAGCCGATTTCCCTCGTGTTTTATATTCTTCCCAATATTTGTATTAACCTTACCAGTGCACTCTCCATTCCAAGCACAGTGTTTGCTCTTGACAATTTTACAGCAAAGCTGTTAAAGGCAGTTCCCCCACTATCGTGTCTGCGGATAAGCGGTGTGTCGACACAAAACTCCAGGCAGCTACCGCCATCTATGAACACTCGAGCCAGTTCACCGTTGCCCTCACTCGCGTACGACGAGGAGGGCCGCCCATTGTGTTCCGTGCAGTCTCTCTCTCAACCCTTCTTCCCCGGTGTCCGCGTATCAGTTGCCCTTTGGGCTCACGATGGGTCGGCCACTTGCCATTCGTTTGGAGAAAGAAGAGCGGGAGCAGGAGTGGCGACATCCGCAGCAGTGCGAATGGCTGCACAAACGCTGCGAAGCCGCTGTCGCCTAAAGTTCTACAGCGTAGAGTGTTTACGGCTCCCTTGTGAAAGAAGAGCAGATTGCTCGCCTGGGATGTCGCCGAGAACAGAAGCCACCATAGTACAGCTTCGCTATTCTTCCTTCTTCACCAGAGTGGAAAGGCTGAAAGTTTTAATTGTTTTATTTTATAAAGCTTTTTTTTTTTTTACAGCGGAGCTGTTAAGAGCTAGGTTCCCCAGGATCGTGTCTGGTACTAAAGAAATGTCAACACAAACCTACACAAACCTCTGCACAGCTACCGCCATCTATAAGTGACGGTGGCAACCAGGCAACCAGCGTGGTTGCCGCTGTCGCTCATAGATGGTGGCAAACTTTAAAGCTGCATCATAAAAGAAAGGATAGTTTGGCGAGTTGGTGGAAATTTATCGTAGGAAACAGCGCAAAAAAAAGACGAGGATGAAGAAGAAACACGTGAGGAGCGGTGCACATCATGTATGTTTCTTCTTCGTCCTCGTCTGTTTTGCGCGCTGTTTCCTACGCTCTTATCAGTTTCGGTTTGGACTCGCGATGGGTCAGCCGCACGCCCTTTCTTCGGGGAAAGAAGACTGGGTGCGGAAGGAGCGGCGACATATGCAGCAGCGCGAATGGGTCTGCAACTGCCGCGTGCGTCGAGCGCTTCAGATTACGTTGCGAAAGAAGAGCAGACCGCTCGCCTGGAAAGCCACCGCCGAAAACAGAAGCTACAACTCCGCTGCTCTTCCTTCTTCACCACAGTGGAAAGGCTGAACTTTTTTTTTCCCAAGTGTTTACATTTGTTTTTTCACCCATCTGAAACAATAAGAACCGTCTGACATAGGCTTTGCTGCTGTTGAATGTTTTATAGCGAGGGCAAGTACATCAAATTGCCTATGTACGCAGTGCACAGTGTTGGAGTATGGCTGTGTTGTCTGAAACCTTTCTAAAAGAACTTTCAGCCTTTCCACTCTGGTGAAGGAGAAAGACCAGCGAAGCTGTACTATGCTGGGAATGAAGTAATGGCCGGCCTCAAATCTGCAAGCGAATGTGGAAAGGCTGGAGAGGTTGCCGCTGTCGGTCATAGACTGCGGTGGCTGCGCTGCGCTCTTCATATCCCAGTGGCGGATCCAAGGGGGAAGCGGCAGGGGCGATCGCCCCCCCCCCCCCCCCCCGCCCAGGGTATTTCGTCAGCTCGAAGAAAAAACGTAAGCAATCGACGCGAGGGACAAAAGATTAAAACAGCGGTGGGTGGACGCGCCTGCTGGGCGCTTCCAAAGTGGGGTTTATCTCCGTCAAGGTCACAGTACGTCTTCCCAACAGGGACGGCGCCAGGAGTTTTGAAGTGGAGAGACAGTGGGGGAGGGGCACCAAATATCAGGGTCCTCGACTGCAGGCACACTTCCAAACAAGGCCAGCACGTCGAGCACGGGGGGAAAATGCCTTCAACATATCTAGTCCCCTTTCACTCTCTCTCTCTCTTTCTGTCTCCCTCTCTGTCTTTGGAGGCTGTCTGCGAAAAATTTGTGCCCTGAAAGCTCCCAAACGCAGACGCCAAGCAGCCTTCCTCAGGGGTACGATCACAGCGGATTATCCTTCCCCTCTTGCGGCCGCCTTTTCATAACTTTTCGTTTGATGGTTTCTTCGTGATTCTGGCCTTGTCTTTTGGCAGGTCTTTTTTTGGCTTGCTTTGGGAGATGTTGTCGCCCACGGGCTCACTAAAGGTATCTTATTGGCACGTTGTGCTCATTGCCAGGGGAAGTGCGGAGGGGACGTACCAGGAGGAGACGTTCCAGGGGGGGGTGGGGGGGATGCAGCTTGTACAACCAGGTGACCAATTGCTTTTCTTCTCAACTGAGAGAGGAAGCAAATGCTCTGGGTACAGTTTAGTCTGGGTCTGAGCTTCTTCTGAAGACGCTCCGGACTTCCCCACGACCTTGGCTTAACCCAAGCAGCACAAATATCCTGTGAACGTCCGCAGGACATCCCTGGGACATTAGGACATCCTAAAGACGTTCACAGGACGAAGTGTGCTACTAAGGATAAGCCTGCTTTCGTCCTCGCCTCCATCCCTCACTGAGGATCAGCGCCGCAGCGCGGAATACAGAAAGAAGCCGACGAGTGCCAGAAGGGGGAGATGTTTCCTCTATTGGGCTTCATACTGCCTGCGTTACGACTTGTCGGGGCGGGAAGCTAATAAAAGAAAGATAAACGGTACGAGCACTCTAAAGGCTGGAGGCTGCTTACATGGGTCCTCAAGCCGATGCCGTAGGCATTTATTTGTATACAATGCCGTTTCAACTTGGGGTGGCGGGACATATTTTAGGAAAGGCGCCCGCTACCCCTTGTCTCCCCTTGGCACCGTCTTTACTTTTCGAGTTAAACGCGGCTTCTGTGGATTGACTTTGCAGGAGCGAATATGTGTGTGTAGAACGGAACAGAGGCGGGGCTTGCTGGTTTGCAACTGCGGCTTCGAATTCCCTACCTAGGGACTTGGGGAAAACAAGCCTTTTCAAAGATGCGACTATACATAAATTAAATAGACAGTGCCTGTGCCCGTTCGAGTGAACACCGACTCCCAAACATCCACGCTGCAGTCGTGATCGGCCTTTAGCCCAGTTGAGATTCGCCGACCGGACAACCGCTCTGCCTCATCATATCTCTGCACCTGTCCTCTCGACCCTGACGAATGAGCTAACTACCCAGAAACAAGTAAGTGTTCCTTTCATACAGAAAATATCCAGACGAAGTGCAGTTGAATATAATTTGGAAGGATCCATTGCTGGTTAAAGGTCTTGTCTAAGTTTAAAAGTTATAGTTGCCAAACTGCAACATGCTTTCAAAAATATTCAACAATTCTTCGCTTTCGTTCTCTCGAGTTGAACCCAGAACACGTGAAAACACGAGTTTGGGTTGGCAATGCCGCATGTGCTGCGCTCTGGACATTCCAAATATACGGCGAACAGCCGACGAACTTGCCTGGCAGCGTTCGTTTCGCTTGCTGCGTCAACAGTGTTTTGACGCTGCAAGCAGCGTCGAAGCTGCCAGGCCATTTTTATTGCTTGTTTGCAACATACTCGCTCCATTGATTTAAGCCGCTCTTCCCGTTGCCCCAGCAGTTGAGCACTAGCTTCAACCAGAATGTCTGCCAAGGCAATGTCAATGAAAAGTATGTTTTAAAACCACGTTCTGCATTTTGGCACTGAATATAAAGTTCTAACTAGCCAAGCTTAATCTCAAAGAACAGCGGAGTTATAGATTAAAACGTTTTTCGCATTGTCATTAGCTGCATGAGCTTCCTCCGTATAGTTGGCAAAGGTTGGCTCTCCGTACATGCTCTGCGGGTGTAACGAGAATATATAAATATTCAAGGCAAAAGGAGCCCAAAAGTTGTAGCCCCACCGGGGATATCTGAGCCATCAAGTTACACTGTCTGCAATTGTCACAGCCGCTATAGCACCAAACATTCATCCCCAGTAGTTAAACTTCTTTTTATATTTCTAGCGCGCTGCCACGCGAATGGAGTAATCCCGTTTCCTATGAACTACAAATTCCTTGCGTTATGGAAAGGATAGTGCCACCACAATTTTCGAGATACTTACCTCTAGCGTGGTCACCCGAAAGGTTTTAATTCAAATAGTTCATCCCCGACAGGTAAACGGATACAAAAGCTCTCAAGATCTATATTATGTTATCAGAGTTTAGTAAAAACGATAACTCCACAAAAAATATAAACACTCCCCCCCCCACCGTTTTACACCGAGGAACCGCCCCCCCCCCCTAAAATGGAGGTCTGGATCCGCCCTTGTCATATCCTTGGGCGGTACGGCCGTTTCGGAAGTTGTCTCCTCTAAAATTGGGGTTGTACGGAAATTTAGACGGCGCGTAGTTGGTCAGCCGTTTCAAGGGTGTGACGATTCCCCTGTCTCATCTCCCATCCGACTCTCTTTCTGTCACATTTTCTTGGGCGCTCAGCACCAATAGTTATAATCAAAACAAGAGCACAGTAAACTAAGGTCCTAACAGTAAACTGGTAAAATTTTTAAATCTCCCATGGCATTCTTCGTCTGCACAGCAATGCCATCAATATACTTTTCTTTTTTTCTTTTAGAGAGTTACGTTTTTGATTAAAAAATGAAAGACGTTTACAATCCCCTGTGACGCCAAAATAGAGCGCAGCTCTTGAGGAGGAGGAGGAGGGGAAGGTATGGAGAGGAGGCTATGCCCCGCCCCCTCCTTCCCCCCCATTTAGGGGAAAATTTTCCCACTAAATTTAGCAGGGAAATTTTTCCGCTAAATTTAGCGGAAATATTTTTCGCTTAAATTTAGCATGAAAATTTTTTCGCTAAATTTAGCGGGGAAATTTTTTTTCTAAATTTGGCGGGGAAATTTTTTTGCTAAATTTAGAATTTTTTTCACTAATTTAGTCGGGAAATTTTTTCCGCTAAATATGGCTGGGAAATTTACCCATAATGCACCGCGCGGTTACGCCGACGCCGCTCAAGCCGGAAACTGGCGCCTAAGAGTTGCGCTCTAAAAGAAAATTTATTAATCTATTTGAGCAGAAGTAGCGAAATTCGAGAATACGAAGACGCCTTGGTTCATCTGTGAAATCTGATAATTTAGTAATAGCTTCCACCCACACGCACACACGATCGGTTGGTGCAAATACTGTAGAAACCGAAACAAGAACAGAAACAAGAAGTGCAGCTAAGCCTAACATGGCGCTGAAAGAGCAAAGGAGCAAGCGCCGCAGCCAGCTACAGCAAAAACAGTAAAACTAAAAACACACTCTCACACAAATGGGGCGGTGCGCGCACGCGCGGGGCGCAAAATTCGCATCCGGGATCGTGATCATTTCTATCGCGGTTTGTCGTTGGATCAGTTATGAAATAGTGTTGATAGTGTGACATTCGTGCTGTTTATGCGATAGTGAAAGACGAGCACTCCAATGTGTGTGGCGACATGGTCGCCTGTGGACGGAGTGGGCATCCAGCAGAGGCGCACGATATGGTCGCGTGGGAGCGCCAAAACGCACGGGTATGTTTTGGACCGTGTGGTTACCGCAGTTGTCATAGCGACTGTGTCGAAACACATCACCCGTTACCGCGAATCAATTTCCCCGTATTCTTACAGGTGCGTGAGATATCGCACGAATTCTCTGAGCTTGTTGAAGCGTCGCGTCGCAAGTGTTCGACTCTGGGCGGGGCTCGACGGCTTGACTGTGCTGACTGTGCTGTGTCAAGTTCGCGACCAACTTCGAAAGTGATCGTTAGCTCATTACCTTGAGAGGAGGACTGGCCTCAGCCGCGTGAGTGTTTAGACGAGTGCTCGATTATCTAACAGCGCTTGTCAACTAACGCGCGCTTTATAAGCGCAGGATTTTAGCAAATTTCTGACCCTGGCAAATTGTGTTGATATACTTCGTTTCAGCTTCGGTCCAGACGCAGCCGATGCTACAAGCGCGAGCATGTGGCCCAGAACAGTGCTTGCACTGCACGAGCGCGCGTGCTTGGCAGGGATGCTGAAAGCCCGGAGCTCGCGCTTGTAGCTTTGGCTGCGTCTGGACCGAAGCTGAAACGAAGTATAGTGTAATTACTTCGGTGCACCTCCGATGACAGTGCTGCCCAGTACTGGTTGCTGCTGGTCCTACTGGTACAACCAGAGAGGCAGACTTGTACCGTATACGCATTACAAGTATTCAAATTACTTGTAATCGATTACTTTTTGGAGTAATTTTGTAATCAGTCGATTACTTTTATTAGGCAGTAATCACAAGAGTAATCTGATTACTTTTTGAAGTAATAAAATTACTTGTAACCGTTACAATTTGCCCACGGGACCCCCCCCCCCCCCCCCCCCCCCCGGAACACGCCTTTTTTTATGAAAGGACAAAAATTAATTTTTGTCCTTTCATAAAAAGAAAGATTTTTGCGGAGCTGTAGGAAACGAGGTCAATCTCTTTCTATCTACAGTTTCTGTGGAATGTCCGTTTTTTTGTTTTTTTTCGAGCTGGGACTGGGAGTGGGAAGCCCCAGGAAAGCCACAGTGCATGACAAAGGCCATTCAGGGCGATGTTTGAGGATGCAGAATGTAGCTTTCTGAGTCCTTCGTTCAAACTAGCCTCCTCACGCACGCACACACAGAAATAAAAAATAAAAAAAATCCTGCTTAGGGTACTTACACGCAGCCCCGGCCTAGGAGAACCAGAACCGAAGAATGCCTAAAGCGGATGCAAAATATAACAAAGGCAGTTGAAACATTTTCCCTACGTGGTCTTTGTGACAAGCAATGTTTCGAGTTGAGAAGTGGTCGGGGCGATCTTTTCCGCTAATGGATACTACACATGATCCGTTTCGAATCCTGGAGCTGCTGCTCTTTTGTATAACATGCGAGCTCATCCACATGCGAATAATAAAATGAGCGACGCAAACTTTGAGCGACAACCCTTGCTCAAACTTGACAAGATCTAGAACCCCCTCCGCTCCCCCCCCCCCCCCCCCCCCCCCCCCCCCCCCCACACACACACACACTGGCGAACGCCCAAATCATTAAACGTCTTCAAACGAATTCTATGCTTGTGTCCGCACTGTGAAGGTGCAACGACCACGAAGAGGGAGTCAGTTTTTCTTCTTCAATACTTGTGCAAATGCAATATAGCAAATGCAAATGCAGTGCAATATAGGTCGGAAGTAGTTCATTGTTATGAGCGCTAACGATGTGTCTTCACACAATAAAGTAATCGGAAAAGTAACAATTACTTCCTTAAGTAATGTCCAATTACTTTTGCCGTCGAGTAATCAAGTAATCTAATCAAATACTTTTTAGCCAAGAGTAATAGTAATTTTAATCGATTACTTTTTTTTTAGTAACGTGTACAAGACTGCAGAGAGGGTGAAAAAATTCTGATTGAGCACAGTTAAATCACCAGAGTGAATGATGGAAGTGAATAAGCTTAATTGTGCATGCAGTTGCAAGCATATGCATCCTGCCTGGTGCTCCTTATGTGTGCACACTATGTGCTAAACCATTGCTTCAGTGAAATGCAGTTCCAGGGTTGCCTCACAGGTGGCGCCAGCTTGCCGGTGTGTTCTCTCATCGTAAAAGATCGCAAGAGCTCGGCCCCAAGGAAATGCAAGTGTGTGAAACGGACCTAAAGAAATGCAGGATCGTCCCGAGCTTCTTATCATATTGCTCCTCAGCCAATGAGATAGGCCAATAAGAATATTTACGCCGACGAACGAATTGAGAAACAAAAAACTTGACTTTAAGAAGCCACACCTCGCGTTTCTTAAACTGTTGGAACCCATCGATTCATTTTGCTGCGATGCAGGGGTCGGCGCTGAGAAGGCATGGTGCGTGTGGCGGTGCTGGGCTGCGGCGGACTGGGGGTGAATGTGGCCGGGGAGCTGGCGTACCATGGCCACGAGGTGCGGGTGTTCGACGCGGCGGCTGAGGCCCTGGACCGGGTGCAGCCCCGCCTGGCCGAGGACCGCAAGGTGCTGCGAGAGTGCGGCCTGCTACAGCAGCCCGGCCTTGTGGGCTCTGTCTACTGCATGAGTCGCCTGGAGGATGCCGTCAGGGTGAGCCTTCCGGCACCCGTTTGTCGCTCTTAGCCCGGTTCACCATCTGAATGCCTAGAGCGCGTCTCCGGCCGGTGTGTCAGTATATATATGTGAATGGGCATTGTACCCAACGTTGGGTTGCGCGATTATTACTGAAAGATGCTCCCAGGGTGGCACTCGTATGGCACTGTCCAAATTATTCATTTTCAGCGGAAACACAATCACCATTTCAAACTCGTACTAACATTTAAACCTTGATTTAACAGATTTTGAAAAGCTTTCAGTTGTGAGAAAAAAAAATAGGAAACAACAACAACAGGAATTGCTTGTCCACGGTAGTTGCATTGCACTTTGTTTGCCGCATTTAAACCGCTATAAATAAGCAAAGCTTCCGAATAGCGGCACTTCAGCTATCGTGTTGCTTGACATCATTGTTGCCTGTCATCCAAAGCTTTATCATAAATCACGAAAAATGCTTTTCCGTCCTCCAGAAATCTGGAAACAAAAACTTTCAGCCTTTCCACTCTGGTAAAGAAGGAAGGCCAGCGAAGCTGTACTATGGTGGGAATAAAGTAATGGCCGGCTGCAAGTCGGGAAGCCAGAGGGGAAAGGCTGGAAAGGTTGCCGCCATCTATGAGCGACAGTTGCTCATAGATGGCGGTAGCTGTCTGGAGTGTTGGGTCGACATTTATTTTCTGGCGAACACAATCTTGGGGAAACTAGCCCCTTAACAGCTCCGCTCTAAAAACAGTCTGCGACAAAACAATACAATATCGCCTTAGCTTAGCACATCTAAAGGATAGGAAGTCGCATTTCTAAATCGTAACACTGGCCAGCTGTGCCCCATCTGCACGGGGCAGCGTGGCACCCACAAACAAATCGGAATAGAGTGTCAACACCGAAAGCTTAACTTATCGAGTGGACTGCATGGAGCGTGGTTTGAAGGCTGTCTTTGTGCCCTCCCAGGAGGCAGAGCTTGTACTGGAATGCATCAGCGAAGAACTGGGTTCCAAGGTGGAGCTGATGGAGGCGGTGACCCAGTGCTGCCGGCCCTCGGCCGTGCTGACAACCAGCACCATGCGTCTGGGCGTGGACGCCATCTTTGAGCGGGCCTCGGGCAAGGAGCGCTGTCTCGGCATGCGCTTCCTCTTCCCTGTTTACGCCATGCCAGAGGTAGGCACCACGTTTTTTCAAGCCGAGACAATCATTCCTTTGAGCACCGAGTTCTTCCTTTGAATGATCCCAAATTTTGACTTTGTGTCACTTAAAGCCACCAGAGAAATATAATGCTAAAATGACCATTGAAGGTGTTGCATTCCTTCCGATCCTGGAATAAGTTAAATTTAAAAGGCAATGCGTTATAGAGTTAATATCATAATTTAAAGGAAAGGGTGGTCCCAGTGGGCCCATAGCACTTGCAACATCTTAATATACAAAAAGAAGCAGCAAAACATATAACCTCTAAGTATAAAGAGCCCTGCGCAGATAACACTTTGATCATCTGTATCCTCACACGCAGACTTCGTATCCACACCCGAACCGCATCCACAATGTTCTTAAATAATTGAATCCGATCCGCATCCGCAGACTTCGTATCCGCATCCGAACCGCATCCACAATGTTCTTAAATAATTGCATCTGAGTCTGATCCGCATCCGCAGACTTCGTATTCGCATCCAAACCGCATCCACAATGTTCTTAAGGGGGGACATTGCCTGGGAGGGTCAACTTTTGAACCGTTCCCTTAAATTGATTCAAACTTTCAGGGTGAATTGAACCCCATTAGGATTGATGACATCTAAAGTTTCAGTCTTGTAGGCCAATTCTACAACACACAGTGCTTAAAAAGCTCCAGAAAAAAGTTACTTCAGGAGGAAATGTATTTAAAAAAATATAATAATTGCAATGCACAAAACGTTTGTTTTAAGAATACCCATAGTGCAAGTTGAGGTAAAAATGAATTGTAGAAAATGCAATTCTAAAGGAAAACAATAACACCCAAAAAGTGCAAAAGATTTTAACAAATTTCTGTGTTTTAAAATATTCAGTTTTTGTCATGAAGAAGTTAGCTTTTTCAGATAATCGGTACCTTAACTTGTTCCTCAGGAAATTTCGGTCCAGGACACCACTGAATGAAATCTTTACACTTTCGAAATGTCAAATGATACATTTCCTCATACCACATTTCCTGCCAAAAAGCGGAACTGAGAAAAATGCATTTGATGTTTCAACTTTAGGTTTCTTTCTTTTGCATAAGCCCTAAGGTAGGTAAAATTCACCTGGGGCATTGTTAGCACCTTCCTCTTTGAGACTTTGTTGTTCCCCTGGCAATAGCTACCAGTTTGTGTCATTTGTAGGCAAGCTAGGTAACTTTTGTAGCAGGCATTCCTTGACAGATAAACTGGCAAAAACGAAGAGGCAAATCATACCAAGGAAGAGCAGCAAAGCAGGAATATGGTCTGAAGTGGAAGATACTGAGAAAGGGTGTTACTGAAGATGACATAATATCAAGGCACCGGGAAGGACCAATCGTAAACCCTGTTCCGGGTCTCAACCAACAAGATTGCCCATACCAAATGTTCAGGATTTCTTCTGTTTGGATGTAAAGGGTTCTCCTGGCCATTGATACTTCTAAACTTTGAAAGTTTCTACGGGCTAAATCTAGAGTAGATGGCGCTTCTAATGAGGGTGAGATGTTCTGGCTACGTTAAACTAGTATGAAGCAGCACTAAATAAAAAACACGCAAAACCTGCTTCCTGCTGACTCAAAGGGCTGCCGCCATGTCGAAAATAATTTATTGTGAGATAAATCTTGCATCTATAAAAATTATATTTTCTGAAACCATTCTTTGCAAGTTAATAAACATAAAAATATACTTTTTGAAGAAAAAAAAAAACATTTTTTTCTGAAAATTTTTAATTCCAAGGTCATGTCCTCCCTTAAATAATTGCATCCAAATCCGATCCACATCCGCAGACTTCGTATCCGCATCCGAACCGCATCCACAATGTTCTTAAGTAATTGCATCTGAATCCGATCCGCATCCGCAGACTTTGTATCTGCATTCAAACCGCATTCGCGAAATTCGGAACCACATCTCATCCTCAATTTGCGCATCCATTTTACATCATGAAATCAATAATGAATAAAAAATTTTAAAAAGTGTCTGAATGGTATTCTATTATAACGGACAAAGAGCGTGTTGGTGTGGGTCAATATTGAAGAAAGAGTAAACATGTAAGACAAAGACGACATGTTTATGGGCATATGCTATAAGCCATCTGCTTACCTTTGTGCAAAGAACTTCATGTCCGAATATGGTGAAAGTTGTATTTATAAAATAAGTGATCATCCTTCCAGAGACACTTCTCATCGCTGGAAGGATGATTGCAGTCTGTGACACTGACACTCTGTCCAGAAGACGTGCTCAAAAGGAAGGAAATTTTAATATTTATTTTTCGTCTCGCTTTGTAAAACCCACTTCAAGCAGACACATATTTTATAAACATAAAAATTAACAAGGGACATACTAATAACAATTTGTCATTTTATTTAGGCCAAACAATGAAAAAGTCTGATAGGAAAAGTGCTCACTTACCGCAGCAAAGTACTTGTGTACTATATATGATAAGGCACGAGTACACCACAGGGAAAAGTTCACAATATTCAGTAATGGCAACACCTCTTATCGGTTCAGTCTTAAACACGAACCTTCAACTGCATGTTCGGAGCCATATACTTAAAAACAACCCAGTGCCAACTGTCGAGAAAAAGAAAATTTATACACACGCAGTGTTTCACTTGTCAAGGTTGTTGTGAAAAAAAAGAACAAAAAAAAAAAAAAAACAGAATATTGTCAACAAGGACGGATTCAGACTTGTTCACGTCTCTTAAATGAATACCCGCTAATGAGAAGTCTTGCTCCGTTGGTGCACTTGATGCTGGGATGACATATGCATGAACTGCGCTACAAGATTGAGGTGCGGAAACTCATGCTGGTGCAAGTTACACCACCCCAGGGGATCGAATTCAGTCTCCTCGATGTAATGTAGACCATGTCACGGGAGTTGCGAAAATCCGCATTATAAGCGGTACCGCGCTATAACCAAAACATCAATTTTTCAGGCCAAAATACATGCCGTGAGACAACTTACCTTTGTAAAACAATTTATTTTATGTTAGATAAAAAATAAAACTTCGTCTGAGGAAAGTTTTTATCGCACCAGACTAGTACACTTCTCTCTCCAGTATGTCACAGATTTTGAAAGAAATGAGTGACTTTTGCCTGGCGCAGCCTTTTAACGGCGTTGCGGACGGACGTTGCGAGTGTTCAGGATTGCTAACCCTAATAATTTTTCTCCAGTGATGAAAACGCTTGAAAATCGCATCCTTTATACGGTACGCGCCAGTAATACCTTGAACTTGAGCACACGCGTGAAAGGCTTTAAATAAGAAATCCGGGCGATGTTCGAAAACACAAATGCTTAGAAAGCACCACTGTAGTCGAAGTCAACAAACATGATGACACGGGCGTTTCTCCTGTTTTGAGAGTGCCGCCACGACATCGTCGCACGAGTAGGTGGATCTTCCCTTCTAGTACATGCAGGGGTATCATAGCGACACGCAACGAAAATTCACAGTCAAGGATAGTGCTTTTACGCGGAACGATGAGCTTCCACCACGCCGTCCACATCGACGATCACCACCGACGCCATGTTTACAGACAAAAGAAGCCGGCCTGCGACCGGCATGCAACGCGCGCGACCAGTTCTCCTCGTCCTGTGATTGGTCTGTCGTTGCGGTTGTTTCCAACGCAGCGGGGGAAAGTTGGGCTTGCTCCAACTCCTTGTGTCGTGAACGACACTTGCGTGCGCCCCTCCGTCGCTATGGTAACTGAAGCCTCTCTCTTTGCTTCTCCTCGCTTCTTCGAGCAACCTCCTTGCCCTGCGAGTGCCGCTTGCGGCTAGCGCCGTTATCTAGTGTTATACAGGGAAGCGTGCTCGCTGCGCCGGTCAGCCGGTGGTGTCGGCGGTCAGCCGCGTTATACCCAGTCCTGCACTATATGTGGTTACGTTGTAAGTGGTCTATACTTACTTGTGGGCAAAGAAGCCACTTGCAGACTTCTTTTTTTTTGTGGCTTGTACGTTTTGGGTTTTCTTTGCCCAAAGAATGTTCTCTGCTCTTTTCCTGCCAAACAAGAACACACAACACTTCCTTGGGACGACTGATGCTCCTGCATTCTTTACTTTCTCTAGGGATAGCATTTTTGGCACGATAGAAAGTTCTGAAGCTATCTTCGGTGAGAATCAAATCTTTCTTGAAGTAAAAAACAATTTTCTCCCCAATCGTCACCTCTTATCTAAGAGATCACACTCGCTTTTTCAGTCTACATTGTGCGGTCGCACATGTTTATGAGCCTTCTCCAGGCACCATAGTCGTGGCGTATTCTTTCCCCGGTGCCGCACCACATCGGCGGCGTTTTCGTGCGATGTGCAGGTGGAGCTGCAGCTGTGCCGGTGGACGTCGATGGAGACACTGTCCTGGGTGCGGGCTTTCCTGGAGCGCATGGCCAAGACGGCATTCTTCCGGGCGGGCTCGGAGCCCCTGGTGCTCTCGGAGCCCGAGCGGGAGGCCCGGCGCACGGCCGCCGCCCTGCACGGGCGTGCCGGGGCCGCCGCCCTGGTGGCACGGCGCCCGCCCACCCTGGCGCTGCCGGACCTCGCCAGCCCGGTCAGTGGCAGCCACTAACTAAGCTACCCAAGTCGGCCTTGTTGGCCATGTTCAATCGTGCACTTCTTTTCCAAAAATGCAGCGATCTGTTAGAGATATCGCTGTATGAGTGACGTCTTTGGGTCTCGCAGTGTCCCGCCTATTCGTCCAGCCTTGTTTTGTGAGCTCGAAGTTTCAATTCAGTATCCCTTTAATGTATAATTTTCAGAATTGCCGAGTTTGGGAAATTTTAATACTGTGCGCTTAAAAGAAGTGGGCCCTTTTGCAGTATTTTACGGTATGTAGTTTTCAAGAAACTCTCAACTTTATCGCCGACGTTTCTACCCAACTTTTTTACGATACCCCTTTCAACAAATATGGCACAAAGAATGTTGGAACCGTATGTTTATTCTAGATGAAAAGAGACGTGCAATGATACCGTGGGTGACGAAGAATAAATTCTGAGGAAGCGGGAAGAGATTTTCGAAAAATGCTTGAAAACAGCCTGAACATGAATCTTTGAATCCATGTAACTATGTAAATGTGCACTTCCTGAGTATAGCACATTGAAATTATGTTGTTTATGACTAACAGATAAAAAGAAATGTATTAAAAATAACTTTTTTTATTTTTGTTTCTTAAGACGGGTCTCTCCTTAAGGCTGGTTCATGCTTGTGACTGCTTATGATAGAGTGTTTAAAGCCTCTTGTGATCTCTTATGACGAGAGAGCACACTGGTGCCATCTGTCGGGTAGCCGTGGACTATTAACTTTTCCCGTATATTTCCTTTTTTTTTTTCTTTCAAGCATCATTCTTTTTTTTAGCTCAAAACATTTTTGACGATGCTATAAACAATTATTTGTAGGCACCGGTTGCACGTCAAAAGGTCCTTGGGCGGTTCAAATTAATCCTTGGTCCCCCGCCGGGGCTTGCCAGACGCCCTTCGTTGGTTCGGAGCGTAAAACACCCAAATTTGACGCGCCGAGTTGGACCCTCTCCCCTCCCCAGGACACGCTGTGCAGCGCCCTTACGGCCGAGGTACTGGAGACCGGGCGGGACAAGGACTGCGTGGTGTGCATGGACGAGGAGCGCAACTGCGTGCTCCACCCGTGCCACCACCTGTGCACGTGTGCCGCCTGCGGCCGGGTCCTGCTCAAGCGCCAGGACGCCTGCCCCATCTGCCGCAGGCACATCACCTCCATCTTCCGCGTCTTCCACTCCTGAGACGCCCCCTGGAACCTGGCCAACCGCCCTTGCATCTGCTGCCCTCTCGCAAAAAACAGTAAATATGGGGCTTTTTTTTGGGGGGGGAGGGGCTTGGGGACATAACATTGAAATATAATAGTCATAACATGTCGGCTAATTAACTAAAATGTGTTGATTAAATGTTTTAATTATTGAAGGTAAAGATATTATTTATATTAGAAACTCGCTGAATGTCATCAAAAACTGCTAAATAAATGAATTTGAGGAACGTTTTGGGCATGCAACAGGTACAATGCTGGTTCTGCGAAAACGTGCCTGCGCAGTTTTTCTCTTTTAATTGTTCGCTTTTCCACACCGACAGCATTGCAAATGTTGCACGAATGATAACTTTAGCTCGCCACTGTGCTTCCCACGCGCCCCACATATTTCTCATATTTAACTTAGTGGTTTTCAGTGACTCTCAGCAAGTTTCTCATCTGAACCATATGGTTATATTTACTAATACAAAATTTAATTAAGAAATTTTACTTAATTAATCGACTTGTCGTGACGATTATTTCCCTACATTATACCTGCCAGGCCGCATAACTCATCCGCATAGAGCGCATTAGTGTAGCTTCCACTGCTTTTTAATAACAAATCTGTAAAACCTAAAAAAATTTAAAAAATCACTTTGTAATTGAACGTGAACATTTGACAGTAGTCTGTCTGATTGGGGCAAGATTAATTTATAACGTAGGACATCCGGAAGCTTTAGGGTGTTCCATTGTTTGGATGCCTATGTGGCCTCTTCCTTAGGGGTGAATGTGGCTATGGCCATTGAGGAGTGGCATTTTCCCTTTTGTCTTTTTCTATGGTGGTGCATTTGTCTTTGGGTTGGTGATATTGCACAGCCCATTGACAGAATCCAGGGATCCTGGGTTCACCCCTGCCCGTTTAATTTTGCGTGAGCATCGTACCGGTGTGTGGTGGTGTATTGCTACTGCGTGGTGCGCGTTAAAGACTCCAGGCTGGCAATAGTACGGCACTGGCTACATTTCTCATCTACAGCTGAGATACCAGATGCCCTCTGAGGCTGGCTAACTTCTGGCTGTTTCAACATACACACAACTCAATGTATTTAAATGTTTTTTATATATTACCTTTGGGACTTTGTACTTGGAGGTGTGGTGAATTAAAGAGGCACTAAATAAGTTTTTGAGCTACAATGATATTTTTATGGTGATAGCTTAATCCATGTGGTATGCCCGTTTTGGGCTAAAAAAAGGTGCATATTTGCATTTGCAAAATGCATCTTTATTACATTTTGAATAAACAAAGACCACACATGATCATAACTTTAGGTTCCCTAGAACCTTTAGGACACATAAATTGAGCTATTGCTAAAAAAATACAGACTTACGAAGCTCTTCAATGTTCATTTAGCCCAATTTTGAAACCTAGATTTTTATCCAACATCATATTTATGACTAGATATACAAGTTTAGGGGGGGGGGGGGGGCATTGGACTTGCTCATAAACAGAGTATAGTATACATTATTCAATTCAAGAATCCATAATCCTTACAGTATTCTTTTCAAAATAATTTTTTTATAGAATCATTTTCTCATATCTCAATTTACACATGAAACAGGCCCTACATAAAGTGCCTACTTTGTATCACTCAGGCTTGAAAGGTTTTGTCATATTCAAACTTGAAACTCACACACCCTAATAGACCAGTTGCTAAAACCTCAAAAACATCTGCGTGAAGCACGCAATGAATTATAGGAACCCCTTTTACGCTCCTCTTTGCCCCCAAAGCATCCATCGTGCACACTGAAGAGATGAAGACAAGCGCAGTCGCACACCTGCCCTTGCTTATTCGCTTGCGTTGCCTTTGGTCCTCTCCGCCATCTGCTACAAAAGGTTGTGTACAGTCAGCTCCCAGAAATTTAACCAGTGCAGTACAACCACTAGCCTGGGGTCTTGATTGTGCACCACGCGGTAGTGGTACACAATTGCACGACGGTACGATGCTCATCCAGATCGAAACGGGCAGGGGTGGGGCTCGAACCCAGGATTTCTGGGTTCTGCGGTGCGAGTTTCCACTCCATGTGCTCAGAGCTGCAGTGCGCTAACACACTCGGCCACCGGTCACCCCTCAAAACATGTATACCGTAATATCCCGAGTCATCGCCCACCCCCCTGCCGCCTGAAATTCATTAAAAAAAAAGTGGGGTGGGCCATGTCTCGGCGGGTAAGCATAAAAAGTTTGCAAAAAGCTAAAAAATATGCCTTTTTTTATGTACGTATCTATCGCGGCTGCACAAGAGGTACATATTGAATTCCAAACTCGAATTAGTTCAGTTGTTTTATGCAAGAATGCTTATTAAAGAATGTTTTACTATCGCAAAGTCCGTTGCTTGCATACGTGGAATGAACACTGCCGATCAGCATACAAAGCGAACGTTGGTTCCGTCAATGCACATTTCTACCACCACAATGTTCTCCTTGTTAATAAAAAAAAAAAATTTTTTTGAGGGTTAAGCATTTTTTTAGTTGTGAACGCGAAAGCATGAACGTCGTTCTTACGCTCCTTTAGTTTGTCTGTGGTGTACTGGCGTGGACGGCCAGATTTCGTTACTGCCAAGGTTGCCGAGCGCGCATTCTCATGAAGTGGCCGCCAATGGCTATCTAGGAGTCGTTTTGCTCAGCCAATAAAAGAATGAGCATTTCTTTCACTTTTCTTTTTTTTCAGTTACAGATGGCGTTGGCTTTGCTCTATGGGACAGTTAATGCTTTTGCATTTAAAAATATCAAAAAGAAGATAGAAAAACCAACCAGGCGCAACGAGTGAGCGGACGAAAGAAGTGGCAATTAGCGATGCTGGGAAAGTGGAAAAGTCGGTGATCATGTTGGCAAATATTTTGGCGCCGGCCAAGTCGGGCAGCTTCTGAATCGCAAAAAGCCGGCTCGTGCGCAACTTTCTTGTTTGGTGCGTAAATGTGTGCGTCCGTGCACAGCATGCTATTAACGCGGATCGAGGCGGCATTGCTGCGTGCCGTGGACGGCGCCACGAGCACGAAGCTTGAAATGGGACGCTCTACAAACGTCTGTGTGCGGTGTTCCAGCAAAAATTGTGTTCCCTTTGGCTTTGGCTTAGACATTGCGCAACCTTACCAACCGGAGTCGCGACGTTCCGGAAAAAGGAGTGGGTTCGCGGTGACCTTACTTTGGTGGAGATGGACTTTGAAGCTTACGCTCCGCGTTTACATTCTGGGATATGGAGCGTTCACTGACCTTGTGATCCCTGAATAGGTTACTGCTTGTGTTATCTTCCTGCCTTCTCTTCTTTTTTTTTTCCCTGAACAAATTTTTTGTAAGCAAAACAAAGTTTCATTTTGTTACCTCTATTGTTTTCCTTTCGCACGCATGTACTACGACTTCAGGGTCACGGAGTTCGGGGAGGAAATGCTTAAACAAAGGAGTGTCTTTTTCTTTTTCTTTTTACCATATTTTCCGGACTATAGTCCGCACCCGGTGTATAATCCGCAGGGGGAAATTTGGGGTCAAAAATTAAAGATTTTGCTTAGATAGCCCGCACCCGGTGCATAGCCCGCACCCAGTGCACACCCCGCACCCGGTGCATAGTCCGCACCTTGTGCTTAGTCGACACGAAAATCTTCTCATAGACGGCACAAGTTTACAAATGTCTGCTTTTTTGCTCACAATAAAGCCTATAATGTGCATAAATCATCATTAACATACACTTTCGTGCACAAAATTCGTCACGTCTCGTCATAATAAACGATCTTGAAAAACATAATTCCTGTATAGGAATTATGTTTTTCAGCCAGAAATTTCAACTTTTAAACATGTATAATCTGCGGACTGTAGCCCGGAAAACACGGTACTTTTTCACGGACGTCCTGCAACTGGACGGCCTCATCATTCGGATAGAATGAATGTTTGCGGGTCAGAGAGTCAGCGTTGGGGCATTGGTAAAGGCAAGCAATCACTCCATGTTTTTTTGTTTTTTTTAAAGTTGCATTTGCCCAAAAGGTGGGGTGGGCGATGACCCTGGGATGAGCTATGACGCTGGATATTATGGTGGAGCACGGCACATTTAGCACAAGCATGTGATGACTCATTTTTCTTGTTTGTTTTGCGTCCGAACAGCCATCTGAGTACTATACTACCTCAACTGAAAGGGCTCATTCAAAGCGGCGGTTGAATCTAATGTTTGGCGCTTAAAACGCACGCAGGCACCAACGTTGCATTTGGCCTAACTACGCCACACAGCGCACATTTAAGCATGAAAAGGAAATATCAGATCGAGTCATTGTTGTCGAGACGTAAGGGGCATTTCACGTTTAATTGATTTGTGATTTTCGACCGCAACAGAGTTTCCATATGCCCCCGTAAAGTTCCCTCTCCCCTACAGACGGACTATGATACAAGGAATCGGAGGCGACAGTAAACCGCAGCATTGTCGGCAGCGAAAGACGTTTGGTGACGGGCACTGTGTCAAGGTCCCGCTTCAGAGTCCTCCCCGGCCAGAACTGTCCCCGAGGATGTTGCGGTAGTAGAACATGTTCATCTGCTCCAGGAAGATGAAGGTGAGCACAGTGTGGGGACCGAGCCGGGCATAGTACGGCGTGAAGCCCTTCCACAGGCTGAAGAACCCCTCGTTGCGCACCACCTTGGCGAGCACGTCCTGCAATGGATGGACGGATGGATTCGGCTGACCTCATTTAATCGGGCGACAACTCGCGCCACCTAGCCTAGCCTTCAACACGGCGGCGCTATCTGTCACCGGTGCTTCGAGGCGGCGGCAACGACTGCGTCTAGTCACGTTAGTTATTGAACTGTATATTGATTGTTCATAAAAGTATTGTGAGTGTAAACCTGGTTCTTATCTGGCACATTTGCTCCTGTCAGAAGTCTGTTTCTACAAGAGCGACTCTGGCTTAACGCATGCTGCCTTAATGAGGCGGTACCAAAAGCGGGAACTCTGAAGGTTGATTGGAAAATGTGATAGAGTTCCATGTTTAGTCGCAGAATGAACACACATTTTTTTTTCCGAAAAATCGATGCAAAGTTCATTACGCTAAATAAAATTTTTGCGTCCGTATTTACTCGCATAATGAACGGACCTTTTATCCTGAAAAATCTACGTAACTTCTTACCTCTTTGCACGCGGCGCGCGACCCCGTAACCAAACTAAACTGTGCAAAAAGAAAAAAAAAAAAAAAGCTTGTTTTTTTTGTTTTTTTTTCTTAGTTCCGTAGGTTGTTGTTTTTTTTTTGCCGCCTTTAGCAAACTGTTTTGTCTGCTTAGGCGTTGCTTAGGCGAGGGTTTCTCCGCTTATCTTTCTTATCTCCTTGCGACCTCAAAGTCCAGACTGCGCTGTGCAAAAAAAAAAAAGCTCCTCTCCATGTTTTTTTTTCTTGCTTCCGTTGGATCTTTTTTTATTTTTTTAAGGCCTTTTGCAAGTCGTTTTGTTCGCCCACGCTGCCCATGCATTCGCGACCTCGCTGCACCAGGATAGAAATGTGCGTTCATTTTGCGCACGTCAAAATTTTGATGTCCGAGTTGGGGGTGCGTTTAATATGCGAGTGAAAAAAAAAGAAGTCAAAATTTTGAGAACCGACTTGGGTGGTGCATTCATTACGCGAGTGCGTTCATTGTGCGAGTAAATACAGTAATACATCTTTAATATGGGCACCTCCGTTCCTCCCAAAAATCGTCCATGGTGTTAGTTGTCGATAATAACGAGACAAAAATGCCTGTGTTTACCCAGTTCATCCCCGAAACTTTGGTTTGTATGTGGTATCGCAAAATATCTTGCGTGTGCACCAACATACACTTTGTTTCTTGTAATTTATTCTCTTATTTCAACCTCACTTTCCAAAAGTGGAGTACAGAGGGCAGAGTAAATAAGAGTACACAAAGCAATAACACTCAATGAAGCTAGCATTACGCTGCTTATATCCCATGGTATAGGACGGTAGGTTAAGAGCATATCTAATGCACACATGGCTATTCAAATCGTGCCAATCGGCACGGCAGTTTCGTGCCAAAATGGTTTTGGCCAGAAAAAGAAATACACTACCGCAGTTCAATCTTGAAGTACTCTATATGCAAATGACTACTTCTAGTATATGGAAATGATTATGTACTTTACTATACATCGTTGTTCCTGCTTATAAGGTTCGGTTAGCGCATTGTTACCCAACAAGCCAGCATGCCCTAGACGTTCTTGAAATGGCCATAACCTGCGTTGCTCCGTAACCTTTGTGACGCTGCGCTTAAACTGCCCTTGCAAAACTCCATTGTGATATTGACAGGAAAATACCCGTGTCCCACGCTCCGACACTGGGGTTGCTCAACTGTCATCTGAGTGAGTTACACATGGGTGTACTCAGTGTTACGCAGACATTATGAAACTTTTTAGATGTGCTGTAAGCAATGTATTGCAAAGACCTAGGTAATTTTCACAAATTTTGCGACTTTTAAAATATTCTGAAAAATTGGTTACGCAAATATATGGGCCCATGGTAACGAATACATAGCATATCACTCTCAGTTGCGAATTTTCTCACCACCTAAATATCCCCAAGACACGCACTATGCAAACTGTTAAGCTCGCAAAATAAAGTTTACGGTACTTTTTTTTCTAAATACTAGAACACTCACAATTGCACCCCTGTACTCTGGTTTCCCATCGATGATCTTCATGTTTTGGATCCTGGAGCAGAGAAGGGGATAACAAGTAATTGACTGAGTTGTGACATATACATAAACACAAACAGAATTGCTATACTAATTGCAGCAATGTGCTCCAAGGAGCTTTACCTGCACCGTTCTGGTCAGAAAATGAAGAATAAAGGTGATATCACACACCTGGCCTAGAGTGCTCAAATCTGTGTCTGCATAGCCAATCTGACATCACTCCCAGTTTTTGTCGGTGCAACAGATACCAGTTTTTTTTTTTTTTTTCTCTCAATAAGTCACGAGTCCAAGCAGCCACTTCGCTCGCACTTGTTTAGAGTATACATAAATTTCAGCTATATCTAAGCAACTCTTCACAACTCACAAAATGGTGCCGTTGCTTTCATTCTGTGTGAAAGTAACTTCAGAGCTAGCATACTTTTCCCAAGCTGCTTAATGTCGTGCTAAATTAAGATTGAAAGAGAAATCGCCTAGAATTCCTGAAAAATGGGTTCCGCAAACAATTCCGGTAAAATAACACATTGGAACCTATATTGAGATCCCACTGCGTCGCGAAAATTAGAACCCGCGAATTATTCCAAAACTTCAGCTCTGACCTAAATCGCGGAATATTGAGCCTGCGAAAAATAAGTCGTTTACAGTATCTCTCGCTGTGAACAAGGTGCACTTGCCTCGTCTTGGCAATATCCACTGGCATGGAGGCAGCTGTGGTGATGAGGCCACTGATCATGCTGGCCGCAAAGTGGCACATGATGTTGTCCCTGAAGTAGCCTGCGTCCGACCACACAATGCCATCAAGAAATTGACCAAACTGTCATAAACAGTTAGCATTGTTTCATGGAGTGCTCCGTTAAAATGTTGCTCTCTGCATCTTGCAGGGTTGCAAGAAGTGTGTTGAGACGTGCTGCAAGTTAATTTCTTGAGAAGAATGTCTGCACCTGCAATTCCCGCACACCAATTCTAGGACAAGGAAAGCATTTCCAACGTGCAGTAGCTCGCTCCTGTGCACTAACATTGTTTACCAAAAGTCATTTCCAAAGACTCTGTTCTGAGGGAGATATGGAGCAGAACACGGTTATTACAAGCAGAAAAATCGTCCGTCTTCACCAATTTTCTTCATTAACTGATCGCTTTTATTAAAATTACTGGTGTCGTGAAATGTACTCATTAGTGCATCGACTTGATTGGTAAAATTTGGAGTTTGCCACTGCTTCGTACGAGAGAAGCACGAAAAACGCCGATGTCGTGTTTGTGACAACTGCGTCTTGCAGTGCGCTCTCTTTTATGTCTAGCAGTAAGTTACGTCTGTGCTGCACTTACCCGAGTTGAGTAGTAACTGCTTGGCTTGGGAGTAAGATGCCAGCTGAGCAGCATTCACGACCATCGCTCTGCCAATCGTCGGTACGCAGCCCTGGGGAATGGCAACAAAAATGCATCAAGTGATGGCGGAGCATCGTGCGAAGTACCAACAGTATCATTGCAATGTGAGAAGTGAAACATACGCTCGAGTAACAGGCAGATAATGGTTAACAGGAGTGCACAGTAGTGCACCTAAAACACTGTGGATGCAGATATAGGAACTGGGTAAGAACAATTTTGTCCATTTCTTTTGCCTCTGTAATAAATTCACAATGACTAAAAAAAAAAAAAAACTGCTTTAGTTTGGAAGTCGCCTCGGTGGCTCCAAGGCGAGAGCGCTGGCCTACGGATCCCCAGGTGGCGGGTTCGAATCCCGACCGAGGTGCCCGCAGTATGACGGAGGCTTATTGCTTAGAAGGCGCCGTGTAACCGAGCTTTCGGTTGCACGTCAAAAGATCCCCAGGTGGTCGAAATTAATCCTCAGTCCTCCGCTGGGGCGTGCCAGATGCCTGTCGTAGGTTTGGCATGTAAAACCCCCAAATTTTTGCTTTAGTTTGGAGTGCTATTGACCACAGCGATTCATAAGTCGAAAAAGTTTCAAGATCCCTTCTAGACTGCAAACTGAATCCACAAAAAGATAACCTCTTTTTTTTTTTTTTTTACAACTATCCTGTCCTTATTTTTATGCATTGTTTTTCTCATTATGTAGTTATTAACCCCAAGCTGGCTAAAAGCATGGCTGTGGTTGCCTCTACCTGATTGGGCTTGAACTTACAGGTATGTAAAGGTCTTGTCTGCTCATGACCTTCTGAATTGCTGTGTGCTATGGCAGGTTTTTGGAGATCGTTGCTGAACAGGAAGTTGCAGCAGACTTCCACAGCATCCCTTTTGTGCAGACGAATTGGCTGTTTTCATTGAGCTCACCGTAAGCCACCGTGCTCGCAAGTACCGAGGTCCTTCCTCACACCGACTTTGTGTGAAGTAGACCCAAGAGAGAGCGACACAATAACATCTCGTGTCTAATGGCTGGAGTGGAGCAGATAAGCTGCTTGTGGCTCCATCTAGTGAAAGGCTGATCCTGATTACTCATTTCAGTTGCCTCTGTTTCCTGTGGTTTGCCCTAAGTTTCAATGGCCCTAGTCTTAACTAGGTCAACAGCTTGACGTGAGGGTGCTGCAGGGGAAAGGGGGAGAGGGTGTGAAGCGTACCCTCCAGAGTGTCAGCACTCCTTCCTCTCTGCTCATCCGGAGAAGCGCGTCAAACACATTCTTGTAACCCCTACGCTCGGCTTCCGGTAACCTGCGAGTAGAACGTGCAGGTCAGTCGAATCAACCAAGCTTATTAGAGTACACCAATGGGAAAAGAATGCAGCAACAGTGCATACACCTGATGCGTCTCGTGAAAAGTTGATAAGTGATGGCTACACCTTCTATTCCAGTGATGGACACTGTAAGTGAATAGAGTGGTGTGCTTTTTAACACATGCTGGACTGAAAACAAATTTTGTTTTTGTGTGGCAAAGCAATTGGCACCGTGTTTAAAGTAGACTTTCTTTGCACTGAATACATAAACTCTGCTAGTTTATTCCTGCTTTCTCTCAGTTGTCCAAATGCCAAAATGAAGCTTGAAAATAATACTGATTGGGAAGATTTCCTCCTATTCCTGCAATAAGTCCTGCTACATAAATTTAAATTAAAACAGAGATAAGCTATGCATGTCCTTGCGATTTCATATTATAATATTTATAACTTTGAGAGGATAATGCTCAAAAGTCTATACACACACTATGGGTTCCAAAGCCCAGCCAACTCAGTCCTTTAGATCAAGACGTGTTTGAGGTATGGACTGACGAAGGTTATTAAAGTAATTCGTATCTAGATGTCATTCTGTATCGGTGCAGTCCAGTTAGAGAAAATTCAAAAAGCCCACTTCAACCATGCTCTGATGCATTCAGAATGGGTCTTTTACGCTGAATTTTACGTTGCCAGAGCATAATTTCTTTTGAACTCTGCCAACCGAAGAATGCTCGCAAGTAACACACTCTTCTGCCTCAGACAAAGCGTGAGGCTGTACCTTCCATCCGCCGTCATGCGTATGAGAGAGATCTCGGCTGGCGTCCCGCAGAAGGCACCCACGGCTCCGGCCATCATGCCGATGCAAGCCTTGGTCAGGAAGCCGGGAGGTTTACCATCCGAACTGCGGCACAAGAGAAGACGCCATCTCAGATTGGGCATCCACTCTTCAGTAGTTGTAGGCTCAAGGAAACATTGTTACTTTTTTTTTTTAGTAGGTGCGTGTTCTGCCAATTATTTACTAGTACTTGCTTCAATAGAGTGCCTCTCTGCTGGTTGATCTAAAGTTGTGGTCATGTGGCATAGAACGTTTAACGAGCAGACAATTGGTTTTATGTTTTGGAAAATGTTATACAAGCGAACGGTTTAAATAGAGACGAAATAGCTGGGTCATTGTCTCTTGCATTTCCTCAATGACTCTTTTAGGCTTGCCCACCTGGAAGGCATGCTTCTTATATGTGCCCAGCTGTATTGCAGGGAAGCTTCTCTACGGTACGACGGGGCTTGTAGGGAAAAGAATGCCATCCAGACAATCAATCCCTAGTGCCGAATCGTTTCAATTGCGGGCTTTTACATAAACAAGAAAGTGTACCATTTGAAGATATGGTAACTTCTAGAGGATAAGTGCACCTTTCTTGCCTGCTGTCATAGGTGCATGCTGTGCAATTTAATCAAAGACATTCTATGCAGTCTGTTCAAAAAGTAGCTAATTTCTTTAGAGGAGTCTTTGTTTCATACATGGTTTGACAAATAAGTTGGACTGTTTGTAACTTCAAACTAAAAGTAACCATGAAAAGACAAGCAGACTGCTCAGCTGTACCCAGATTACCAGTCTCAGATAGCTGAGAATGAGAGCTCGTCTCATGTCTACTTACGTCGGCTGCAAGGTAAGTGAAATAATTATGCAAAGTCAAGGATGCTGCTTGAATAAACGGGAGATGGAATAGTATTGTGAAGTTGCACACCTGAAGGTTTCAAAGAGCGACGTGTAAACCCCCATTCGGACCGTCGTGTAGGAAGCCTGACGAAGTAGGCCGGCCGACAACCTGCAAAGTGGGCAACATTGTAGCACGTTCGTTTCAGGGCCACACAAAGAGCTTTCTTCTTAAGAGTACTGCGACACTTTGTAATGCCGAAAACCTGCAAAGTGGGCAACATTGTAGCATGTCTGTTTCAGGGTCACACAATGAGCTTTCCTCCTAAAATTATTGCGACACTTTCCAATGCCGACAACCTGCAAAGCGGGAAACATTGTAGCACGTTCGTTTCAGGGCCACACAAAGAGCTTTCTTCTTAAAAGTACTGCGACACTTTGTAATGCCGACAATCTGCAAAGTGGGCAACATTGTAGCACGTCTGTTTCAGGGTCACATAAAGAGCTTTCTTCCTAAAAATATTGCGACACTTTGCAATGCTGACAACCTGCAAAGTGGGCAACATTGTAGCATGTCTGTTTCAGGGTCACACAAATCTTTCTTTCTGAAAATATTGCGACACTTTGCAATGGAAACGGAGCAATGACCTTCATTATACTCTTGATTGAGGCCAAAACTGCCTTGCTCATGTATAGGCTTGAGTTTGACTTACTTAAAAAAAAGTAAAACTCCCTGCATATTCTTGGTTCTATGAAGATATGTGCTAGACGCTTACCCAAAGGGACAAAGGAAAATATAACGAAAGTCGATTCCGTTCAGCTGTCTACTGGATTGAAAAACATGAAGTATGATAAAGGGGATGCTGGTCGCAAGGGCAGCTTGTGTTGCTATAAAAGAAGTTTGAGGTTCCTTTTCCTCGAAGCCAAAGGCAGTTGGATAAATCCAGGCTGCCATATTGAGCATTCTTGCAGGGTTTGGCTTCACGGTGTCTTGTGGCTTGCCCCTTACCTTCTCGACAAGCCTGAATGTTAGCGACCAGCATGACTACTACATGGGGTACTGGATTAAGTTAATAGTATCCTTTAGTGTATAATGAATCAGGGGGCAGTCAGGACATCAGGACGACCTCCCCTTCCCCCTCTTAATCTGCCACTGCTCTTATGTATAATTTATTGAAGCATAACAACTTCCATCAGAATTTGTTTTGAACCTTAACCCGCATTAGTTGCTTTGCTAGAATGTTTTTTGACGCCGCATTTTGGTTCTTCCTCTCCATTGCGAACCGCAGAAGTGACCATATGCAACTCGGTAATGGTTGTGTGATCGGAGCTCTAATTCAAACTTCGGTGAAGCTAATTTGCATTACGATGCAGTTTTGCTGAGACGCGCAACCAAGGCCAGTTTCATGCTCGAGCAAACACTGAAGGGATGGAGCAAAGAATGGGCCTGTTTCACGGCTGTCTGTATATCTTGACTATTTTTTAGCTAATGAGCTGGATCCATCGTTGAAGACATCGTTGGGTGTTCATTAGCTGCCGTGAAGAGTCAAATTGTGGGCGCATCAATCACAAAGCTACCCATTACTGAGCTTGTGGTACACCTGTTAGACTTGGAGTATGGTTACTCGAAACAAAAGAACACACTTTTTTTATTTTTAGAAAGCTGCATCAGTTTTATTTCACTTTTGTTTCGGATAGAACCACAACCGAACGGATGGCACCACATACGGTATGTCCTGCATATTCTTCCGTCCCACAACTTAAACTGAACCTCAGGGTTCTGTCGAAAGATGCGATAGGTGTGATGCGACAGGAAACATCTTCCAGGTACCTTCTCGCGAAACCCTCCAACAATTGTTTGGGTTTTCCATTGGCCTGCTGATAATCGGGCACGAGAGATAGTGAGCAAAGAGCAGACGGCAGTAGCAGGGTCACTGACCCCTTGTGCTCACCCAGCGTACATCCCTCGGATGCCTTCCTTCTGGATGACGCTGCGTATGGCATGGAGGCTCGTCTTGTGCTCCTTGGACTTGCCACCTTCGCCTGCGGAGAGGGAGTGTGTTTGGTTAGAAGGTCTTTGAACATGAATTTTGTCGTTGATATATAAAACATGTCCCAGGAAAGTCTAAAACATTCGGCTAATGTCTGGGACTGGACATCTTGAGGACATTAAATTGCGGTTGTTTTATTTTTGGTTTTGTATTATTGTTTTGTATTGCTTTTTTTTAAGTAATTGAGACATGTTGGATATTTTTAGTTTTAGTGTGTATGTGTGTGACTATATCAAGAGCTTATTTTGTTATTAATACATTCTAATAGTGAACATCTTGGGCATGATGTCTTCCTGGGAACGAAGACGTTTGACTTACGCCCATATATAAAACCATAAGAAAAGATGGTAACGCTTTACAGCGTGGAATTCTATAACAAGCGGTGGAGCATCGCCGAAAGTTGTACTTGCCACTCAACTGCATGCGGTTTTTTATTAGGTCCAGCGGCTGAACAAAAAGTGTCGCAGCCATCCTGTAAAATAAGAAAACTGTTGAAACATCTTATATTTGTTAGCAATTAAAACACTAGTCAAAGAAAGTTGTAGTTTTCTCATTAAGTTTTTTTTTTTTTTTTTTTTTAGTGAATTTTTGATTTAGTTGCATCGAATACAAGATATGGCGTGCACATCAGCAAAGTGCAAGAGGAATAACGAAACGAAATGCGGCCGTCAGCATATTAACCAGCGGCGATTGTTCGGGAAATTTAGTGAGGACTATCTTATATCCGTGCTCTTTTATTCTTTTGACACCACGATAATATAACTTTTTATGAGATATGAAACAACAATGAGAAATAAATAAACACCAGTTACGTATCAAGAACACGGAAATGCGTTAATTAACATGCTGCGCTGAGACCGGCATCAAATCAACATTCGGAGCTGTTCAGATACATCTCTGGCTAATCACTTCAGGCAAATGGAACGTATTGCCGACTTTCTCTGCGTGTTTACTTCAAGACCGCCGTCAAAAGGATCGTTTTACAAGCTGCGACTAAAGATGCCGTGCCACGATAAGCTAGCGATCGGACCTGGGGCGATCCCGGTCGCTCACCCGGCAGAGCCACCGAAGAGGAAACGAACTGGCTTGGGGATGGTCTTCTGGGACGGAGCTTGTTGTGCTGACATGGTCGAGTTTGAATCGTTTCCAGCTGGGTAACTGGTGAGGAGCAAGCAATTTGCCTCCGTGAAGGTCGCGGATGCGGACGACACTGAAAAGAAACCGAAAATAACAAAGAAGTGCTGATGTCGCTGTCGACTAAATGTTATCTGTTTTCTTCAAAACTTTATTATATTTATTTGTATTCATTAGTGATTATAGCTTTTATGATAACTCGTAATTTACTGTTTTAACAAATATTTTAAAATAATGAGCACTTTTTTTCGTGACGAAGGAAGAGCGTCTATACCGCTGTGGCGTCTGCTATCGAGGTTTTCCATTCGCAATAAAACAGACCGAGGAGCCGGTTTGATTACAGTCATTCATTTGACCTTGGCATTCGGTGAGTAGTATGGTACTTAGGATCTTCTTCGCATCGGGTTTAGTCCGTAACGTCTAACTTGACAGCACCTGTACCCTCCCGTTTGTTTTTGTTCGCAATCGCTTTAATCCGGACTTTCGTGGGGTTACTGAGCACAGCGCGACGTCCTCGCGAGCTCCCTTGCTCGAGGTGCTGCTAGGACTGCCGGCGAACCTCCTAGCTTCTGGATTAGCAATGATCTTCGCAATTTATCACGCCTGTACAAATCAGAATCGACCAGGTTATGCGAGTTTCAAAGCTTTGCGCATTCGGGGACACAAAATTGTGGTTTGTGGTTTGTACTCCTTCCACCGGACATTTTTAAGAGACCGCGATATATCGTGATTGATGCTACCTTCACTACCTGTCCTTGCTTACGTATGCATATTTGCGTAACTCAATCATCGCATGCCACTTCAGTTTAGTTCGCTTCTACAAAAAGAATAAAGAAAGTTTTGTTTTCGTGATCGAAACTTCTCATTCGTGCACCTCACAGTCGGGGCTGCAGTAGGGCAATACCTTTTAAATGGCTCGTGCAATTTCGAGAACTCGTGTCTCTTCCCGAGCTCGTGCCAAATGAGAGAAAGAAAAAATAGAAAACGACGAACGTGACAGAACGCACGCTCGTTCGCCGGGCGCCTAGTTCATCGGTTCGAGAACCGAATCTCTGGCTTATGGGACAAGCACTCTCTCTGGTCATCGAACACGGAAGGTTAGGCCGCGATTTACAATTACGATGCATCACACGTCCTGCTATATGCAACAACGAGCGTTTCCGGCTTTCTGTAAAGTCGGGCGGGGCACATTCGAAACAATTTCCGTATAAGGTGGCGATATTCTTTTTCTTCTTATATTTAGATATATATATAGAATTCGTTTTGTTTTGACGTCGGCTGTGTCTTGTCTCTCCTGCCAGGGGAGATTTGAAGGACGGGAGGCGCTCTTGTGGGGGCAGTTCGCTCTCGTATATCTTTTGGCGTGAAAATCGCGGTTTCCGGAGGCTTGCTTGCGTGGCAGAGTCTGCTTAAAAAAGAAAGCTATAATTGAAGTACTAATGTTCGAAGAAATTCAGAATCTATCGGATATTTTCGATTTTTAGTGCTCTTTTCTTTTCACTCTTTAAAGGTTGTTCTTTGGTGACGAAGCAATCTACCGCGAAAGCATGGCAAAGGTTGGCATCAACGGGTAAGAATTCATTTTCTGCATATATATAATTTCTCATTCAGCGATGGGCTTTTTTTTCTCGTCAGCCAAGGCACATCGCCGCGGTGACAACTCGTCTCATTGATGTGACCTCTGCGCGAACTGTCATGGCTGCTTCGCGATCGTCTGCTATTTTTATTTTTCTTCGGCGGTGACTTATTTTACCAAATGTCTTTAACGGAGTTCCTCTTTTCTTCCGTCGCCTGGTTGCGTGATTGACGGACCTGATAACTGCTCCGTCGTTGTAGTGCTGAAGTGATTCAGGACCGGTTTATCAGACTACGACCGAAATCCCGACCCGAGTGTGTCGTCTGCGACGATCGATAGAAGCGGGAACTTGGCGTCGCGTCTGGATGCTTCCTTTGTTCCCGCAAGGATTTCACCACGAGGAAAACGATCGTTTCTCCCTCGCAATTTTTTCTTTACTTTTAACACTGGCTGGTTTTCGCCTTCATTAAACCGAATAATGGGCCATATTTTACCTGCTAGTTTGAGATTATTCTGAAACTCGGTGAATGAAACGGGCATTTGCCTTTGCCAAGGGCACAAGCAACCTGAAAACATCCCATTCAAAGTGATTTTTTTATGCGTTGTGCCAGGGTATGAATGGAGCTGGGTATTTTATCGAGTTCTAAATTAAAAGTACCGACAAAGTCTTCCTAACTCCCTCGAGAGGCATCTAGGATGCAGACTTTGTCGATACCTATAATTTCCATTGAGTAGAGAATGAACTGTTTCTTTCACTTGCTCTTTTGGCAACTTTTGATCCATCATTTGTACGAGGGAACCTTGCTTCTAAAAATTGGGCGCTCCTTCAAACGGGATATTTGGCACCCCGTAATTCAGCCTCGCACTTTCCACAATTGAACCTTTTCTATTAACATTCACTGTCCTTTCCCGTGAGCTCTGGTTAGATCTAGAAGTGTCTCCTGAGAATAAAAATACTGATCTTGGGGGGCAGCACTTGTTTTGTCCTTTTCTCCTGCTTCCTTTTTCTCTTTTTGGGGTTGTTCTGGCCTTGATCTGAAACCCGAAACTTGCAGGTTTGGCCGCATTGGGCGCCTGGTGCTTCGCGCCGCCGTCCAGAAGGGCGTTGAGGTCGTGGCCATCAACGACCCTTTCATCGACGTCAAGTACATGGTGAGGTCCTTTCCTCTGTGCCATTGCCAGTTGCTTCTCTTCGAGGGGTTTCTACTCCCTGAGAATGAATCAGGGTTGCCATATGTTTGGTTTGTCGATCCAGCCAAGTCTTTATGTGGAGCCATTCATCGGCTTGAATTAAGCTTGGAAAGCCTTCTAAATAAACAGCCTTAAAGGGACAATGAAGGCAATTTCGGATATTTTTTTGGCGATTGAACTGTGTTCCCGGCACGTCTCGGGCCACGTTGCCAAAATTTCAGCCGAAACCGGCGCTTGTGTGCCGCGCGAATCAATTAAACAGTCGCGGTTATAATCGTACCGGGATCGATCGAGGCGACGCCCCGAGCGTTGCGGGAGAAACCAGCAGAAGCGGAGGTCACGTGACCCTGCGGGGCCTGGAAGCGTGACGTCACAAGAGACGCGTCAGCGATTGGTCGAAACGAGAAACGTGCTTTCGGTCACGCTTTGGTTCGTGGTTTTTATGAACACTGTTCTAATTCCACTTGAATAACCATGAAAACTATAAATCGAACCAAAAATGATAACTAAACCGCAAATAAAACACCATAATTCTTTTTCTCTTTGCTACACTGCACGCGAAACGGGCAACGAACAACTATGGGCAAACAAAATATATAAAATAAAGAACACAGCGCGGAACACCGCGCTGCTATAACCCACCGCGGTAACCAGAGTCTCGGCGCCCTAAATGCTACCGGTACCGACAATTCACATGTGACGTCACTCCCTACGTCACCTCCGTTTTCGGAGGCCCAAAATTGAGAAACGCAGATAGTTCAGTTTCGGTTTCTTCAGTTCTTTCGTAGGTACAGAAATACGCGTCACAAATGTCTATAAAAAATTGGGCAGTATGCCAGGTTCCTAAGAAGCCTAAAAACACCATTTAAAAAATTTAATTAAAATCGTCTTCATTGTCCCTTTAAAGCAGTTTTTCATAAATGTGCTCTCCATCTGTGGAGACCTCGCATTACCTTTTTAATCTAGTGGCGAATTGCTTCGGGATTGATGAAACGCCTTAGAGTATGCGTTGGTGTTGTGATGTTCACAATGACAGTCGAGAAAAACAGTATTTAGCGTCGAGGCTAGGTGGTGTAAGCTAGTGCTATCAAGTGGATTCCTCGTGCAAACTTGCTTCCTATATGAATCTTTCAATGTATGATGAAGATAACCATATATCAGCCGTATGCAATATTTTTTTAAACTGGTTGGCATTGCCTGAGGAATAATGGAGGATGCATTCGGAAATGATGGCGAATATTGGATAAAATATCGGAAATAATCGGAGTTGACAAAGCATCATTTCGTGATACAAATTTAACCAGACCAAAATTGAGGAACATAGTTTAAAGTCGCGAGTTGTACTTTCCTCTGAAAACACCAGAAAAAAAATAGTTTAATTAAATTTGTGCAAGTACATACTTGGAGAACATACTTAACGTAAAGTACAAGTATTCTAAACCTTGATGAAGTCTTACTTTAGGCCTGCGGGATGGGCAGTCAAATTCAGGGTTAGTACTGCCAACCATTGTTGCGGAATTGTGCAAGACGTGCCACGAGCGGGTGCTCCGCCGTCATTTGCTTTCAAAGGCCGCTCAAGACACAGGCCTCTTGCACCGGCACGTTTGACGCTACTTGCGAGACAAACTCTAACACATTGAGGGGCTCTAGTATAGGGTGCGCCCCCTTTGTTGCGGGTGGTAGCTCGCACCATCTGGCCGCCGCCCGCTCGACCCCGTTGTCCTCGTGCCCAGGTGTACATGTTCAAGTATGACTCGACTCACGGCCGCTTCAACGGCGACGTGCACGAGGAGGGTGGCATGCTGGTCGTCAACGGCCGCAAGATCCACGTCTTCCAGGAGTGAGTGAACCGTTCACTATTTCCGACGGGGAAGCGCTCCCCGGTGCTTGGCCCCCGGCAGTGTCTCCTTGGCACGGGGCCCGGGTTTCGAGACCTTGGCAACCGGAGTTGTCTTTGGCACGTAGGCTCGGACGAGGCTCTTTACCCCCAAGGCCACTACCTTACCAACTGGAGGGTCGACAAGCTCGGAGCCTTGTTATTGTTTGTTTGTTTTTTGCCCGTAGTCTGTCAGCGGCTAGATGGCTTCCTCCCGAGTTTACTAACGGCGTCTATAGTAACTTGGAGGATAGGTTAATTTGTTTGTTGCCAGCCCAAATAATGTGGAAGGCAGTGCTAGGTATTTCTTCTAAAAATATTGTCTTTTTTTTTCTTTTTTGTTGTATTATGAGGTTGTTGGGCCTCGTGACCTTTGATGAGCCTAAGGTCGTTATTGGCCAAGGGTATAAGCTCACCTCTAACGTTCTCAATCCGGCTGTCGGCCGGTATCATTTAATTCTGTATGAGTATAATGCTTTGCACAGATCATCTTGCGGGTTTCCCTACTTGATGGTGTGGATTGGAACGTACATACTGCCATCTGCTAAGGTCTGTGAGAGTTTAATCACTTTACCGTAAAAGAGAATTTGTCCCCAACTGTGTTTGCAGCACGCCCCAACTACGCTTTTGTGTGATAGTGTCCCTTAATTGGAGAGACTGTCGATCGTGTTGCCATATTGCCATTTCGTGAAGAGCACCCGTCCGCAGGACTGGCACGCTTGGCGTCTATCACCGACCCGTCGTGCTTATCGTCGAAGTTGTCCTCGAAGATTACAAGGGCGGCGGGACCGAGAGGGTGTCCCTACGAGGTCCCATTATCTTTTATCTTCTGTCTTCTTGAATTACGAGAAAATAATGTATACCTAGGTTCAATTTGGCTTTTTTGCCATTTAATGAAGCCTCCAGTCAAATAAAGCGTCGCTGTAGGTAATTCTCCTCAATAGTAACTCCTAAATAATCTGTTGATAAGCACTGCAGCATTACTGACCTGCCGACAGTGCGGTGCTTGGTGCAAACTGGTAGTGTCCGACAACTGGTCTGTGTCGTGCATTAAGCAGACTTGCATGCAATAAAGAGGGGGCAAAAACCTGCTATTGATTTGGCAATCAACGTGGGGACAAAAACTGTGCTAATTGAAGGATTTGTCCTTTGGTTGGGAGTAACAAAATCATTAAAGGCCCGTTCACACTCTTGCAACTGAGTACGACTGAGAGATGAGACCTGTTGGAAACCTCTTAAAATTTCTTAGGACGAGAGAACACACTGGCATTCTGGCGCCATCTATGTGGTGACCTTGGAACTGCATTTCACAAGAGCGAAGGTTTTGTGGGATTTCCAAGGCCAAATGTGTCTAATACCTGCAAGAAAGGCTCGTTTATAACATTGACAACAGTTTTTCGAGCCAAGAAAGAAAGGATAGTCTGCGAGAGGAATAGAAAATATGCCGGACCGCCAAGTTTACACTGTTACCCAATAGATGGCACCAGTGTGTCCTCTCGTAAGAGGTTTCAAGGCACCTAGTTCTAGGACGTCACAAGAGTGTGAACGGGTCTTAATCCTTCTGTGTTGTTTTAGTTGATCGTCTTTTTTTTTTTTAATTTTGTTGTTTTAACATACTCGTGCAACAAATTGTTCTCAGCCCAAAAAAGTAACTCTGGGTAGTTAAGCTCAAGATGGAATTTTAATTTTGAGGTCCGAAATATTATTTAAGAAACAAATTTGTTATTCGTCGTCCGCATAACCAAGCTGCGCACTGAACCCCAGAAAGTTTCTCGTGTTGGAGTCCCCGATTCTTGAAACAATATTGTCGAGATGCAGGGCTCATCCGCATTTATGTTCCGTGGTCAAATGACTGGAGCTATTGGCGTGCCGCCTACGGTGCCTGCCTTCCTTGCTGTCTAGAGCCTTTCGCTGCCTTGTAAGCTTGCATGGGTGAAGTGGAGGACGTTGCTGACTCTCCCACTATTGCAGGCTGAAGCCCGCTAGCATCCCGTGGGGGAAGGTGGGCGCCGAGTATGTGGTCGAGTCGACGGGCGTCTTCACCACCCTCGAGAAGGCCCAGCAGCACATTGACGGCGGGGCCAAGAAGGTGCGGTACCCTTCCATCCCCTGCCTGTACTCCGCCTCACTTTGAGCAAGAGCTAGCAGAAGCTGCAAGAGTGAGCTCTGGGATTTTGGAGTCCCTGTCGCGGAGGCGCGCTCGTGTAGTGCAGGAAGCGTGCTTGTGGCTTTAATTGCGTGTAAAGAGAACTTATGGTCTGGCGGCCCATGAATGGCGGCTGTGTAAGGGACCGGGAATGCCCGACGAGACTTGGCCGTTAAAGACGATGACCTCGGGATGTGACAGCTATGCAGGGCTTTTCTTGTACTTGGTATTGGAGCGCGAGTGTTACAGTTGCAAAAAGGTGAAGTCTCGTTGCCACTACAACTTGCCTCCGAGGCAGTTTGGAATGGGGCAGATGGTGATAATTATTATTTTGGTAAATCGCAATTCCTTTGTGCGTGGGCATTGCAGTGGAATAGGCTTTCTGGGACTGTCGAGTTATTGTCTTATTTTGCGCCGCCTGTTGTCAGGTGCGAAGCTTTAGGGTGAGCGGGATAGCCGCGTGAAATAGCTGCTGTCTGGAACCTTTTGGAATGGCCACGAGAAGAATAACCTTAAGGAAGTCGCTACTACAAGTGAGTTGTGCGGTATGCACCCATGAGCTCTTGAGAGTACTTTTGGGAAAGCACCCGCTAGTGGGTGCTTTGTGCTAGTGCAGATTGCGAAAAACAGTTATTACAAACTCGGATCAAAGTTGTAATCCCTTATTTTCGTTCAGTGGAGCATTGCTCTTTCCTTTTAATAATTGGACACCAGTAGTTGACGGCTTCCGAAATCGAAAGCCCTCGCTTGTGGATCAGACATCCGAGGATCGGACAGAGATGCGAGGGAGTCCCTCCTCCCCCGGCAGGTGATCATCTCCGCACCTTCGGCGGACGCCCCAATGTTCGTGATGGGGGTGAACCACAACTCGTACAACCCAAGCATGACGATAGTGAGCAATGCCTCGTGCACCACCAACTGCCTGGCCCCGCTGGCCAAGGTCATCAACGACAACTTCGGCATCGTCGAGGGGCTCATGTCCACCGTGCACGCCACCACTGCCACCCAGAAGACCGTGGACGGACCCAGCGCCAAGGTGGGTGCAACCGACCCCAAACGGGTCCCTGTCGACGTTCTTACTTGGGCACTTTGGCATTCTAAAGACTAAAAAAGGTCATTTTTTAGTCTTTAGAATGGAAGCTCCGACGGACGCAGGTGTCGCACCGTCCAGCAATTTATGCGTATTCATCTCTAACATACCCCCAGGCACGGTACAACCTCCACCTCTCTAGAATTTTGTGCACGAAGCTATTGTATGCACCCTCCTGGGGTCCCTCGCAGAAATTCGTAACACCCTGCTCCAGATTGACAGTCCTGGGTAAAATGCCCTGCGCCGTTGTTGTGGAGTCCCGATCCGTGCCTCCCAGGTTTCCGTAGATGGGACGGCTACGGAGCGAGCTACGGCGGGGCAGGTGTCTGCAGTGTCCGCCTCGGCATTGCGCAGTCACGGTTTCACAGGGTTGAAATTGAGAGGATAGAATAAAGGTGCAGAAAACTTGCCGGTCCGAGACTCGTTCTAGTCGCCGCTTCTGCATATGTCTTTTCACGTAATAGACCCTTCCCGAAATACAGTCTAGCCACTTTGATCACCATCATCATCGAAAAAATAGCATATGTGCCGTACTAATGGCGGCCTTCTGTTTACTGATGAAGGAAGAAGTTGAGGATGCTCCTTAGCAGATAATTCAAGGCTTATACATTCGTGACGTTAGCGCGATGCGAAGCAGGAATTGAAAGCAAGATCTGCGTAAGCGTTCATATCTAGCTCGGGCCCAGCCAATCTGTTGGTAGCATCAAGGTGCTTCTAAGCCCCTTGATTTGTAGAACTTCATCAAGCCGTGTACGTGGGTTGACGCTTCGTTCTGACTAGTTGCACCTTTGCTTCTGTCGTGAATGAAAGAGATTGAGAAGGAAATGTACAGAGAGGCGCACACTGTCGTTTGCCGTTGACTTGCCAAAGTGACGGCGCCCGATAAAATCCGGCAGACTCCATTTTCATTGCCGCCATTAGTATGGCAAAAGTTAAACTGCCATTATAGCCACCAGATGGCACTGAATTTCGGGAAGGGTCTATTAAGAAGAACCCAGAGTCCGAGGCAAAAGGATGGCAGAAACACTTTCAAAACGCTACTGAGTACAGTTCAAAACGCTACTGAGACGACAAAGTACAAAGTCACCGTGAGGAAAGCAAAAGGCGGATTACCTACAGCGGCTCAAAGACGGAATGACAAATAACAATAAACAGTTCTGGAAGTTTATGAAACGTTGCGGAAATGACCAGATGGGAATACCTGACCTATTAGTAAATAACGAACTAATTACAGATGCCCGTCAAAAAGCTTGCATCTTTAATGAATATTTTCAATCGGTATTTTTGCCTGCGAACAATATAACGCCAGTAACGCTTACAAACAGATACGATGATATGCCTCCAGTTGAGGTTGGTGTCGAGGGAGTCCTAAAGCTACTAAAAAATTTAGATGAAACTAAAGCGATTGGCCCTGATCAAATTTCGCCTAGGGTTCTGAAGCGCTGTGCTCACGCCATTGCCCCATATCTTTTTATAATCTTCAACCAGTCTTTGCTTGAGGGGTCATTACCGAATGATTGGAAAGTAGCTCATGTAATACCAATACACAAGAAGGGACCCAAAAAAGATGTTACAAATTACAGGCCGATTTCTTTAACATCAATTTGTTGCAAACTACTTGAGCACATTTTGTACAGCCAGATAATGCAACATCTTAGTTACCATAATTTTTTCATAGATTCACAACATGGATTTAGGAGAGGTTATTCTTGTGTCACGCAACTAACCGAGCTCTATCATGATCTTGTCATGTCCGTAGATAAGGGTGAACAGACTGATTGTGTTTTTCTTGATTATAGGAAAGCGTTTGACACAGTGTCGCACTCGTTCTTACTTCACAAATTGAATTGTTTGAGCATAGATATTACCACACTAAAATGGATTCAGTCATACCTGAGTTCGCGTCAGCAATGTGTAATTTTAAACGGCGAGGCGTCTCATTTTGTTGAAGTTACGTCTGGTGTACCACAGGGGTCGGTTCTGGGGCCATTGTTATTCTTAATATTTATCAATGATATTCATGTCAATGTAACTTCCCAGCTGAGATTATTTGCTGATGATTGCGCTGTGTACGTATACGCGTATAAAGAACGGGGGGGTTCCGGACAACTGCAGGCTGACCTAGATCGAATAGAACAATGGTGCGGTGAATGGGGGATGCAACTGAACGTAAAGAAATGTGTTCATGTTAGCTTCACACGTAAAAAAAATAAATTTGACACACAGTATTATTTAAGCAATGAGCTAGTAACGAATGAGAATAAAGTAAAATACCTCGGAGTCATTTTGTCATCCGACTGCACGTGGGATTCGCAAATTGATGATGTCATTATGAGGGCGGGTCGCGCACTGGGCTTTGTCCAAAGAAACCTAAAAAACACTACACAAAAAATAAAAGAACTAGCATATCTTGCCTATGTAAGGCCACTTCTAGATTACGTATGCACTGTGTGGGACCCTTCCAAAAAAAATCGCATTGATGGCTTGGAAAAAATACAAAATCGTGCCGCACGCTTCGTCCTGGGCCAGTACGACCGTTTTTCTAGTGTAACTAACATGAAACAATCACTAGGATGGGCGTCATTGGATCTTCGGCGAAAAAATTTACGGTTGAAATTTTTATACAACATTTATCATGAAGCTACTGGTATTAATAGCTCATCATACCTCTTAAAACCAAATTATTTTTCCAAACGTAATGATCATGTGCACAAGATACGCGAATACTGTACTAGGACGGAGCTCTGCAAAAATTCGTTTTTTGTGAGGACGGTCAAGGACTGGAACGCTTTACAGGAATGTATAGTTTGTGCTGCAAATGTTGATATGTTCTTTTCGTTATTATTCGCCCCCTGCAATAATGCCTTCTAGGCGCTGCAGGAGTTCCCTGAATAAAGAATAAAGAATTCTATTAGCACGGTATGTTTCTTCAGGCTTTGGAGGGCTATCTGTACAAAAAAGCAAAAAATTGAGAGGAAAAGAAATTCCGAATGCGCCTCAACAGAAATTGAAACTATGACCCCACGATTGTGAGCTTGGAATTGTACCCCCGCACTACTTAGTGGGTAGACGTAAACCACGGTGGTGTCTACAAACTGTTCAACGTCGGCGTTATGGAGTTCGGCATTCACGTTTGCATGGTTTATGGCAACGGAGGAGAAATCTGAGATGTGCCCACCATAGCGTAAAAAAGGGCAGAGTTTGGAATGAAATAACACCCTATAACAAAAAATTAAAATATAAAAAAACTGCAGTGCAAATTGCAAAATGAATCAAGCATTTTTTTTACCTTTTTTTAAGAATAGCTTTTTTGAATTGTATTTCAACACAAAACAAACTGTACACCAGAACCACCTACTTTCTGCAAATGCATTTGAGACTCATCGGCTCGTTTCCCCTCTTACTTTTGGTTTGGTGGATTTCCACGTTTGTTGTGGTCGTACGCTGGAGTTCTAGCTCGTTGCCCGTCCAACCCGTTGTGCTCCACGGCTGCGCAGATGTGGCGAGACGGGCGTGGTGCAGCCCAGAACATCATCCCGGCATCGACGGGAGCTGCCAAGGCGGTGGGCAAAGTGATCCCAGAGTTGAACGGCAAGCTGACGGGCATGGCGTTCCGGGTGCCCACCCCGGACGTGTCTGTGGTGGACCTGACCTGCCGGCTGGCCAAGGAGGCCAGCTACGACGAGATCAAGGCCGCCGTCAAGGCCGCCGCCGAGAGCGACAACTGGAAGGGCATCCTGGGCTACACAGAGGACGAGGTGAGCCCCTCTACGTGTTTGTCAGTCTTTTACGGCTGCTAGTGGAATTGTGATGCCATTCTTTAAAAAGCAACGAGTGTGTGGTCATTGAAGGTTTGAGCTGGCCACTAATACTTTCTGGGAGCTGTTTTGTTGCATGTACTGTATCTTTATGGGAGTAGAAAGTCTTGTTTGGGGTTATTCGTCATAGTTAGTACCCTGGAAAGGTGTTCAACTTGCGGATTAATCGGTCACGAGAGGGTGTTTGCTTCCCAAATGTTTATGTTGAGGTGTGCCGGTATATTGAGTCGGCGTGCAATGTGTGCGTTTGTTCTGGGCAGGTGGTGTCCAGCGACTTCATTGGAGACACCCACAGCAGCATCTTCGACGCCAAGGCTGGCATCTCTCTCAACAAGAACTTTGTGAAGCTTATCTCGTGGTGAGTCTCTCATTCCTTGATCCAAGGTTTTGATCGCCATACGGCCATCAGATGCCGATTTCAGCAAAGTGCACCCTATTCAGCTACAAAAAGCGCAGGCAGTGTCCACTGGCACGGGTGACCCGGATTAATTGGGAAATTTTTGCCCAACTTTGCTATGGTCGGGGAAGTTTGTGAAAAATTAGTTTATAGTGCACTTTCTTTGGATCGAACAGTTGGCAACCCCCAACACAACTAGTGCTATCGGTTAGTCGAGAGCCGCATCAACGCGAACCTTTTTCTTTTGGTGTGCGCTGGAGGTGGCCAGCTAGAGTCCCACATCATTGTCGTCATTATTGACGGTTCTACAGTAGGCATGGGTGAATCGTTTTAAATCAAAGGACACATTGGATTCGTCTAATTATTGTCCTATATCTCTCGCAAGGATACCTTGTAAGCAAATGGAGCATGTAGTCTTTACGAATGTCGTGGCCCACTTGGGTGAAATAAATTTTGTTTCCCCAATCAACACGGGTTTAGAACAAAAATATTTATGCAACACTCACCTCTTACAATTTGATCATGATTTGGGTATTAATACATATGTAGGAGTACAGACGTATGTTATGTTCATTGATTTTGTGAAGGCATTTGACGCGGTACGACACAATTGATTGCGAATGGTTCGCTTCAGAGTATATATATTTGTCTTTTTCAAATAAAAATTCGGTTGACAGTAGTGCATAGTTTCATCCAATCCTTCCCGTTGTCCTTGTTTTTCGGTGCTTTTTGAATCTTCAACTTGACCTATCCACAGTTGAACGGATATCAGGCTTTCTTGCCAACAGAATTCAGTCTGGTACGATAAACAATGCAGCCTTCTCCCATGCACCTGTGATCTCTGCAGTGCCTCGGGGAAGTGCAGGCCCTTTGACCTTTTAATGTGTTAGCATTAAAAGGTCCATGACATGGCAGTGAACAGCTGACAGCATCCGTCTGCAGATGAAACAGTGGAAAGGGAAGCGTGCTGCGTAGAGAGGAGGAGAATAGTGAAGGACAAAGTCGAGGGGGAGGCGACGTCGCAGGGCTGAAGCCAATGCACGTGTGGATGCTGGAGCGAGTCTGAACTTGCAGGCGTGCCGAGGGCGTACGCCTTGGTTTGTGCTACAGAATGAAGTGGGAACCAAGTGCTAGTAGCGGTGGTCCAACTAGACGGCAAAAAATAAAGGAAGATCCATTGGTGGATCCTTAATTAAGAAATACGTTAGCATGACCCTTGGGAAACACCGCACACGTCCCCCTTTGGGAAATGCTAAGTGACCACGTAACAGAACCAAGAAAAGGAAATAAAAGAGAAAGCCAAAAGAAAAAAGGGAAGGGGTCAGCGTGGAAGTTTCCCAAAGGCGCTTCCAAAGGTCATGCCAACGCATTATTTAAGAATCCGTATATAGCTCTCCCCTTAATTAAAAAAAAAATATATAAATGACCTCCTATCATTCATTGAATTCGTCGTTTGGCTAGTCGCCGATGACTGTGCACTGTATCGTAAAAGTGAATCCCCAAGGGATTGCCTAGCTTTTCAAACCGACCTCAATCAAATCGGCAAATGGGGCGCTACCTGGCAAATGAAAATGAACTCAAATAAATGTTGTCTGTTCGCAGTTACAAATAAAAAAATTTACATCTTTTCAATATTCAATTTTAAAACAAAGATATTGAAAGTGTAACTTGGTATAAATATTTACTTATATTTATACCATCATACAGCGGTTCTCTGCTCTATCGAGCGAGGGCCCTGAAGAAGTAGAGTTTACACTGCAACCGCGGAAGATGGCACCCTAAGCGCGTGCCCATTTCTGCATTGTTCCGCAGGTACGACAACGAGTTTGGCTACAGCTGCCGCGTGGTCGACCTGATCAAGCACATGAGGAGCAAGGACCAGTGAAGCGTGTCCACCGCCGTCATCGGGCTTGGCAGCATGCTCCTCCCTCCGCAGACAAGGTTTACCTTAGCTACCCAAGTAACTGATGGTTGTCGAGAATCCAAGTCTGTCCCGTTTTGTTTTCTTTACCCCCTTGAAGCTAGTGTTTTGTGCCCTCGCTGTCGTCAACTTCGCTCCTATTAAATCCTCACTTGCCGTCGTCCTTTGGGTCGTGTGCATTCTTGAATTGCTCCACATTGCCTCGACGTGGACCACAGCGAAGACTACAAGTGCGAGAAAATGGCTCTACCTTCGAGTGCTCTTGCTGAAATTATGTTAGTGCAGCTGAGGCACTTGCTAAATCAAGAGGAAGCCTCTTCGTTTTCAATGCAGTTTGTCTTTTGGCTTTGATACTCGTTCGTAGAAAAGAGTTTATTTTGAGCTTGTAAGTTTGCATAAGTTCAGCTATGGTCACAGTCGGTATACATTTGAAGAGGAGTGACGAAATAATTGCCACAGGGTAACTATGTAATGCTCTCAAAATTGGGTAAAGATGGCTATCTAGCGTTGCTAATGTACCGCGACACAGAAGTCCAGAATATCAAGGATGAGAAAGAGAGACCTCCCAAGGCTGGGCGCTGTCACAGCCTTTGCTCAGCTCAGTGGTAAAGTGTGGAGGCTTCAGTCTGCTGCAGCAACTGCTGCAACAACACCAATAAAAAGTGCACTCTCGAGTACCTAGTGCCTTGTGCTGTACGACTACTTGCACTTTGCAGGAGACTTGCTATGTCCCGAGCTTTGTCTGCTGGGTGCCTCGACGTGTGTGCTTTTGTCCTGCGGATCGTTTTGCCACATTAACGTTCTGCATACCTACCAAGTTTGGAAAAAACAAACCCAGAAGATTTTCTAAGCCAGGGTAGCGGCTCATTTGTATTGGACTGCTCTTGCTAGCAGCTGGGCCTTGCTATTACAGTCTAAGCTCATTACAACAGACCTGGTTACAACAGACATTTGGATATAACAGACCAATTTGTGAAGTTTGGTTGGTTTCCCTCTAAGTACCATTGACTCAACTTCATATCTGCATAAAGCATACTCCTTTTACAACAGACCGAAATCTTGGTCAAAATCGAGGTCTGTTATAACGAGCTTAGACTGTATTGCTGCCATCTGTTGCGACGGCAAGAAATTCTTTAAAGGGGGAACCTGGGTCTGTTGTCTTTTTTTGAAAAAAGCAATTTTAAAATCTACAGTTTTTTTTTTTTTTGATCTGCCAAGTTTATTTTGAAGAATAATATTTGAGCTATATTATCATTTTATAATATTTCAGTGGGCTGAAATTGCACAAAAGCTGGTGCTAAAACACTTTCTCAAAACACATTTTGGACTCCCTAATTTTCAGGAGGGATATCTCAGCATGTAGGGCTGACAGATGTATAACTTTTTAGCAACGTGCACCTAAATGTACAAAGTTTACAATGTTGGAAGCAGAATTTTTATTATGGGTGTAGGAAAATTTTTAACAAATATTGTTTTGTTGCTTGGTGGCCACACATTTTTGAGCAGTGAACTTCAATGTGTTGTTACTAATAATGGTTCAATCCAAAGTGTTTAACATTGTATTCTTCATAATTTGTAGTATCTGACCATATGTTAATATGTTCTTAGCAATGGTTTTTCACTAGTTTTTCGAAACAAAATATGGTTAATTATAATTATCCTGAACACTAACCTAAAAATTAAAAAAAAAAGAACAGGTATTTGAAATCTGCACAGTACTGTAAGGGTGGGTTAATTTGCAATTTCTGGGAGATTTTGTTTGTAAATTCCCACTGGGAATTTACAGCAGGTCAGGCATGCTAGATGCATCTGAAAGCCTTGTCAGGACAGGAGTTTAGACAGGGAGCAGGCCAGTTTGCTTCCAACATGATTCCCAGAAATGTGCGCTGGTCAGGCAGGCACTTGCACATGTGATCCACCAGAAAAACTGCATGCCCATGCTTGCTTGCATTCTTTTTACTTAATCTTTCACCTGTGAAACCAAATGTACTAATCGGGTCCATATCACCTAAGCAAAGGACGTTTTAGCAAACGGCGCCATTTGAGCGAATAATTTGCGGCGGCAGTCTGCAGCGGCTTATTACAAAAAGAGGCTCCAATCCACGCTGTGAAGGTAGTTGGACAGCAAAGTTGTGGTATCACCTGCAACGATTGCCCACTGCACTATGTAGACCCTTTCTGTGGTAAACACCACCAGGTGATGCTCCAGTCTTTGATGTGCTAAGTGTGCTAAGGTACCTCTATGGACTTCATGACGTGCCAGAGAACTTCCGGTTCCTAAAAAGAATGAACAAAGTCAAAACAAAAGAATGAACAAATGTAGATGAAACCTGCTCCAAGTGAACGCCTAAAGAATGAAGGAGTGAAAGATCTCTTAAAATGTTTAAGAGCATTCTTGTAAACCAAGTTGCCCCTTCGAAGATCTAATATTGTGCAGCCAAAGGCCCTCATTAAATCTAACTTTGTTGTCTGTGTCCCATTTATGCTTTCTAGCATTGGTTACATAAGCAAGCTCTACAGGCGTGCAAAGACGGTGCAACCGGAAGTCGCTTGGGACGCAAGCAGCAGTTCATGTTTGTAAACGGCAGCAGGTTGACGAAAGTAAATGCACTGTACCAAAACTTTTTTTATATATGAAAAACTCCATACACTGCTGTTGCCATGACAGCCTATACAACCGCAATCTTTACCGAGAAATGCATGCGGGGAGTGCTAAGTGCTTATCATTGTTCGCACACATCTTATTCATCATGTCCTTATAACATTTGTTTTGTGGTTTTGCTGTTGAAACAAGTGTCAAAACTACATAAGGCACGCACTATGGTTTTTGTTGACTATGGCTCTGTCGACAGACATGAAAAAACCTGACCATCGAGTCATATATACAGCTCCACTGTAAAATGTTAACCTACTTGGCTTGCCCATAAACTCCGCTTGCGTTTGCTAAAACATTGTTCGACCAACTGAGTGCCTGCCTGCCACACTTGTACTGTTTGACAACTTTCTGTGGCTATGCAGCCGTAGCTATGGGCATAAGATTCTATTTGGAGAAAACGAGGCACACTTTGGAGAGAAGGCACTCATCTCAAAAGAGCTCTTTATTTCTGACAAACACTAGATGAAAAAAAGGTGTTGCCTTTAATCGCTGCTCGGTTTAAAAAGTCAGCAAGTAGAAAAATGCACTTTGATTTTGAGACGGGCTTCTCCAGAGCTTGACTTGCAGATCCCAACAATGCACACCGGTGTTGTTTCCATACTATTCGTAAAGTGTCTGCAAAGAAAGAATGATGCAATTGACACTCTTCCAAGTATTCTCGTCCGAGCATTTTTCATGCAAGATAACGGCCCAGGGCTAAAGAAGAGTTGTACCATGGTGTCGAAAAGGATCAGATTCAAAACTAGCAATCACTTCATTTCAAGCTACCGCAATTCAGCAGCAACTCCACTTGAGGTTCATGTGAAACAAATGACCGACATTCCTCAGATTTGTAACCAAAATATGCGCAGATCATGAATACTACCGAGTCTCTTTTTTACGGGGTTTTTCATCGCAAAACTGAACCATGCATCGCAGAACGCTTATCTGTCTATATACAAGGCTCGAGGTACACCTAAGTACTTCTTACGAGTTGTAAATGCGAAATCATGCACGCCGCTCTTCCGCTCCCTTCTTTCGTCCAATGGTCAAACGCGTGCGCTGTCCTTGGTGCACTAATCTTGGGCGTGGAGCCACTGCCTCGCGGACATGCAGCGCCTTGGGGTGGCGGTCATTAAAACTGACACACAGCGGCAAATGGGAGCCTCGTCGACGCGCGCCAGCCAATGGGACCAAAGCCGAAATCCATCGGCTTACTCCGCTCCTTTGGGATCGGGGAAACTTAATTACCATTTGGCTAGGCTTTTCACATAGTTTCATAGCTGGGAGCTGGCTTCACTAGGAGAAAGGATTTAAGATGCCATTTGGCGAGGCTTCAAAGCTGATGACATCAGCTCGCTCCATGGGACCAGTTAATGCTTTCACATTAAAAATGACATCACCGCCATTACCAAAGATGATTGCCAGTGGTAGCACTAGAGCTCCACACGTTGTAGATGGTTTTTCCACAAACCCCAGGCACCGAAGCTAGAGACGAAATAGCTGTGGAACAGTGAGCAGTACAGGAACAGAAGCTATGATCTATAGTTAAAGGACACCCAACTGCCAGAACTGGTCGTCACCCCGGAATTCAGAAAATCAAGCCCAGTCACTAATTGTTTTCAATGTTGTTTTCCTTTCGCAAGGAATACGATAAACTCGACCCGGTTTGCCGATGCCCTCTCACCTGCTTGACAAACCTGGGCAGTGCCAGGGCAGCCTGGTGCACCTCGGGGCTGTAGTAGCGAACCTTCATGTCCTTGAGCTGCTGCTCCGTGAACTTGTGGATCGGCTGGTGGAAGTCTGTGTCCTGCAACAGCAGCAATATGTGCGCAAGTCCCGTCATTTTAGGTGCCGTCATTAGAACCACAGGTACTGCAGCTGCACATTTGCACTAGTAAGTGACATTTGTGCTCCGGTGATGTAGTAAACGTTTACTATCAGTTCACCATTCCGAGAAAGATTTGTCATACAATCAATGAATCGACTGCATGTTTTTCTTTCAAAGCTTCGGGAATATATGATGCGTGACATTTAGCACAAACTCCACAACGGCATTTTTTATCACTTTACTCTGACGGGGTACTGAAGAGCATAAAAGTACACTTCTCCGCAGGCCGGTACATAGAGTTTTGATGACACTTCCAGAAAATGGGAATTGCTCGTTCATGCCAACTGTATTGTGTTCTGTACGCTGCTGCCGAACAAGTTCCCACGCTGGCACAAGCGCCAACTTTTTCATAAACTCACAAGTACGTCCAGTATACTTATGTCAGACCCGAGAATTCCCGCTCCGAAATTTTATAATCAACTCACGATTTTGGGCGAGCACTTGCTTCGTATTTTGGGGTAGCCTATTTTCTGCTTTGATTTCCTATATTGTTACTCGCGTTTCAAAGTTTAGCATCTATATAAATGGAATATAAAACTTGGGCAGAGGCGGTTTGACAATGGCGTACGCCTCAAACTTCACATGTCGAAAAGGACCCTCGTTGAAGCATCGTAGGGACGTAGAAGTAGCACACGAAGCTCGAATCTTGTTCATCCGCACTCTGCAATCTCCGTAGCAGTCTATTACCGTGGAAACCTAGTCAGCTCGCATAGTCCCAACAGACCACAGCAAGGTGGCACGGGGAAAAGCGTGATGATTGCCGCATAGAAAGGTAACCGCCAGTTGAAAAGAGGTGGGAGAGTGCTCACGGGTGAGGAGGAGCACAGGAGGAAGCCGATCTGGCCGCTTGGGTAGGTCGGGGTGTAGATGGAGGCGTAGTCTACCACCGCAAACAGGCCACGGCACATCTCCACCATCTCCCGGATTAGCTTCAGGTCAAACCACATAGACTCTCCTGCGAGAAAGGGAAGGATCAGTCGAAGCAGGAGTGCACGTCCCGAGAAGGTTGTGCACCTCCAAGGGACAGTGGGGGGGGGTGGACAGACACGGCCAATCAAACTGGCAATTACTTGAGAAAAAATAAGCGACGAATATTACGCTTTGCACAGAGAACACTGTCAGAAGCAACAAGTGGCTTCCTCATCTTGGCACACGATTCCTAAAGAACGACATTCCGAGCGAAAGCGAACAAAGGTAACGTGCCTTCGGTCAGGAATGTGGTTAGACAAAACAAGTTTGCATACATTTGTTTTGAACTTTTCTCAACAGTTCAGTGTGGGTTCCATATCCTGCCCCTTCGCTGCAATGCGGCGGCGCGTTGGGAAAAGCACCCCACCCGGGCTACGTGCCCAAAGACCGGAGCCCCGAAAGTTACTCTTCAAAAGTAATAAAGCTAGTTACTCGGGCCGAAATGGGCTACAAATAGAGTTACGTGTCCATAAGTAAAACTAGTTGCAGTTAGTAATAGAAGAAAGTAACCGAGTCGCATTCAAACTGCTTTTTTAAAAAATCCCGCAAACTTTAGGTGTGCTGCCAATAACGAGCAATGGTTGAGCAAGGCAGTAAAAGATACTGGCACATTTCTGTTCTGATCCAGCACCCTGACCACAACAGAGAGCACTGACATTGAGACTGAACCAACAAGGATTTCTGTATTATTAAAAATGTAATCTGGTAGTTACTCAAATAATTTAAAAACACTTTCGATGAGTTTACTGTGCAGTAAACCAAGAACTCGACTGCACTACGAAACGTGGGGAGCTTTCCCCAAGGTGGCATCTGTGGACATACCCTGCGAGCAGAGGATGCCGCCCGGCTTCAAAACCCGCTTCAGGCCCTCGTAGTACTGCTTCTGGAACAGGGCCACTGCAGGACCTGCACAAGCCAGCACTCTTAAGTGCACAGATCAACATATCCCATTCCATAAGGTGCAATCAGGCTAGCAGGGACTTGCGTCCTTGCGCGACTCAATCGTCATGCAACCTTCTGCGATGCAGAGAGGGCAGTGGCAGTCATTCTGCAAGTTATGCGTGCAATTGAGGTCCGTTTCTGCTTCGTTTTGTCACAGAGATTGGCAGGGACACCTTGAGAGGGTAATGCTTTGAAGGGCGCCCCTGGACGAGAGCATATCTGTATTCAGTTTCAACATGAAAGATGAAAGCTTTTGGTTCTGGGACACAGCTCCGGTTGAAGTTTCAACCTAATGTCCTCGGAATAAAGCGTAGAAATAGAACTTAGAAGTTAGTGCTTCACCTTCTCTAAAAATGCCCACATGATGTCGGAGAATGACAGTGCATCGCTTCACTCACCCAATTAACTCCCCAACTTCCTCACTTGTGCGAGCTCCCAGTAGGAGCAGAACAGAGGGATGACAGAGGGCAACCACTCTGTGATTTAACAATCCATAATTTCGGAGAATGTTGTAATAAATTTTTTTCCATTTTTTATTTCGAATTTTTTGTAATATAATCACCTCAGTGTGACATAATCATGACCTTAGCTAATGTGGCTCTTTCAAGCGGTGCGAACATGGAATCGCGTAGCCCAATTTTGGCAACTTTGCACTCGAGTTCCGTGAACAGGCCATTACTCTTGGACGTGTGGCCTCTGCAAGACTTGGGAAGCGCAACTTGGTGTGCACCCGTCCCGACACCACAAGACGCGCCTCACCCACGGGGTCCGAGGAGTCCGTGATGACGACGTCAAACTTGCGTGGGGTGTCCTTGATGAACTGCAGGCCATCCCCGATGTGGAGCTCCAGCTTTGGACTGTTGAAGCCCTCGGCCATGAAGGGCAGGTACTTCTTGGACACCTCCACCACTTTCTGCCAAACAAGAAAAGACATTCCGCATTCCCCCATACAGACACCATAAGACACCATCGCATAAAAAAATGTGCACCATCTAGTGGCTCCTGCACCAATTACACGAGGTCACCATAGTTTGGCCACGCACTTGGAGCATGCATCGCGTGTGATCGCTGTGTCAGCATGCGACTTGAATGCTGTAGGGACGTCGGATGCTATAGAGTGGAAGCGAAGGATAACTTTCTCGCAAGCCGTCGCAACTATGCATCTGCTCCGACCTGTTTTGACGGCGGATGGCCAGCTGTGTTGCTGCCCAAAAGCTTTGTGTGCTGCGATGCCCCGTCAGTTTATTTCTGCTCTTCGGAGTTTTTGCTGCAGAATTAAAACAACTAACACGAACCGGACCCTCTAAAGGAGCCCTGCAATCCTATTTAAGCGTCTACGTTTTTTGCTTTTTCCACCTCTCTTGTGGTTTGGGCAATCCAGCAAGCACAGAGAGGGTCACTAAATATTGGTGAGTCATATTTTAACCGTACGTCGCAGAAACCTCCTCCTCATACAGGGACGCCCCGTGGTGCCGAACGCGCGTGGCATGTGACGAAATTGTGTCGTCGTCAGTCCCGGTCGGCTCCTGCCTTACAACTGGTCAGAGCCGCTAGAAGCTTATTGTTTTTTTTTAGTCGAAGTACAAAATATAACTGGCACAAACCAGTTTCAGTTAGGTATTTATGCAAGTAGTTTTTGTTCAGCATTTTAGATGAAAAAAGAATCAAATGCGGTTTAGAAAGTATGGAAACAAGAAACAATGCACAATGACCCAAATGACATACACACCGCCAAGCGGTAGAAAAGGCGGCGCAGGCGCCCCCGCGGATCGTAGCAGACGACGCACGATGCCGGTGGCACATTTTGCAAGAAGCGAAAGTATGAATTTGTTTTCTGTAATCTCACGCCACAGGAGACCCAACCGGAATTTAAATGTGATCGAGTTAAGACCGAGAGGCTTTGCCAGTGCGCTCTGGATGCTTACGAGGAGTGTCCCCGTATGGCACTAATCCCAGCCCTGTAATTCTATCGAGGATTCAAAGCTCCAACTCCGACAGACCCGGTAAATTCATGCTGGCAAGCGCGGTGGAAGGCTGAAGCATGCAACGAGCCGTTGACGCATATGCGGCTGCAGGGGAAGCGACCATCAACGTAAGCCACAGCCGATTGGCCAGTCGCTTCGCTACTACCATTGGCCACCCAAGCCAGAACCAGGGACGTCATGAGGTTATTTTTCGCTTGTTTTTGTGATGTTAATTTGCCTAAAACGAGGAGAAAGGCAAGTTTCACTAAGTTATTACGTTCAGTGCGCTCAGGTTCGGTGCAAATTAAAAACAAGTCAAAAAGTCCTTGCGGGGCCCCTTTTAGACACTCCTGTAAACCAACAGCATCCTGCTATCCGGACCGAAGAAACCGGCAAAGGCAATTACAAAATTAAGTTTCAAGGAGCTCACCTCGTCAATCTCGCACTGGGTGACGGACACCACACTGGGATGCTTGACCACCTCCCTGGCGACACCGCCGTCGCCACCGCCGATGATTAGGACCTGGTCAGAGCACGTGCAGGAAGGGAGTTACAGCTCAGACTGCAGATATCGTTATCTTTCACCAGATTTGGCAGTCTAATTCAGCTATCCACCTGAATCACTTGTATACTGCGCAGCTCTAGACTGGCTGAAGAAACAACAGTCCAAACCGGTTCAACCCATTGGTTCAACTTTCCAGGCATCTTGCAACTATTCAGCAATAAAGCACAAGCTTTTTCTTTTCTTTTACAAATATTCAGCTTAAGACATTATTAATTCTATCTTCTGTATGTATAGCAAGTGCACTGACAACACAGTTTGTGAAGGAAAAAAAAAAAAGAAGCAAAAACCAAACCTTAGACTAACGGCTCTAAGGTTTGGTTATTGCATCATCGTTAAATTGTATCAAAAACTTCAGTTAGAAAAGTTTCGAAGAAAAATTCTAAACTGTACGTCTGCGAGACGTATAATACTAGCTTATCACAAGCTGAACTTGTTCTCAAAGCGTCCTTTGTGGCACTTCGTGAAATTAATGGAAACTAGGGGGGGTTCTAGACGAACCTACGGTTCTACCAACGATGTAGAGGGCCTTAGAGCGATGAACTGGCAGCTGAAATTGACCCGTTGACACCTCAAGAAAAAAAGCAAGTTTTGCGCATTGTTCATACGCGGCACGAAGTAGTTCTTACGAGATTTGGTTGTCGGAGGAAAAAGCGATGCTTTCGGCGTTTCGAACATGTACGTCGTGATAAAATAACATACATCTAACCTATAATTCACCTACATATATCTTAATCATCCACATAAAGGGGGAATTTAGTAACGGTCCGGGAGGAGCTGGACTTTTTTTACTGCGGTTCTTGAGGTGAAATTGGGTGTAGACATGTGACCTTATAGTTTTACGTCTAGATTTAACGAAGTACCGCGCACAAATAGTTGCTTATTGATCTTTTAATAACAGCACCTACGATATAAGCTATGTTTCGTTTCAAGTCCTAAATGTGCTTTTACGACAAAATCTCTGGCAGCTTCGCAATGCCTCCACAAGATGCCGTCAATCGCGGTGCTGTATTTCGGGTTTTTATCGGAGCTATAAACTGATCTCTGGGGCTAACAATAATAAAAAAGAAAATAGTTTATCGTGTTTTTTACAGTGATCGCGATGCAAATCTCGGTTCAGTTGTGCGTTAAAGCCTCAGGATTTGGTACGGTCGCATGTCTAGTGGTCAAAATTGTACAACTTGGCAGCAGCCAAGGGGGGGTCACTTTTGCCTGGTGATTGGGATAGCAGTTTATCGCTCTAAGCCCCTCTACCTCATTGGGCTCTACACTTATGTGTCACAGGTTCCCGTGCCTGCAGCCTGACAAACAATTGCGCAGAATGGAAGCACTCACATCCTTGGGGTCTGGGTGGGAGTTGAGGGGCAAGAAAGAGATCATCTCCTGGTAGGAGAACTCGTCCCTCTCTGTGCACTGGATTGCATTGTCCAGCACCAAGACCTTTCCAAATGACTTGCTGGAAAACAAACAGGACATCATATACTCACACATAAGCACGCACAAGTTACCTCATTTCACAAAGGAAAGCGCAACCCCAAATAAAGAAAGAACTGTTATCAGTCAGTAGAGGCATTATTTACAATATTCAAGAACCTAGGCAACATGAAAGTTAGAGCTTCTCTATTAGACTGCCTCTAGAATAATCGAGAAGAAAACTGCGCCACAAAACAATGAGATCTTGACGTAAATTTCACTGGGGCATTCTGATCCCAGTTCAATATGCTCAACACCAGATACTGTTCTTTCAGAACGACTGAACATTACAAACTTGGAAGCTTGCCCAAACAGAAAGTGGCTGGAGCGTACCTCTTGAAGACCAGGATCTCCTGGAAGTTGGAGCGCTCCTGGTGCAAAACCTCCTCGACATCCACCGAGAGGACTGGATTACCGCTGCTGTTGCAGATCTCCGTAAACCAGCCCTCCTTCATCACATTCATTCCTGGGAACGCCAAGGGTGTGTCCAGTCAGAGCAACAAAAAACTTTTGCATCGGAGTGGTTCGCTCCAAAAATTAAACAAGATTTGTCGTCCACATCGTGTAGCTTATACAGTAAAACCTCGTTATAACAAAACGGGATATAACAAACTAATGGATATAACAAAACAATCATAATTCCCCTTGCTTGCTAATAGTGGGAAGAAATGGACATTGCCTATAACAAACTAATGGTTATAACGAAATAATTACGACCGCTCCTTCAACTTTGTTATAACGAGGTTTTACTGTATGTGTGAAAAAAGAAAACAAAAATGCACTGTGAACCTAAAATAACAAGAGAAGCACTTGTGGGGTGGCACCTCGAGACATCCCTCCCCAATGAAACTGAGTTTGTAGTTTGACCATAATCTACTATTACAAAACCAGCCTAGGGTACCTTTTCAATGGCATAGTAGATGACCCTTTTCCAACTTAAACAGCATTAAAAACTGTTGGACATTTCAAAGAAGGGTGTACACGGTGGTATTGGTAGGAATATTCATCATAAAAGCTGCCCACATGGAGTTTATATCGGAATAGACAACCTATACGAGGGGCGTTCATAAAGTTTGTATTATCAACACAAAAAATTTTAAAAAAGCGGAACAGGCATCAACAAGAGCGCTCGTCCCTCTAGTTTTCGCACAGTGTACAACCAAAATGGCACCACCCATCGGTGTCAAGCACATGCAGTGATCAGTTTTTTTTTCCATTTGAAGGGAAGCAATGCCAAGGATGTTCATTCCAATTTGGGAACGTTGTTCTGGGACAACGGCCAAGTTTATGAAACTGTGGTTAAATGCTGCTGATTCTTCCAGTGTGGCCAAAAACGAGGAAAACATTTCGAGGACGACGACCAAGTGATTGCTGAAGTGGAGCGATTCCTGAACACTTAAAATGAGGAGTTCTAAAACAATGACCTCCGGCAGGTGGTCCATTGCTGGCAAAAGTGGGTAAGATTTGGTGGCGAACATGCAGAAAGTCTGAACTCCTACACGAGTTTGATTGCTCAATATCTATTCCTTCGTGACAATAATACAAACTTTATGAACGCCCCTCGTATAGACCAACGCACAACTCCGTCGTCATGCCGCTAAGGTGGCGCTGCTGTCTGCACAGCGCAGGCGCTTCACCTCGCAAGAACCTGGTTTTTGTGCATGTGCAGTGCCCATACCTGGTGTGGGCAAACATATATGCTTGTATATGCTAAAGAGCGTGCTGGTGTATACGTCATATTATGCCATCAAATTGGCTGCCTCTTAACCCTCACTAGATGCGGTGTTGCGCAGCAGCACCAGATTGGCTGTACAGCCCAATTTCAAAATTTAAAGATGCATCAACTCAACAGATAGCTGAGCAATTGGTAAGTCTTCAGCTAAACACTTCCAATGTTCCCAAAAAGAGAAAAAACAGCAAAAAAAAACGGCTGGAATCATTTAAAACAAAGCTTAGCAAGTATCCCCAAACAGCACGCTGTAACCCCAGAGAAAGATACCGCGCAGTAATCTCCGAATACACCTTTTGCAGAACATGCAGCACTATCCGCAGTGCCAGAAGTTATGCTTCCGGCACTGCGGATAGTGCTGCATTCAATAGAGAATGTGGGCAAGGGCACGCGAGCAACTGTGCTGCCCTCTTTCCCTCTCACTCTCTTCAGTGTCAAGTGGTAGATCAAACACTTATACTGTGGGGGCAAGGACTGACGTAGAGGGCTTCGTGTGGATGTTTTGCATCTTAAGGCAAAAGCCTTACTTGTCCCATTGAGCAAAAAATCTGAGTAAAAAGCCATAAAAACGCGATTGTGCGGCACACGCCGCTCAATGGGCGATCCTACTTGTCCCATTACCTTGGTATCGTCCCAAACCTCTATGACTACCTCACTTGTCACATTACGTAATACACAAGCGGTGGCGGCGTCGTGCTTGAAAGATGGCCATAAAAATATGTCATCAAGCATCATGTCACTGCCGCAGCACAGTGTGTAAAAGGTGCGCTTCGGACTTCATCTCTGCTCGTTGTGTGCTTCGTGCGGTGGACTGTGAGGTGACCGAGTCGACATCTACGGCCTTGACATTGGCAGCAGCGTCTACATCTACGGCGGCTTCCGCAGGCAAATTTGGCTGCCACGCAAATATGCCACAGCCTCCTGAAGTGTCCTCCTCTAGGCGCCTTTCTCAACGTAGCCCTAGACGTCGTCCTCTAGGCGTTATCGACGTCGTACTTGACTGGCTTTCACCTTCCTACACGTAAGCAGATGTTTGAAGTGTACTCGTGCTATTGTTTTTTTTACGAAGGGTCTCGCTTTGATGTTGCTGGCCTATAATAAGGTGGAGCCTCTTGAGGGGGCGGTTCACCGAATGACACTTTAGCGAATAGTCGGGCGCCGCGAAGCGGCGTTTACGGGCGGGCCAAGTGGGCTCACAATTTTGTAATGAGCCGCAGCAGACTATCGCCGCAAAACGGCGTAAGCGCAGCGCGCGCACGGGGGCAGAGAGGGGGGGGGGGGGGGGGGGGGGGGGGGGGTAACGCGCGTTCTTGTTATTCCCCCGTAGGAGGAGGACCCGCCCCTTCAGGAGGCTCCGCCTTATTACAGGCTAGCGACATCAATACCGCGAGGTCACCGCGCTATGAACGGGTACAGTAGCCGAAATATATGTATGACATGGTGCGAGGTCACCGCGCTATGAACGGGTACAGTAGCCGAAATATATTTATGACATTACACAAGGGTGAATCAAGAACGCGCTTGCAGTTTCCTCGATCCTTAGCAGCTATCCTGAAAGTTCGTTCTAATTTCTGAGTAGTTGGTCCATTAGGAGCCCCGCCCCCTTCCCATCCTTAAATCCCACGAAGACAAGTGAGAGCTCATCTCTACGCGCCCCAACAGAATATGGGACACGCAACATTGATTCCAAATAACAGAACTTCCCAAGAAACCAGCTGCGAAGGGAATCAAACACATAATTGGGCAAAAGCACTCGTAGCGACGAGTGCGACGCGACGGTTGAAAACTCCCGCACGGCGAAAGAAATGGCGGGGCGTTAAAGAACCGCTTGTTTGAAGTCATTCATTTCGGCAGCCGTCATGATTTACGTTCGGTGTAAGTGAACGAGGAGGAAACGGTACTCAACAGGTTAGGGAAAGCGTCGCGTGTGTTCAAACTTGTTCAAAGATGAGGCTTTGAACAAGTTTGGAAATACGGGGAAGGCGGTACTCCTGAAGCGGGTAGGAGCCACTTACTGGCCTGTTTTTCTTGCTGGTTCTCGAGTTGGCACTTCTCACTGGTTTCAACTGAGCTGCGAGCGAGTCACCGGGTTTGCGCAGCAGTTTCGGCACGACGGCTGGTCGAACAGGTGCTTTTTGAAGCCGGCGAATTTGCTAGCGGAAGTAGCAGAATTGGCGGAACTGAAGCGCACGTGCTCAGACGAACCGCTGCGCCAAGGGAGGCGGTAGCGGAGAAAGCTGATGGCACCAAAAAAGGTTGTCACTACTTCGTTACCACGTGAAAACTTGACTAATTATGAGAAAAAATTGCCCCCCCCCCCCTTTTTTTTTTTTTGCGTGACGTTGAAAGACGCGAATCGTGAAGCTTTCTTGCTTTTGCCGTGCGCGGCGGCGCGCGCGGCGCCGCTATTCGCCAAATTTAGTCACGTGAGGAGCAAAGCATCCAGCTCGTGCGGGAAAGCCGGCCCTACGGCCACGCGCCGAGGCTGAATGCGCAACTCTGCTACCGTAGGTAGCTATACAGGAACTCTACCCCCTCCCCCCGTTTACGCCGCTTCGCGGCGACAGTCTGTGGCACCTCATTACAAAAAATGGTAACCCACCTGGTCCATTCGTACATGTCGCTTCGCGGCGGCCGATTTGCGCCATTTTGGGGTTTGAACTGAGGTCGGTAAAACGGCGTTTGCTAAAACATGCTTCTCCAAACTGCATGCCACCAATCACTGGGGCACAAAAAATAACAATGAAATACCTTTTAGCGAATTCGGCCGCAGCCGTTTAACATTTTTGTAGTAGGCCGTCGCAGACTGTCGCCGCGAAGACGGAGGGCGCCAGGTGGGTTAACACGTGCCCCAGTGATACACGCTCAAAGTAGGGGAGCCCTTTTTAAGCAGCGTCCCCTTCTCGATAAACAGCATTTCTCTAAAATGCGGCTCAGTTTTCTCTAAACTGAGCTTCAATAAAAAGTGCCCATACTCTAAAGCATGTTTCGATATTCCAGTAGATCAAATTGCTATGTGCCAAGCGGGTCAATGACGTTTTTGCCGGGGACCATGTGGGCGCTGTATACTTTATATGGAAAACAACAAAAAGCTCAAAAACACTTCTCTTACAAAACCAACTCCTAAATTTCACAACCAATACTTCCGTTACATTCATAAAAGACAAGAGTAGAAAGGGCAGCGTACTCGCCATGTTGGAGCAAGAAGTTGGCAGCTCTTCTGCAGCGAATTGTACCTTACACTTCCCGACGCGCTACTGGGAACCCCACCAGGGCTAGATAAGTAGCTAGCGAAAGCACCGATTAGATATGCGATTGTTCTTTACCTACTCCAACGCCCCTTTTTCATTCATATCTCACAAACTTTGCTCTCCACAGTCAGATAAAATATTTCAAGTTGTGGACATCTATTATCGTGTACCTTATCCTATCAGGGGGTGACCTATGGAAATGAAAAAAATCCCATTTTCCGATGTGCCAACTAAGCAGCATGGCATTCAAGCCTAGGCGGCTTTGAAATAAGGGCAATGCCAGAGTTTCACTGGAGCAACAAACAAAAAGCAACCGACAAGCCTCAAACATGTGCAAAATGCATGCGATGGTACCTTTGCCAGGCTTGCAATCTCTCGGTACTCGTGAAGTAAGTACGAGTGATTGAAGGCCTGCCAGCGATACCTTCGCGTGCATGCTGCATGTGCTTGGGGCTTATTGGTGTTGGTTATTCCCGTTTGTCGCTCTAGTGGGGCTCGGGCACAATGGCGTAGGCTGGCCGGTGAACAATTATAATAATAAATAATTAGTTGTTAGTTATTTATACAGCGGGAGGTTAGTCTGCCAGAGGCGTAGCGATATTGTTAACCACCGTAGACAATTGCAGTATAACCGCTAGACTGGGGTCTTTAATCTGCACCACACAGTAGCGATACACAACCACATGCCGGTACAATGCTCATCCAGATCGAAACGGGTATGGGATTGAACCCAGGATCCCTGGGAACAAACAATGACAAAAGAAAAGGGGACAACTCAACGACAACCTGGGACAAGGTCTCGGGGTAAGTAGTACAACCAGGTGGCTTGCCTGTAAGCCGTTTCTTCCATCACTGAAAGGTGCAAGTGTGAAGTTTGGTTTTCCTCTTTGTCACTGTTTTGTTGCGCGGGAAATGTCCAGGAGGTTTCCCCTGGTAGTACACATGCCTCACACACGACATTGTTCCCGCATCACTTGCACATACAAGGCTCAAAATTAGCTTAGTATACAGGAAACATGAGTGGCAGAAGAACCTCCAGCAAGGCAGGTGTGCGGCTTTCAGTCCAAGCGATCTATTGGTATCAAGAGGCGAGGCAATTGCTGCGATTTTTAGTTTGGTCGCTGCACAAGCGCTTATGCTTTCATTTTCTCAACAAATGGAAACTCTGTTGTCCTTCATTGGCAGGGAAATGGAAGCAATCTCTCTTTAGAGAAATTTTAGGACTCTGAAATTTCTAGGAGCCAATATTCAGGAATTGATACACCGTTTAGTGGTGTTGCAATCACTGCAAGAAATTTCTGTCTACTTGATGCACTAAGGGTTTTACCAAGCACGCAAAGACACTACTCGCAAACACATAGAGAACATCCTTGCCAGCAATCCTTTTTACGCTTGAGGATCACAAACTGACCATAGTACAATAAAGGATTGCTCAATCGCAAACTTGTCTTTTATTGGAAAAAAAAATGTTGGTGTTCGTCGCAGTGCTTGTGGAATGAGGCGGTCCAAGCCAGAGCTTGTTTTTGTCCCTGAATTCGGTGCACACAAAATGCGAGTCCAGTTTGTTGGAGGTATCCCGACGCACCTATACTCGAGCCAATTATGGTATGTTCCAGAGTAAAAGAAATGTTTAGAACTTTTATGTTTTTATGGAAATGCCTTATGTTTTCGCGTTAGTGATCAGAGGGTCAAAGCACACGAGAAAGGGAGCACAGCCGGAAGCATTCTGGACATGACATTTATTCTTCCACTCCCAGCATCCAAAAACTCAAAAAGGGTTTTGCGCATACGGGTGCCATCACAGACAGCAATGTCGCTTCCAACCGTTCACTTCCCAGCCGTACATTCGAAACAAGATCTCTTCTTCGACCGAACAAGCAAGGTCCTACGTGGGGGGGAGACACGCAACACCTGGGATCTTAAATGCACACCACAATCGCACACACTTGTACAAACACGGCGGTGCGATGGAGGTAGCCGACGGGGCCCGGGTCTGCCCGATATCCGCGTCTACCCGCGCCGTGTGCCTGGGTCATGCGAGCACTCTCTCGATGTCCACAGACACGCTACAAAGCATAAAACGCACTGGAGAGGGCGTCACTTCGGCGGCTCCGTCGTGTCACGAAACGACGAAACCTGCGCTAGGTAAAACCGCAGTACCGGCCGGGCTCGAACCGTACACAGCAACACTGTTCTGGTCCACGTGAACCTCTCTCCGAACCCGCGTCTCACTGGGTGTAGATCCAAACGTTTGGCATAGTCGGCCAACCAGCCGGACGGAACGTGCATTCCGGTAAACATCTTCTAGACGAGTTGCACGCTCGCGACCGGGACACGGCGGCTCTAGAATCTCGGCTTTAGAAGAAGCTCGGTGAAGGATTTGAAACGGGGACTCTTGGACCCGGGCGAGTTCTTGTCGCGTCAACAGGTCTCGCGATGCCGAGCTTCCTTAATCTCGACGCCGCCCGAACCCCAACGCACTTGCACCGCCCCCCTCGAAATAAAGTGTGGCCGTCACAATCAGTTTAGGGGGTGAAAATAGAGTAAAGGATGCGTCTTTATCTTACAAGAGGGGGGCGGCGGCAAATGTGGGGTGTCGGGGGTGATGAGGTTGCTCGCGATGGATGGCCTTGTCTTCTTCCCTCGGCGCATCGGGGCGCCTAGGTGAGGTAGAGCCTGTGGTAGTCGTTGGTGCCGAAGGGGGCGTTGCACTTGGGGCATTTGCGCTGACGCGTCTCGTACCGGGTCTTGAGACAGTCGTAGCAGAAGACGTGGAAGCACTTGATGAGCACCGCGTCCTTGCGTTTTACTTTGCAAGACGGACACGTCAGCTGCTCCTGCAAGGGCAATGTGCGGAGGAGTTTAACGCACCGTCACGTGCCCTCCTCGGGGCTGGAAGGCTAAAGGCACATTGAAACAGGAGTGTCTTTGCGTTTTCGTACGTACGTTACAATACGAACACGGGTCAGTGGGACATCCGCACTTCACACGTCGCATGCAAAGCCATTCCTCGAATTAGTTCCCGTGCATTGTACGAAGGACAGATATCGTCCCGGTGACTCGCAGTCGTACCTCCACGTAGGCAGATGTTGGCTCCCGTTACGTAATACGACGTAAGCAAACAATATTGTGTGAACGAGCCTTAAAGGGATACTAAAATTAGAATATACCTCTTAATCGAGAAAATAGTTAAACACGATCAACGAAATCTGCTAATGGCAATCACACATTCATATTTTTTGAACGGATGGCTACAATTTTCGTTCTAAACGGCCAATTCCAGCGTGTGCTCAAAGAGCAGCCATCGGAAAGCTCGATGCGTCTCTGGAAATCCGCAAAAGCAGCGCGTTTGTGACGTCACATTTTCCTTCACGGCCATGGCTACACGGAAGCTGGCGTGGTTGGGAGCTTCGTCACTAGGTGGCATCAACGCGTTCCACCCCTGCCGTCCGGAATGCCCGCTCCCCGCAGGAGTTGAATGGGCGCGAGAGATAAGGGAAATCCGGTTCGGCCAAGTTCCACAGAGCTCGCGCACTCGCAGCTTGCTGCCAAACTTCTGTGGGGCGGCGCTGCTCTTATAAGTAGTTCGACATAACGAAACTCAATTTTTTCGTTCGAGATAATGTTTTGGTGTCTTTTCGAGCAAAAATTGGTGTCTCTGCGATGCGGCCAGAAGGTGGGTGACATACAGACAATAAAATAGGCGTGAGCATATCATTGCGGTAGACCTATACCAGACATTTTCAGCCGTATTCACCAGTCGTGACTAACTAACGCTGTTTACGCGTTAGGTTTTACTGCGTAAATGGGAATTTTATTGTATAAAACCAAACACTGTAAATGACTTAATTTTCCAAAAACCTCATTTTTGTGAATTTCGCAAATTGCCTACAGTTTGCGAAAAATAGGTCCCACGAACAATTCTGGTAAAATGCAAACACATTAAGATCCCATCGTGCCGCGAAAATTAGAACCCGCGAATTATTCCAAAACTTCAGCTTTGACCTAAATCGCAAAATATTGAGCCCGAGAAAAATAAGTCGTTTACAGCATTTAAATGTTTATTAAGGGGGACCACTACCCAAAAAAAAAAAAAAAATTTCTGCAAAAACTATTGATTTTGAAAAATGCCATGTTTACAGCCACCAACATCTAGAGAGTATTCCCAGAAAGTTTCGTTAGTTTACACCGGACGCTAAAGAAAAGGTAGGGGTTGGAGCATTTTGAATGCATTTTTCTCTGTTCCACTTTTTGGCATCAATTTCATTTTAGGAAAACTATTGTTATTACCTACACAATAGAGAATTATTCTTAGGTAGTTTTATGATATAGATTTTTGTGAGGTACATGCCTGGCTGGTTACTTTTCCTACTATAACATTCTTTTATGCTAAAAAAAAATACATTTGTAAAAAAGCACAGGCAGGAAAAAAAATTTTTAATCTTATGGAGTTTTATCTACTTATGAAAAACAATGCAATATAGCAAAATAACTAGCTGGGTATGTGCTATGGATATTCCTATGAATATATATTACACATAAAAATCACAAACTTTCATTTTATTTTAAAATAGTTTTTCTCAGCGAACACACTGACTTCCATATTGTAACATTTGTAACAAGTTTCAGAATTGACATAGGACAATCAAAATTGGCAGGGACGGTCTTGCCACTCATATAAACTTCCACCACAAATTTGATTGAAATCAAGCAAGCAGTACAGAAGTAAACTTTTTTGGGTAGTGCCCCCCCTTTAAAATTTTGAAATTGCCTTTGTGTTCTCTCCATCTGCCTCTGTGGTCCAAAGTTGTCCAAGTTGCAGCTCTGTTGCCTAGCTAGTTAGTTTGTGGTTGGAGATGTTTGCAAAACTTAAGCGTGTCAATGTGTTCCGATCGAGCCGGGCACACGCTTCGTGCGTGCGACGTTGCTCGACACCTCGACGTCTACGAGCAATACCGCTTTATGACCTTGGCCTTTTGACCTTTATGACCCGGCTTTGTATCCCGTTCCGCGTTAAAAGAGAGTCTGGGCACGTGGCTTCGAGTCCGTGCGAGGTCGGAGTCGGGGGCAAGCGGACGCACCTTGTACTCCTTGATCTCCTCCATGAGCACCTCGTCCGTGTTGGTGGCCAGCTCAAACTTCTTGGCCCGCTCCACCTTGCGCCGCAGCGACAGGATCTCCTCCTGCAGCCGCTTGGTCTTGAACGTCTCCTGGGACAGCACTGCCGTCCGATCCGTCACTATGCCCTGCATGCCGGGTAGAGGGCCTCCTCATTCCCCCGCACAACCACGCCACCTGCAACGCGCCTCCGGCCGATACGTCCGGCGTCCTATTTTGCATAAAAAGTAGTCCCCAAGCGGCAACAAATGACGTCGCAAAAGCCCAAGCGTCGTGCTGTCTGCGGTTAGGCATAGAAGTTCCCGCAAAAAAAGCACGAGTAGACGCGAGTCCTAACAACGAGTCCCGACGGCGTCCCAACTCCTGGCTGTCGAAGCTTCCGCGAACCGTCTGGCAGAAAGGGGCGCCTGCCACTTCTGGCCCCAACGCTGCTGTCATGCCGCCGCCGGGATAGAGGCCGGCAACGACGTGACACGAATCTGCGACGTCGTCGGACAGAAATCGAGTAACCACTTTTTTGGACGCAGTAACCGCGCCGGTTTGAGACACGTTCCGGGCACTGCAGCACGACGCGGCCCCGACTGGAGTGCGCTCATTTCGTCCACTTTAGCTAACTGGTGCTCACAATAAATGTGTCGCATATAGAAAACGTGGAATCAGCTTTTATTGACACGCCAATTTAGTTTCCGACACCCAAAACCGGCTACACAGTTCGATTCAGCACTCGGCTCATGGTAGAGGCAGGGACAATGTGTAGCCGGTGTAAAATCAGCAAGAATTCGCGTATCCGTTAACTCAAGTTTTGAAAAAGTAACTCTTTGAAGTTAATGAGCTGCCTCAAAAAAATGCAACTAAGCTATAAAATTACTAAAATTTAATCGTAACTTACGAAGCATCTAGAGATTTGAATTGAGATAAATATCAGAAACTAAAACCCTCGCATCATGTAGGGAAGGTCTGTGAGCTGGCTGTTACATCTAGAGAACAGCCCTGTATGCTGCCAGACGTGCAACCCTGTAATGCCCAGCCAATATTGCCATTATCAAACCAATGTCTGGGTTATGTCCAGTCAATGTTGAGCCATCATGCAGTCAATGTTCACCTAATGTCTGTATAAGTATGCCCAATGTCCGGCCACAGTCCAGCCAATGTCTGACTAATATCGGGACAATGCATGGCCAGTTTCCTGCCGACATTTGGTCACTGTCCGCCTAATCTATAGCCGGTGCACTGCCAACGTCCAGCCAATGCCTGGCTAATGTCCGGCCCCTCAGATCAAGAAGCACCCCCACCTGTGCGTCCTTGAGCTGTGCGAGGTACTTCTCGAGGTGGAGCTTGAGGTCGGCCGCCGACTGGGCCGACTCGACAGCCTTGCGCCGGTGCATCTCGGCTGCCTGCTGGCGCAGACTCAGCTCCTTCTCCAGGGTGGACAGGCTGTTCTGGAGCAGGCGCTCCTTCTCCTCCAGCTTGCGCACCACCTGGTTCTGGGCCTCCACCTGGGCCTGCAGGGTGGCCCCCTGCTCGCTCAGCATCGCCTTCTCCTCCTGCAGCAGCTTGTGGATCTGGTTCGACTTGATGCGTTCAGACATCAGCTTGAAGTTGGCGTCGTCCTTCTCCCGCAGCTGCTGGATCAGGCGCAGGTTCTGCTCCTGCATGTCCTCAAAGGCCTGGCCCGTCACCTCCATCTCGCTCAGCAGGGCCTCCTCCTGCAGCGTCCATATGCAAGGTGCTGCAGGCCATTCCAGGCACGGCTCTCACGCCGACGCATGACTGTACTGGGCATTTCAGAAATTTCTACGAAAAGGCCAACCCCTTCCCAGAATCAAGAGCCCTCCATCGTCGCACCGTGCTCCAGAAAATAGTTCACCTTCGAAGAACGATGGCATACACACATGCTAAAACATTTCTGCACGCACTTCCAGTTCAGGTGTGACATTTGCAGGCACCGTTCTGGGATGCCATAGAGGTCGCATCCATTTTTTGAGGCAAAATTTTGCAATCGAGCACCATGGATCCCCGAGAAAGGACGAGTGGACACCCACCCGGACCCAAATGGATATGCAGAGTCTCCAAATTCAATCGCACACCCTCTAGGCAACCAAAAAGTAGCAGCAGTCAAGAGCATTCAAAATGAGGGCTGCTCTTCTAATCCTTTCTTACAGAAAGGACATGCACCTTCCTTCCAATCAGGAAAACCCTGAGTCAGTACCAATAAGCTCAAAGCAGAGCGCAGGGCAATAACGATCCACCACAGCGCGGTGGGCACAATACCTTTGTCGCACCTCGGCAAACAAGTGCAGTCTGTTTGCACGCCAGAAAAACTGTGCGTTGGTGGTAGAAGGCGAAGTTCCTGCTATGAAGCAAGTTTTATAACGGGACTCGCCCAAACTGGAAAAAAAAAGCCTTTTCCTCGGAAAGGCATCTACACTGCTAACATGCAAAGCAAAGCGAAAGCTTCCCCAGGGAGTCACTAAAAAGCTAAGGATGGGAGAGCATGGGAATACTGTTAGGTTTCTGCGATGCTGTTAGCCGCGGCACGACGTAGATCTGCCATCAGATGCGCCTAGTCACTGAGACCTCCCAACATGCCACATTCCACAGTGTCTGTAGGAGCTTGAAAACACTACTCACTAAGTGCTTGCTTGTGGTCGTATTAGGAGCCAGATGGGACAGTTAAGGCAGTTGCTCGTAAATGCAAAGTATGCCAAGTAACTTTACAGCACTTTGGAGTAATCTTTTCTTGTTTTATCAACAGCTTAGCTGACATCCTAGTCTTTTACAACGAATGCATGCTCGGACGTGCATAACACGTGGCAGCGAGTACGGGCCAAATGCAGACGTCGTATTCCAATGTCGGCTCCGAGCCAGTGCGAGACTAGAACCCTTGCATCGTGATGATGTGGATTAAGCCGATCGAAGCGAGACAGCGGGAATTTCATCCTTATTGGTATAATTCACCTCAAAAGCTATGTATGGCATTATGAGAGGTACATGCCCCCGAACGAAGTTCCACAGACCGTTTCGTCTGCATGGGCGCTTGTGCACCCACAATAAAGCGTAGTTCCACCACTCCGCCCAGGTATGGTGCCTCGAACGCGTCTCCGACCGATCTGTTTATCGCATCCAAAAAAGTGGTCCCTCGATTTCCGCCCATTGACGTCATAGGAGTGTCACACTGTCGCCGATCGCGATTCTGGCATTGTCGCAGCCGCAATGGTGGGCGTGTACCAGACGCGTGTTCTACCACAGGTCTGAGGAAGCTTTTGGCAACCAGGGGTTGGGACGCCACGACGACGGTGACGGTCGCACTTGCTCGTGCTTTTTGCCAAAACCTCTACGACCAACCAGTATGATCGCGACATCCGACGGCATAACGCTCCGACTCCTGGGACATTCACTTGGGGACCACTTTTGATGCTTGGGCAGATTGAGACAATGAACGCACCAGTCGGAGAGACGTTCCGCAGCAGAACACCCAGTGTCTCTAGACACGTCTCCGTTGCAGCTCGCCCACCACCGGCTACAATGGGATCCTGCCACGGGTACGTCGCCAGCTGCGGTCTCGAGCCCTCAACAGTCGGTGTTAGGGTTAGCAACCCAATGCCAAGGCGGAGCGTCGATAACCCTTTCGGCCCCGGCACTGCGGACTGATGCCGTCGCAAAGCCTTACGACGTAATCTGCGAGCGAGAACACCCTTGCCCCAAACCAATTACATCACCACCAGAAGAAAAAGTTTGTAAGAAGATGGCGAGTGTTAACGTTATTGGGATGCTTGAGATCACTGCTTATTTGTAACTTTTTTTGAATTTGTCTAGCATTTATTTTTTTGTTCCCCCCCTTTTTTTTTTTTTTTCTTTTTCCTCTCTATACACGGAATCGTGGAGAACATAAAGCAGACACACTCTGGCAGTCAGCTCTGCTTTTCTTTTTCTCGCTTTTCCTTTATGAAATTCCTCACTTTACACCCCGCAGCGTACAGCCAACACCTTCTAAAAAGCTAGGCTGTAGCGGTGAATTTTCTGCATCGCCTACCGGATGTCGGTGTGGGGCATGGAATAGACACAAAAATTGCGTCGTGCAAAAACGTCCCCCCGTGCGTTAATCGAACAAACACAGCCCGGGGCCGAAAGCGTCAGGGGGGTCAGAGGGATAGAGAGAGAGAGAGAGCGATAGGCCAAGGCGGTGCAGAGACCCAAACCTCCTGCTTCTGGGCCGTCAGGCTCTTGTGCAGGCTGGCCACGGTTTCCTCCAGGCCGCGGATCTTCTTCATGGCGTCCTCGTCGGCCAGCTTGCGCCGCTCCTTGCGCTCGTGCTCCGCCAGCTTCTTCAGCTGCTGCCGATGCTCCTCCACCTCCGCACGCGCCTTCTTCTCCGCCGCCATCAGCTGCACCCCCAGGGACCACCCAGGGTCAGGCCACGGAACCAAGTATGGGGTCTCCCAAAAAATAATTTACGAGGTTTATTTCATGGCAAACATAAACTGGGCATCGCCGAATGCTCACTCTCTGCCCAAATGTAGCGTTGGCGGTTCGAACCAGACGCCCAAATTTCAAAACTTACTCTTATCTTAGTCAAAAGGTAGCCGACGGAGACCTCTAATACGCGAAGCTGAATGGCACCAGTTACTGAGAAAGGGTGCCCTTTTCCCATTGAATCTTTTAGAAAATCACTTATATCTTTGACTAAAATAACGGTGGGTGTCACTGCGGTACGACCGGCCACCTCCCGTCAGAAAGACCGACCACACCGCCGTATTCGATTCACGAGTGCAGTCTATTTTAAAACATGCAACGGATGCACTTCTCTACGCCGCGCGCTATGCTTTTCGAATCGGTGAAGCCTGGTGCAGCTAAAACATAGAAGCCCACTGTGAATTGGGAAAGACTTTAAACCGAACGGTCGACCAACGGGCGGCTCTGGGCTGACCGGGGTTTCGAAAAGGAGGAGATTAGATATGTCCACAGATGCGAGGACAATGCATGAGAAAGCATTTCTACAATCTAGAGAAGGGAGAACTCGTGGCCGCAATGACGTCCGTCTGCCTCGGAGGATGGGTCGCTGCTCAGGAAAAAGGAGACCCACCTGGACTTTGTCCCTCTGCTCCTTGGGTGCCCCCTTGTACATGTCGAGCAGCAGCTTGAGCTCCCTCTGGGCCTCCTGGGACTTCCTGGGCACGAGGGAAACGCAGCACGACGACTGCCCCGGTCAAACGCCAGGAGACACCCAAGTCGTGCAGCCCCCGTCGTTTTTATGAATCGGGCCAAATGGACGCAAAATTACGTGCTTTGCGAGTTTACGTTTAAACGTTTCGAAGCAGTTTTTTGTCATTTATGCGACTGCGTTTAGAAGATTGAATATGACTGCACCGCGACGTGGAAGCGCCTGCTTCCACTTATAGAGGAAGGCTTTCTGCAATGCTCTTTGAAGTCTCCCTCCCGTCAATCTCTCAACGATATTCACCCACTGTGGTCAAATATGAAGGAAAACTTTCAGCTCCATTTCGATCCGTAATTAAACCATCATACGCAAAATTGTGTTTGATAAGAAATGCAGTCAAAACTCAAGTTTAAGATCCGTCCTCCTGGCACGGGTCGCTCCTTTTCTAAACGTCACCACGCTCTTCTTTTTCTCGCGATGACATCGAGAATGCACTGACCGAGGCGAGAGAGCATCGTCTGAGGTGACCGAACGGGGCAACAAGCGATACGTGCAATTGGCTCGCAGTGGACGAGTCCAGCAGCTGGCTAGCTATCCTAACTTCCACCGTCACGGTGCGCAACGGGCGCTCACGAAATCCGAGTTAGCTCCGGTCAGAACGACCGGGCGGCGTAATGTTCAGCTGCCCCGGCAACCCACAACCGAATGTCGAAGCAAGCCCTCGCAAGTGTAGTCAAACGCTACCACGTGAATGGTCCTTAATGCGTTTTGGCAGAGTGGTCGGCAAGCGATCACTTAAGCGGCAATTCTCCACAAAGCTCGCATCGCGCGACAAGAACGTAGCACGTCTGCAGTGCGGTGTAGTGACGTCGGCTCCGCGACAGAGGGACCGCTCAAGCGGAACAAACAGTCCCAGTTTGGCGGCGGCTCGGTTTGCTTTTAAAAACATTTGAACCAAAAAACCCGTGACATCGGGAATAAAAATCACTTAATTCGACCACCAACGTCGACGTCCCTCCCACCGACACCTCGCGGAGCGCGAACGACGAAGCCAAGGAAGGAGCTGCGCCAGCTGCCGACATCGCGCTTCCGTGGATTCTTCCCGCCCGCGAATACCGTCTCGACGGTCGGGGGACGTCCGGAAAGAGAAGGGCGGTCCTCACTTGAGCTGCGCCTTGAGGTCCCGGATGATGTCGAGGTCGCTCTTGCCCTTTTCCCTCTCTGGGATGGGCTCCTCCTCCCTGGCCTCCTCCTCCCTGCGCTGCGAGGAGGCCGAGGGGGCGCCCCCCTCCTCCCGGCCCCCCTGGCCGGGCTGCGGGCAGCTCACGGGGGCGCCCTCTTCCCCGCGGCTCGACCCGTTGTCGCTCGAAGTGGACGACGCGGACGAGGGCACCGTCGTGGAGCTCACTGCCACGTTGGACATCTCCAGCGTCTGCTTCAGCTGCGAGCAACCGCGGGCTCAATCGGGCGCGCACCTCGGCCACGCTCCGGACTCCCCGGACGTTTTTGGTCGTCTCGTTTCGGAGCCAACGGCAAAGGGCCGCGGTTTTTCCGCTTTGTCCCGACCTCGGAATCGCGGACAATGCAACAGCCACTTTTCAAAGGTTCGTCGAGCAACACTGGCGGTCGCCATTTCTCGGGCACGAAGCATGCGGTTGGATCCGAGACCTTGATGAACAACGACGCAGTACTCGTTTTTCATGACAGCCGAGCAGTTTACGCCGAACGTCGATGCAACCCTTGTGTCCAATACCGTATTTACTCGCATAATGAACGCACCCCCCCGCAATGGGTACCAATATTTTGCCATTTTTTTCTCTCGCGTAACGAACGCACCTCCAATTTTCAGCTCCATGAGTCTTGAATTATTTCCAATTCAGCTAGCCACCAAGCCAATTTTCTTTTGCTGCCAAGCAGCCAAGTCAAGCCAAGCCGCTCTTGTATGGCTGCAAGTGCGTAGTTGCGTAAGTGATCAACCGTGAAACCGAGCAGTGTGCACACTTGACGAAGCTTGGGTCGAGGAATTGCCCAGCCCCGGACATTCTTTGCCTATCGGATGCATTGATATCAACAAACACGCCGTTGTCTGCGGTATGCTTTTGGACAGTGAAATCATGAAAGTGGTTAGGCCTAAGAACGGTCGCGTTGCTCCCTGTGCCAAGTGAGCTTTGTAAGGCATGCCAAAAGTGCCCTAAAAAGGTTCGCAATTTATAAAGCATGGCTACTGTGGCACGCCCCCAACCAGCCGTGGGTGCACCTCCATCAGTGGATACGTGCAACAGTACCTTGCCGTGTCAAATCGGCACCTAATATGACATTTGCACAAAGTGTGTAAATGAAAAACTTTTACCCCGCGTAATGCACGCACACCCCAAATGTGCTGTCAATTTTTCGGAGAAAAAAGTGTACTCATTATGCGAGTAAATATGGTATATGTTTGGAGTATGTGCTAAAGGGAGGAGGAGGTTTCCCCTTCTCTTCTCCAGCGTTCCGTCTGCTTCCTCCTCCCTGGCAATACTTACCCTCGCTCTACCTTCTTGAGTTGCAACGGACTATAGATGGCGCACACTTTTGAAAAGGATCCATCGGCATCACCTACCGGCGTCGTGGCACAAACCCTATCATGCAACCTTTACGTCCCACACACAAGCCTTCTTGGCTTACGTGGGTACAGAGCGAAATTTATTCAAAAAACAAAATAAAATAAAATGTATTTCATTGTACTCTCTACCCTCTTTGTTCTACCATTAAAGTAATCATTTCTTTCTCTAAAATATTAGCATTGGAGTAAAGAAAACCTAGCAGCATTTCTTCTTTTCGACAAAAAGATGACAATGCGCAGTGCTGAAACGAGCACGTGAAGTATGGCGACAGCAAACATGCTGGTATAACCATGATCTGTAACTAGACTTTACTAGAAGTTTTTATCGCGGCCATACTCCATTTCAGCACAACCTAGCAATGACAGTGAACGACACGGCCCCAACCACCCAATCAGAGCATCGAGGCAAGGCACGCGAGGGCACACTTTCGGAGCACGTTCCCCCCGTGGAGAGCCACCACGTGCTCCGCTTCTTCACTCCGACTGGTTCGAGGTGGCCATAGGGTTGGCCCTTTTCTAAGTTATGCCCAAATGGAGTACAGCTGCCAAGCGAGTCTTACTGGTGCGTGTTGTTCCCGGGCGTGCCTCATTTCACTTTCGTCCGAGGCTGCACGTACCCTGGCGGCTTCGGCGGCGGCCTCCCTGAGCTTGCGCTTGTAGCGGGACACCTCGCCTTTGAGCTGGCGGTTGTGGCTCTGCAGGCTCGTGATGAGGTGCCGCATCTCCCGGTTGATCGGCCCCGTCTGCTCCGTGGCCGCCAGGTTCTGCTCAAACTCTATGCGCAGCATCTCATACTCCTTGCGCACCTGCGGGCACACATTCCAATCAGTTGACCGCAATCACAGCAACATCCGTTACTCACAGTTGACTCTCTGTGGCATTTCTAAAGGATTGAAGAGTGCGCGTGCACATTTTTGATCGGCACTCAAGGCACTCAAGCACCTGTGTGCCCACACCTTTGAATGCATAACCACAGAAAGTTGTCCACGAGTATAGTACGACATGCTCCCACAAATATGGTCCTGCTGCAGCGAACGGGAGGCACCGTGATCGTCCGCTTGCCGGCGCAGCCAATGTGCAGACGGGGCAACTTTGAGCGGCACCTGCCGCTGTACAGGACACCTTCTCTGCCAACGAGGAGTTGGCAGCAAGGAGAAGATAGAATGCAATACAGTAGAACCTCGATAATTCGATCTCAGTTTATCTGGAATCCCGGATAATTCACAGAATTTCCATGGTTCCGTGACTTCTCATGAAAATTTGACTGCATAATATGAGCGCTCCGCGCGTGCCTACCCATTTAATTCGCCGATTTGGTCTTCCAGGTTAAATTTTTGGTTGCTAGGTGGCGCCAGTTGGCATCCAGATCCGGCAGCAAAAACAAAGATGGTGGGCGTCTTCTCTGATTTGTTTCCCGTTTGCTGGTCCATGCGGTTAGGTTGTTGTTTTTTTATTTTTTGGGGCTTGGGCTGACGTTGGGCAGGCTTAGACACTCTTGCCTTACATGGCGTCGATGACCGGTGTCAGTGATCAATATTCTTGGCGCCGCGCCGCTGTGGTTCGGGCCGTTACTGAACTGCGTGTAAGCGATTTAGCGAGCGACGAGACGAGCAACGGCGATAGCGGTCCGCGACAAACGATGGAGATTTCTCATTGTCACCCGTCACAATGCTCGCTTGCTCCCGTCACTCTCATGCAGTTTGCCTCGTTGCGCGATTGACTAAGCGACAGCAAAGCGAATCGCCGTCGCTTATCTTGTAGCTCGCCAAATCGCTTACATGCGACTGGCCGTGGAGCAGGAGGATACTGCTAGTGCTAGTGCCAGCATTGTTCTTAAGATTGACAATGAGGGAGAGGAGCTTTGCTCCCGCATTAAGGACAGTGACGGTGAGTCGGTCGGCATGACGTTCACAGACTACTTAAACATGGAAGAGAAGGAGTAAACCTGCTACACGGACCTTGAGAGCGAAATCACCGAGTACGACGGCAGACTGGTGACAATGATGAGCTGTCTCGGGTCTCCACTCTAGGGGGAGTAATACAGTCACTGAATGTCGTCCGCAGCTTTGTGGAATGTAACGGCGGTGATTCTGAAATGTTGCGCCTAGTTAGCCGTCTTGAAAATATGACGGTCAAAGCCGCTGATTACAGAACGCGGCAGTCCCATATCGCTGGCTACTTTGAGGGATGTTCTCTCGTTTTGACTACTCGTTTTGAATAAAATGTTTCCTTCAAGATTCAAGGCTTTGCATACAATTTTTTGTCGTTTTCTTTCCTTTTTGGATAATTAACAAATCCGCTCAATTAGCATACCATATTTACTTGCAGAATGAATGCACTTGTTTTTCTGAAAAATCGATGCAAAGTTGGGGGGGCGTTCATTACGCGAAGTAAAATTTTTGCGTCCGTATTTACTGGCATAACGAACGGACATTTTATCCTGAAAAATCGAAGTAACTTCTTATCTCTTTGCGCGTGGCGCCCGACCCCGTAACCAAACTAAGCTGTGCAAAAAACAAAACAAAAAAACTTTTCTTTGTTTTTTTTTCTTAGTTTCTTGGGTTTTTTTTTTTTTGCCGCCTTTCGCAAGCTGTTTTGTTTGCTTAGGCGAGGGCTCTCCGCTTATCTTTCTTACCTTCTTGCGCGCGGCGCGCGACCCCCCATAACCAAACTGTGCTGTGCAAAAAGAAAAAGAAAAAAAAGCTCCTCTTTGTTTTCTTTTAGTTCGGTGTTTTTTTTTTTTTTCTTTTTGCCGTCTTTCGCAAGTTGTTTCGTTCGCTTAGAGCGCTTCTCTTTCTTACCTCCTTGCGCGCGGCGGCGTGCAAACTCAAAGTCCAGACTGCGCTGTGCAAAAAAAAAAAGAAAAGCTCCACTCCATGTTTTTGTGTTTTTTTTCTTGCTTCGGTTGGATCTAACGCCTATTGCAAGGCGTTTTGTTCGCCCACGCTGCCCATTCATTCGCGCGGGGGGGGGGGGGGGGGGGGGGGGGGGGGTCAAAATTATGACGTCCAAGTTGGGGGTGCGTTTATTACGCGAGTGAAAAAAAAAAAGTCGAAATTTTAAGAGCCGACTTGGGGGGTGCGTTCATTACGCGAGCGCGTTCATTGTGCGAGTAAATACGGTATTTCTCGCCGTCCGACCGACATTGAATTAACGAGGTTTTACTGTACTCCCGCTCCGACAGTTACTCTACAGCAGTCACCCAACGACGCACAACAGGCTCTGTAGGCCTCTGAACTGCTTTACCGCACTAATGCCGAACCTTTGGCATCCCAAAGGTTCTAAGGGCTCTCGAAGCATTTGCCCACCAGGCAAGCCAAGCGATAACACTTCCTCTACCGACGCTCGCAGTCTCACAAAGCTAAACAAACCAAACCATGCGCGCCAAGTGAGTGGGGTTGACGATTCTCCGCTTCTGAGCTTCCAAGTTTGTTTGCACGCATTTAGTTTTCTTTATTCGCCCCCTTGTCGTTGTAATTGCCCGATACGGCCCTCCCCCCGAGTGAATGGGATCCAGGAGGAGTGTCCCCAAACAATAGCGTTTGAGAACCACCGCTCTCGGAAATCCCATCTGGGCAGCTCGAGGCAAGACCCACCTGGACGAGGGCGTCCTCGAGGCGGATGACCTCCGTGCGCAGCTTCTTCTGCATGAGCAGCTCCTCTCCCTCCATCTGCTCAATGTGGCGCAGGTGGCTGTTCTTGGAGGAGGCCAGCAGCTGGCGGCTCTCCTCTAGCTGGGTCTTGAGCTGCATGCTCTCGTTGTACAGCACCGAGAACTGGCTCTGCAGGCACTTGTACTCCGCCGTCTCCAGCACCACGCTCTCTGGCAGGCAGCGCATGTCCATGCGCAGACGCTCCACCGCCTGCATTGACGTCCGCACGCATGAGAACGGGGGAGGGGGCAAGTGAAATGACACGGCCGGAGCCGACTAACGTGACGCCCATCTTTCGCCGACAAAGGAAATTTGCTCGGATGTCGCTAGCACCTTAACCGTTTTGCACCCACATAAAGCAATATACAGCAGAACCTCGTTGATACATTTTCCAGGAGACCGTGGAAAAAAAAGAAGTATCATCCGGGAAAAAGTAACAACCGATAACGTACTTGGGGGGCTCTACATGAGATAGAAAGCAGCTCTTATACAATGGTTTATTTTATGTGTACTTACAAAACTGTTGAGGACTCAGACACTCCAACTTTGCGTGTTTTGCCCCCCGAGCCTGTTTAAAGCCTGGTTGATAAAAAGAAGCTTTCGCCTCGACCTCCTTTCGTTTGGTGACGATGCTGTTCAAAGTTGACGGCGCCAGTCCGAGGTCTCTTGCAATGTCAAATCTCTTCCGGCTAGGATTGCGATCCACCATTTGAAGTATATCTAGCTTCTCTTTAAAAGAGAGCGCCTTCCTTTTTCGCGATGCCATGACCGTCCTCAATGGTTGCAAAGCGCACATACTACAAAACGCCACAGTTTACGCAATCGAGCGGAACAGAAACTAGAAGTGCAGCATGCATGCGGGTGCACCTCGTGCCAGTGAAGGACAGATGAAAGAGAGAGCAAGAAAGAACGAGCGTTTGCCGCCTCGCTAGCCTCACTCCCCATCCCAGTAGTGCTCCAAGGTCACACCCGGGCAAGATGGGAAGCTGTGGCAGAGCTCAGCAAAGCGCAGCGAGGAAGAGAGACGGAAAAGAGGGGGAAAGGAGTAAAGGAAAGACGGGCGTCTGCGTGCCCACACGTGCCGTACAACCTGCATCGCATGGTTCGGCTTTGCAATGCTAGCTTCGCTTCAAAGCCAGCGCCTGGCGCCTGGCGTGCCGCGATGCCGACACTTTTGGACGTAACAACCGGAAAAGCAAACGTAACAGGCAGGAAACTAATACATATATCTCTGTGAAAGTAAAACAGGACCGGCGTTTTTGAACGTAACGGCTAGGGAACATATCAATGAGGTTCTTCTGTACGTATGGAAGAGTGACGGCCGTACGTGATGTCAGCAGTTGACGCAACTCGCTCCTCGTTGCCGCCATTCACATCCCACCCACTGGAACGGAACTCCCGTAAGGAGGCATGTTGGCATTAGCAAATAAATGTGGCGGCTTTTACCCCCCATATCACAGCACATGAATGCCGCAGGTTTTACTTTTGACGCAAACGTTTTTTGTGACAAAATATTGTTAGCAACAACCTCATCTACTGTCAAACCAGGGATTGTTTGTACCTGCCCGGGCATCCCCTCCGTGTCTCTGCCACCGAGCCGACGTCATCGAGCAGAGTCACAAAAGTGTGACATTTTTATAAAGTGATGCGGAGAAATCTCCGCGAGAGAGTCTCTGCAGAAAAATCTCCGCGAGGGAGTCTCTGCAGAAAAATCTCCGCGAGGGAGTCTCCGCAGAAAAATCTCCGCGGAGGAACCATATCTCGGCAGAGAAGTAAGACGGATCTCCACCACGCTAGAATACAGCCGCCAACCGCGCCGGTGCCCTGACCTTGAGGGCCTCCTTGTGGTCATGGTGTAGCTGCTCCAGCTCCATGATGCGGGCCGAGGCCAGTTCGCGCTGCTCCTCCAGCTGGCTCTGGAGGTCCTCCAGGCGGACGGCGGCCAAGCCCCCCGGCCCTCCGTTAGAGCCGCCCCCAACGGAGCCCAGGGAGGCCAGGTCGGCCCCCCCCTCGGCCTGGCTGATGCCCTTCAGCCGCTGCAGGCACTCCGACAGGTGCAGGTCCAGCTTCTCCTCCCGCGCCTGCAGCCGGCCCAGCTCATACTCCAGCTCCTCCACCCGGTTGCGCAGCTCGTCGTTCTTTGTCTGCAGCGAGTCCGACTGGTCCTGGTGCTCCGAGAACTGCGCCAAGTTAAGAGGGTGGACCTCGGCGGGGTGCGCTCTTTCCATCTACAGTTATGGTAACTCACAGCTGAAGAAAGGCGGGGCAAGAAAGGCGGGGTGGGCTGAGCCCCGCACATTTCATTATCGCTTCGCAGCCAAGGAGATTCTGGTATTAGCCAACAAAAACGCCGGGGAATGATTCAAGGAGCAAGAAGTGCAAACGTAACGAGCCGCACGACAGCAGAACATCTACATTTGCGCGGAAAAAGTTTCGTGATCTCTTTACACTGCTTTTTCCCGTCTCCCTGCAATGCATTAACGGAAAAACTATGGTTTGCAACGGGGGATCAAGCAAACAAGATTTAGCAGTTAGGATTGCCAAATAACAACTCGGTTAATTATGAGCCAAAGCGGTGGGCTCCTCGTCCCTGCGCGTCACACCTCACTACAGTTGAACCTCGATTATGCGTCCCCGGTTTATGCAACATCCCGCATTTTACAACAAATTTGCCCGGTCCCGACGAACTCTCCATAAAAATAATGTATTAAAAGTTTGGGTTACACGATGCGTGAATATATGCGTCGTGTCTCGGCGGGAAACACACGACAGATTCAACGACTGCGTAAGGAGGAGGGAGGCGGCACGGCAACGCGAAGGAGTTCTCCACGCCTGCACGCCGTTTCAGAAGGTCCACAAACACACTGCCAGCAACCCGAGACAGTTGCAGCCACGGGAGGGAGCAGGAGACAGCGCTTTCCCTTCTCCTCCCCGGGTTGTGAAATGCTTCGGCGTTTTTGCTTTGCGTCCCTGCTCCGCTCATCCTATCGTTCTCTCGTTTACCCTCTCTCCTCTGCACACCACTTTCTCCAACTCATTGCTTCTCCCAAGATTTCCGCTGGTTCCCGCCTTCGGAAAGCATGACAGTTTGTTTGCACCCACGGTGGCGTTGCTGATTTGCTTCCAGAACTTGCGGCCTTCGAAAAGAAACTGACGTTGCGCGACCGAAAGGAAGTTCAGCAGGCGATTACTGATTTCTTTTGAGGTGAGGATAAAGTTACTTGCACCTTTACCGCACAATTTTACGGTTTGGTTTCAATTTGTTTTGATGGTTTTCGCTTCGTCAAAGTAGAGCAGATTATTAGCTTAGACATCGTTTAAAACCTCCGCTTGTCTTTTTCGCGCAAGGCCGATACTGTATCCGTAATTATTGTTTTTTCGGATGATACGACTCACGGATTATACGACGACTTCACGCTGTCCCGCAAAAGTCATACAATCAGGGTTCCACTGTAGTGGTAAGAGCGGCGGGAGTCTGAACCTGGTAAAGACTGATGCGGCAAAAGCAAGTGTGTAGTAAAGCTACGTCGAGGTTGCTCGTAATACTGGTGCAGACATTCAAAGTGCTGGTATGCCAACGATCCTGGTATAGCGAATATTTTTTTCTGTGAGAACAATGACTTCGCTATAAAAGGAGCTTTACTGCACTTTGGTTGGAAGATGGTTCATTGATCCACAGACTCAAAATCATCTGGCCCGCTTATAACTCGGTATGTTTTCACATCTTGTCACTTTGAGTAAAATCCTTGGCTCCCAATTTGAGCTGGCATACTCTCTCAATTGCAGTATCAGTTATTTAAACATTTTGCTGTACACCAAATCAAGTTTTCACACTGGAAGAAAACTATGCAGTATCTTCAGACATTAAAAAAACACTGAACCTAGAGAAAAAAAAATATTTTTGTCTAATTTTTATTGTACAACAAATTTCTCCATTTGCGGGCGAAACCGAAATTGTAATTCTGTCGGATGATGATGATAGCATTTACAGCCAACTAGTGTGACCTCTGAGTTCGCTGGACCTCAAACGCACACTAGTTGGGTACAAACGTTAACATCATCATCCCACAAGAGTACAATATTGGTTTTGCCTACACAAAAAAAAATTCATATTGTAACAAAATAAAGTTTATTTTATTTTGTTATAACAAACATTTACTCATATCATATTGTAACAAAATAAAGTTTATTTTATTTTGTTATAACAAAGATTTACTTTAAACGTGCTTGTCCCAGTTAGGTAGAAGAAAAAAAGTTCTCTCTCTAAGCTCAGTGTTTTTTTTTACTGCGAAAGCATTAACTGGTCCCATGGAGCGAGCCGACGTCATCAGTTTTGAAGCCGCGCCAAACGGCACCTTAAGTCCTTTCTCCCAGTAAAGCCAGCTCCCAGCTATGAAACCACGTGAAAAACCTAGCCAAACAGCACCTAGTTTCCCCAATCCCAAGAAGCGGAGTAAAGCTGATTGATTTCATCCTCAATCCAATTGGCTGGCACCCGTCAACAAGGCTCCCATTGGCCGCCGTGCGCGAGTTTCAACGACTGCCACCCCATGGCGCTGCGTGTCCACGAGGCAGCCAAGCTCACCACATGCACTCAACCGTCGACACAAGTACGCCGTAGACGAAAGAAGGGAGTGGACGAGCTTCGCGCATGCTTTCGCATTTACAACTTAAAAAAAGTGCTTAGGTGTACCTCGAGCCTTTTTAAGCACGCTACGATTATAGCTAGTCGCACTTTGTCTAGGAATAAACTTGGTGCCTATTTACATGACTGGGCCCTACCCCATTCAGAAGCTCTGCGTGCTTCCGAGAAAGAAAGATAAAAGGACCAGGTACCGACCTTGAGGGAGAGCAGGTGGTTCTTCTCGTGCAAGGACGTGACCAGGGCGTGCAGGTTCTTGTTCTCCGTCTGCAGCTCCACGTTGGCTTGGCGCACCGACTCTTCCAGGTCCGGAGGGGGGCCGTCCACCACCTCGCCGTCTGAAACGAGGGGACGCGAGCTTCCTCGTCGGACTCCGCCCATTTGTCGGCTAGCAAACGCCGCCGAGGCAGCGAGGGATCTGCCCCACCGGGAAAACTTGCAACTTTCTCTACGTTCGGCATCAACCTTCTTGTGAGACGGCGTCGAGGCTAGCGTAGTTTCCCCGGTGCTGCAGCCCCGCCCTGCTGCGACTGCGTGTGGTCTTGTATCGCATTTCGTTCGCACGCGCTCTCGACCGAAGGAGATGCCAGACGAAGCCACGCACTCCTGCAACTGGTACCTTAGAAGGTGTTGGAGTGCGGCAAAAGCTACACGAGCTTCGACGATGCGGCGCCAAAAAGTTCCACGCCGGGTGTGGTGTGCATCGAGTACAATGACAAAAAGTATCCCCAACTACCGTAAAATACCGGGGTAGTGCCCATCCCACTTTCACCGAAAACTGGATTAATCTAGACATGGGTGCTTGTCCAACCAAATCGGGCACTTAAGGGGGGACACTACCCAGAAAAAACAATTTCTGCAAAAAAACATTCATTTTGAAAAATGTCATATTTACATCCACCAACATCTAGAGGGTATTTCCAGAAAGTTTCATTAGTTTACACTGCATAATTAATTTTTTATAGATTATTTTCGGTCCACCAACGCTAAAGAAAAGGTACAGGTTGAAGCACTTTGAACGCATTTTTCTCCATTCCACTTTCTAGCATAAATGTCACTTTAGGAAAACTATTGTTTTGTTATTACATAACTTGGATATATTTTTATGAGTTTTTCTGGGGTGAAATTTTAAGGGGAAGATAACTATGAGCTTGTATTTTTTATTTTTGTCATTTTTCATGCTCAAAAACAAACATTTTGGACAAAGGATGGAAATCTAAAACACTGTATTTGTGTTTATGTGGCTCTATTGTCATGAAAGATGGTATAACATAGAAATATAGCTCCATAGTTATCTGCTCTGAACTGTCCTAATACAATATAACACATGAAAACGACAAATTTATAAGTAATTTTAAAACAATAGTTTTCCTACGCAGGCACGCCCACTTTCATCTTTGAAGGCTTGCAGGTTTTTTTGTATGTCACCCAGGTTAACAAAATTTGGCAGAAATGTTCTCAACATCAACAAAAACAAGCCCTGCAAATATAATTTAAATCAGACAAGTGGTTCAAAAATTTGCTTTTTTGGGTAGTGTCCCCCCTTAATATTTTCCTGTAGTGTGGTTACCTCGTTTTTATTGTTCCCACCTGGCGATGTCCTAATTTGAGAGTGCTGCGGGTCGTCGCAATCCTCGTTCAAACGGCACGTCACCATCGGTGGATCGAGGGGCGACTCCCGTTCTGCCATAGATCGCTCAGCAGACGGCCTGCTCACCTTCTTTGCCGGTACTTCTACAGCTAACCGCCCTAACTACAACAACCTTTAGCATTCCCAGCAGCTGCGGACATGCTCAGACGCACGGGCGGAAAGGGGACTAGAGACGCACTGATCAGCGACGCGTGCCCGGTTCCATACCTCAAAGCCGACGTAGCTCATTCTGGTGTTTGGCGTGGCGAACATTAGTGGTAACCATGCAACAAGTGCAGCTGTCACTGAACATAAAGTATGGGCTTTTCCCTTATTCTGAAGGAAAACTTTTAGTAACAGCATTTCAGAAACAGCAAAGGATGCACGTGCGTAGCTTTGATCGGCAGTAAACATGCACGAGCGCCCCCAGCTTTGACTCGTAGCCTCAGAAAGTGGTTCCCAAACATGGTGGTAGTTAGCTGCAGAACTCTCGAGCGGTGCAGGACCTCGAAATTGCCCTCCTACAGCCGCCAACATTGATTCGAGAAGCGGCGGAGCGCGCGTACCGGGGTTTGGGCGTCCCCCCTGCAGGGCCCGCATGACCTTGTGGTTGCGCTGGACGAGGCGGTCGAAGGCCTGCAGCACCTTGGCCACGGCCCGGGTGGACACCTGCACCCGCTGGGCCAGTTTCTCCTCCAGCTCCTCCCGGTCCCAGTGCAGCAGCATGCCCAGGAAAGAGGTGGTCGCCTCCGCCTCATTGCGCACCTCTGCCTCGTCGGAGGTCTCCGAATCGAAGCGCTCCAGCAGGATGCGCAGGTCCTCGTTCAGCTGGTTCCAGTACCTGCACGGCAGGGACGACGGTGGCAGGCCCCGCTGGCGACAGAGGCCACGGGGGAGCACACTGCCGCAATGCGTGCTCCTCCCCTTCCGAAAAACGTCCCGATATCTTCCGGCAACGCCACCGCAAAGTATGTTGCCACAATGCAGTGGCCAAATCCTCGGGTCGAATGTGGGGGTTCTACATGCCAAACAAACGAAGGGCAATTGGCACGCTGCCCCGGTGGAGGGCCAAGGATTTTTTTGGACTACCCGGGGATCTTTTGACGAGCAAAAAATCTCAGTTACACGCCACCTTCTCCGGAACCAGCCTCCGTCGGATTGCGGGCCCCTCGGCCGGGATTCGAACCTGACACCTGGGGACCCGTAGGGTGGTCAAATACAAGATTGTCTTTTTGTGGCACAGACTCTATTAAGCAATCAATTAAGCAACAATCGTGCGCAGCTTCTCTCCCTATTCAAATTGCGATGAAACATTATGTTACAGCCCTTTTTCTCAAACAGATCTTAGAAGAGCGGCATAACACAAAGCTTGGCTTTATTTCTAATGGGGAACAAGGCACGTGCGATTGTAAGTTTGGGTTTTCTAGGAACTTTAGCACATGTAGGTCGAGTCTGCACCGCAGAAAGACAATATCAAACTCCGCCTTAGTGCCCCTTTAAAGACGTCGCTCCGAGACTTAGTATTCTAACAATACTGCCTTGAGACCCAATAGGCATCACTCCGAAGTGCGTGCGATAAGTACTGCGGGATCCAGCACTGTAGCAGCATTTAACCTTAGTTTTTTCCGGGACACTTTCTTTCTGTCAAATTAAGATTCAGTTTAGATATTTTCCCACTGAACAGTAGGAGGAAAAAGGTTAGGAAAGAAAGCCACAGTTGCACCCTGACAAAGCCCCTGCCTCTCCTTAAAATTCAGATCACAACGAGACATCACTAAGTCTGTCGCTGCAGGATTTGACATTCTAAAGACACTACTGCGAAATCAAGATTTGTCTTTCCACAATAGCACAAATCAGTTCATCTACACTTATAATTTCCTAACTACCCCCCTCCACTACCCGAGATGGAGGAATGAAAACAGTAGAGGGAAAAGCAACACCACAGCAACCCGGCGAGGGTCGGCAGTCAATGGGAGGACACACAGGGCATGGCTGAGGCAACACCCCTATACTTTGTTTCCCCTCAGTCGGAATGCAGTCAATGCTATTGGTCGACAGGGCCAATCGAGAGACAAGTGCTACACTGAAGGTGCTACGTCTTGTTTTCGGGCCAGTGTTATTTCCAGCTAAATCAATCGGTTCATGCGCCATCACCTTGCATGTTTAGCCTGCATGTTTGTGCCTGTATGCCTCCTAGCCCTTGAGGGCATTCCGACGTATAGCAGTGATGGAAGTGCCATTTGACCTTTTGGAGCACGCCTTGTAGCAGGCAAAATGTTATTTAGGAGCAGGTAGTGGCCCTTTTGGAGCAGGGTCCGGCATATGTTGGCATATTACTTGAAAATGAGGTAATTGCTGCAGCGCTATATAAAACCCATCTCTATTATTGGAACACAGCGCCTGTCGCCTTTTTAGACAGGATATATATAATGCAACAAAGTAAACACAAAAAAAAAACACTTTTAAATACAGTTTATCTGCTTGTCTGATAAAAAATACAATTAAATATGTCACACTGAGTTCTGATAGTACAGGATATTTAGTTTTATCAGCCTGCACTTCTTTTAAGGTATCTGCAGCAGCATCCAACGGCCCTCACTGTTGTAGAATGTTTTAGTTCAAATTAGAGTTGTCTTTCGGGCACCAGCTTCAAATATTTCGGTATCTGATATTCGCTTCAAAACTTCCGATTCATTTTTGATCATCTGGCGAAGTCACGATCGGATCACGGCGAGTTAACCCGTTGAGTGCGCTCCTTGGCATGCACCGACGCGCTGCAGAGAAGCGACACCCGCGGAGCAGACACCGTAGTCGCGCGAGTCGAGCAGTGCTTTGTGCTCCGAAAAGGACGGTGAGGCTTTACCAGCACTACATCCAGAGTTTGGTGCAACTCGATTATAGACGCTTTGAAGCAGCTGTGCGTGGACGCCGCCATAACTGACCTTCAGTTTTAGTTTCCTCTTATTTCGTTTATTTCACTTCCTCATTACCCTAGCAGGCCAGGGGATTGCCATATTAGATTCAACTGTGTCCTTTTCTAAAACATTGGCCTTTGTAGAGAATCGTCAACTACAGTTTCAGTTGCTCGGCATCTCGGTAAGACAAGAGAAGGTCAGCAATGGCGGCTGTAATTTGGCGCGTGTGTAAAGCGTCTATACTTCGTTTCAGCTTCGGTACGGGCGCAGCCGAAGCTACACGCACGCACATAGAGCCCGTAACGGTGCCCACACTGCACGAACCCACGCGCGAGTCAGGAATGCACAGAGCATTGGGCTCGCGCTAGCTTTGACTTCGCTGGTGGCTAGCGCACGGGAACAGGGCGGGTCAACATTGAAAACATCAACAAGCTCGGCCTTTTTTTTTTTTTCTTTAAATAGGCTGCTCTGTGGGATGGTTCTTCGCTTAGCCTCTGCGGCTTTGGTCTCAGATGTTGCTAACGTTGTTCCTTTCAATGATGATGATGATAATGCGCCCTCACAGTTTCGGTTTGCGTAACAGTTGAGGCAAGGAAGATACCGCGGTACCGCCACGCGCTCTGATAAGACTTCAATTTTTATTTTTTATTCCTACATCTCATCTCGGCGCAGGCATGGCGCAATTCTTCGGTAAAATGACAATTTGGCGCTACATGTAGCAGGATTGCGTCCTTAGAGCAATTTGGCGCAATTGGCGCAGCACTTCCATCACTGGTATAGTGAAACAAAGTATAACCAACGGGTCGCAGCACAGCTTGAACTCTTTCGCAATAGTTTATTTTTTATTTTTTTTAAAAGACGTTTTTTAGTGGTTGGGTTTTGTTTCCAAAGGATAGTACAAAGAAAAAGTTAATGCGGATGTTTTTTTTTTTTTTTTTTTTTTAATATCTAATGGGATCATGCCTCACAAAGCATATTCTGCAATAAATGTGTAATGGCCGCCGTAAGGCGACGATTGTCAAGGGGCTCAAGCCAGCCCTTTGCAGCTCCACACCGGTCTCACCTATTGACAACAGTGAGGACCCCCTCGTCGGAGGTCTGGCGCTTTTCGAGCTGCTCCACCCTTGCCCTGAGCTCGTTCTCTTGCCGGATGCGCTGCTCCAACCGCTGGGCCAGCTTGCGGTTTTGGAACTGCAGCGTTTTCATGTCCATCTCCTCCTGGAATGGAAACAAAAGCACCAGGTGCAGCCGTCGGTGATCGACCCTTTGAGCGACGTAATTCCGCACACACGGTGAACCTGGGGCCCTCGTTTGCACGTGCAACGCACGACTCGGCAGACGACGAACAGAAACTTCAGCACAAAACGGTTTCGTAACACGATTGTCGTTCCCAGCAGACGACAAGCGCAACCTTCCTCCACGAATGGGTGTAACTGAGATGACCGGTACGTTCCACTCGCTCGGCCGAGCCCGAGAGCCAAGCCGAGAAACTCACCAGCGTGGACACCTGTCCGATCCGAAAAGGCTCGAAGTGGACTTTTTTGGGTTGTGGCGCCCCGGCAGCGCCGGTGGCGCCCGGCGAGTCTTGCGGGGCTGGCCGTTTCGAAGCCATCCTGGGCTCCGACGGCCCCCTCACGTGCCAACCTCAATTCCTGCAAGTGGGAGAGGGATCACGCTCCGTTACGTGACAAGGACAGAGTGCGCGGATCATCACGAAGGTAACCCACCACTCGGCTCCGACCAATCTTAATCCTTTGCTGATGACTGTTGCCTACAGGCAACAAACTACATCATTTTTTTTTCTTCGATAGTTTTGGATTCACAACTTTTTTTCTCTCTAGTAGTCTGGCAAGTTTTGATGGATGGATACAGTCGAGCCCTTTAAATCGGGCGGTGGCTCGCGCCACCTAGACACGAAGATTAAAACTGCAGCGCCATCTAGTGAAAAAAATGTGCAAATAGTCGACGAGAAAAAAAGTCTGGCATGCAAAGACCGATATCGGCGGTTCCCCAGAATCTCGGGCAAAAAATGTAGGTTTTTTTAAGCACAAAAATTCGGGAACTTGGCGAATGAGCTGCAGTCGTCTCTGAGACGTGTCTTTAAGTCACGACCATTGATCAGGAAAGTGCTGAAGCGTAATGCCTTCTCTGGTGGCAGCTTCCACTTAGAGAAACGAAGCCAAGCTTTGAAAGTTTGCACCGTAGAGCTATGAATGAAATCTGTGTTTGGGGAAAACAGACGTCCATTACATCCCAATGTAGATTTTTCTTGCTAATTTTAAAGTATAAAACATTGCATACCCTGCTCAAAACCTGCACATGTGCTTAAGATGCCCGTACCGATCTGCCAACTTTGCCCCAGAAATTTGACAGAGTTACAAGATGTGACAAACCTGCGTAAGCATTAGCATAAAAGTCTACCACCTCGATGAACACGTAACAGCTGTATTTGCGGCATTCTCTTTGCCCGTTCCATATCTGTCTTCGGTCCCTGCACTGCAGCGTCCGGGTCTTTCTTAAACTCCAGTTTAAATGTTACGTGCCGCATCCCGTCAAAACACGATCGGAGGCGAATCTCCACACGCGACTTGCCGACCAAGCCCCCGTCTGACCGCCGCGACCGGCTTTCTCCGCCTACCTAGACTCGTCGGGCACCCGATGGAATGCCGAAAATCGAGGTCTTTGAACTTTCCAGATCGCCCAGTTAAAACTCGGGGAGTCGCGACGACAAACCGATCGCCAATCGGGCACCGCCGTCCGACTCGAACTTTTTACAAAAGACGACCGAGCGATCGAAACCCTCCTCGAACTTTTCTGACCCACAAAACTCGCGTTTTCCTCCGCCTCTCCGGGCATCGCTGGAAAGGGGCTTTTCAAAACCGCTCGACGTAGGCGCTACCGACCCGAGGTACCGGCGATGGGCTGGCTGTCAGTGGTGGGGCTTATCTGACGCTTCGGCCGGAAGCTCAAGAACTTTCGCGACGTCGCAGACGGGTCCAGGGAAAAATCTGGAAGCCGACCAAGCGCGCTTTCCACGTTTCCCGAGTCCGTATTGTCAATTTGGGCATTTAGGGCTACGCCAGCGGGTCTGATCCAGGAAACTCGGCCAGGTGCGATGCCTGGGCGGCTCAGGCGGCACGAATTCGGTCCCGCGACGAACTCGAACGTCTCCTGGCTTCCCAGCCGCGGTTTCGAGGACTCCAAAGCGCGATTTGACCGTCAGCGTACTGTAGTCGATTTCCCCCTTTACCTTTGTAGCGTTTCCGAGGCGATAGAGATGAACTGATGAACTCGGTGACTCGGTCACTCCGCATGAAAAGCGCAAGAAACGAAATAGCCGGTTTGCCCCCTGGTGACGAATCGCGTTGAATGTAATGTCGAAATTTCCGACATTTCGGTTGGCAACTCTGCCCCAAAATCGAAACTAAATAACTGAGGGCGAAAGTAGCGCACGCGTTGACTGCTTGTCGAGGGCTTTGATAGTCACTTTTCGGTAGGCCCGTGAGCTGATAATACGTGATTTCAGTAAGATCCAGTGAAGGTGTGAATATTTGTACTGCAGTTAGTAAAAGGTGGCAATGCTTAAAGTCAAGATCATCGTTGTAGGACCGTGTCAGGTATGCGTCACCAAGACAACGGAATTGTTGTTTCGAAGCTTCAAAAAACAATGCCCGCGACTCTATTTTATTCAATATAATTTGACTTTCTGGTTGCATCCGACATATTTCTGTGCACGGTGTCATGCGTAAAAACATGATCGTTCAACGTCTGTTTTGTTTTGATCCAGTCCGGCAAAACGGTCATCTCCAATTTTCTCGCTGAAGCTACTGAAAATTCGTCCGGAAAATATCAGCCGACTCAAGGCGTGAGGTGATTAATCGCCGATTTGTTGTTGTGGCATCACTGTTAATTATCGTCACGTTGATTTGTCTCTTTCTCTGACAGGATACTGGAGTTTGAAAGTGGTCCTATTTTAGTGAAGGGCCGACAATCCAGGACCGCGGTGGAGCTTTGGGACTGCAGCGGCGACCAAAAGTAAATCAAATGCCCGCACGTCGCCCTTTCTTTTAATTATTTCGATATGTCTTTATTTTTCTGAGTTCAAAACTCATAAAATGCTTTCCAGGTATGAGTTGTGTTGGCCGGCGTTCTCCAAAGATGCTCAGGGTGTTGTCTTCGTCTACAGTCCAGCCCACAAAAACATCTACCGAGAATTCGACTTGTGGTGAGCGCGTATATGTTGTTAATTTATGCCGTTTGTAGCTTATTTGTTATTCTGTTTATTTTACGTTCCAGGTACTCACACTTCGTTCAGTCGCAGGGCCTGAAAGATGCCCAGTGCGTCGTGTTTTGTCATCGCAAATCAAGCGCCAGCGGCGAGGGGCACGTGTCTCAGCTCTGTAAGTCGAGTCAGCGCTGAGTCAAAATTAACAACAAAAATAATTTAAAAAAGATGTGCATATGATTTCAACGAGTCTTAAAAATCGCCCCCATCCCCAAAAATAGCGAGCATTTTTTTTTTTTTTTTTTTTTTTAAGATCAAACATAACTATGGCGAAGCTCAATCCAATCGGGTCTTCAACGGGACCATCCCAGATTTACTTCTGTTTTCAAGGGGAAATTTTCAGTTGGGCTTTACTTTTCGTCTACTTTTAGCACCACAGTTCTCCCGAATCAACTGGGTGTCTACAATCATCGATGACCACGACGATGGCGGAAAAGGCGGAGAGCAGCTGAAGCAGGAGTTCAGCAAGTTTCTGGAGCGGCTGCTGAACGTCGTCAACGAGAGACACGACCAGGAAGAACTGAGCATCATAGGCAATGAACGATGAACTCTCTTCGGTGTTCCACGGGGAACTGTTAGAAAAAGACCTGCACGCATTAAAGTATATATGTCACAGCTCCGTTTCGGTCGACGCGTTTGCTTTGACAAAAAAGTCTCTACATTTTTGTTTGTCATTTTTTTTTTCTCTGCAGTTACGAGATACAACAGGTACACGGCATAAATAGCATCTAGGGACACAAGACGAGTCACGCAAATTTTCTTTACCTTGTCGAAGTAATATTTGTAACACGCGTCGTGTATTTTTTTTTTTTTTTTGTGTGTGTGTTTTTTTTTTTTTTTCTCTCGGAGCTTTATTGGCTTTATTGCATGTCGGAAGTTCGAAACGAAACTTAAATGCGCCGTGTGCAAGCCACATCGATATGGTTAGCACCGTGACGTCGTACGTCGTGTGTTGGTAGAAAATATCTAGGAAAGGGTAAAAATACAGATAAAAATAAGCAATGGGAACACTTTAAACAAAAGAAAAAAAATTTGTTAAAACAAAATTTATAAAAAATAAAAAAAAAAACAATGTAATGTTTGGCTAGGCGGCGCAAGCTGCCGCCTATTACAAAGGGTATAGTTACTATCCAGTGTTGCCAGATTGGGCTATATATAGCCAAATTGGGCTACATTTTTTTCTAGTTGGCGTCAAAATTTCGCGTTTGGCTATGTGGCTATTTTTGGGCTATATCTAAGGGTGCGGCGAACTCTTGACGAACCTCCGGTTCGACGTCGAACTTTGAGGTTCGATTAGTTAATTTTCGAACTTCTAGTCAGTTTCGAAAAAAAAATTGTTTATCTTTTGGCTAGTTGAGAGGAGAGAGAGGAAGGAGGATGGCTTCAAACTTCTACAAACGTCGGGGTTTTCACAATGCGCAGAGAAGCAATGCTAGCAGAGTTCAAGCGGTCTCCCCACAGCGCAGTGAAGCAAATCAAACAAACAAATTGCACTGTTTTTACAGGTCCAGTAGCGCGTCTTCTACCCGGACGTAGACTGAACTCTCCAAACGCAGCTTTGGTGCCCATTGCGAAAATTCTTAGGCATCGCCAACTTTAAGAAATGAAACACAATCAAAAATAACGTGTACCGGAACGGGGGACGCTCATATTCTACACAAAGAAAAATAGACGGGTGGGTTATTGGTAAGAACCTTAGATATAAGGGGTGCTGGTTTGAAACTCCCAGTTCTGGCACTTCTGCTCCTGCATTCTGTTCTTTTACTGTATGGTTATAACTCCCGGGCCTCAGAATACAGCTGTCCATGTATGTTTTCTATTTCTGAAATCCTACAAAGGATGGGTAATTAATTGTTTCAGAAATTTTCATCCTTCTGAAGCATTTTTTTTTATATATCAGGGGACCTAATGCACACAAAAAGTGGCGCATCAGAGGGTTGAAAAAGAGAATTTAACATGTTTTTTGCGCGTATGAAAAATTGTCAATAAAAGGCTTAAGAATCGTTCTTTTTAGTCTTGGCTATTTTGGGCTATATTTATTTTATGGCTTTGGCTATTTTGGGCTATATTTATTTTATGGCTTTGGCTATATTTGGGCTATACCTCCCAGCCGTTTGGCGGTTTTTTGGTGGGACCATCTGGCAACACTGTTACTATCCATCCGTGTGAGTTACGTCACCATCGTTGCTGTTCGTGTTGTTGGTTGTATACATACGTCACGTTTTATCACGTGCTATGCTTTGGCTGCTTCGGCTGTTGTCTGTTTATTCCGTAGAGATCAACGTTACGTAGGGGTCGGTTTAATCTCGGCTGGGTTTCGGGCACTTTGGGAAAGTTATGCTGTCGGTGAAGCTACTGTCATGCGTACGGTCTGGATGCCGTTTGCAGCGCGTTCCTTGTCTAGACGCTGTGCATCTTCGATGCAGCTCGTCCTTCTTCACGGAGCAGCATGAGGAACTTCGCCGAAGTGTCCGCAAAGTAAGTTCACAGCCCTTTTTTTTCCGTCAGCCGGCCGAAATTCAAGTACGGCGTAATTCAAGTTTGAGTTTATAAAGGGCGAGCTGCGAGCGTGTTTACGATTAACACCCACGTAACAGCGTTGTAATGTGTCACGGAATCAGATCCTCACAGGTCAGAGGAAGCGGCAAGCAGTAAATAATGTTCGCCCAATTCCCCCCCCCCCCCCCCCCCCTTTTTTTTGTATTTGTTGTATTAACGTATTTTTGCAACCTGCAGTGCTAGCGGCGTTGTTTGTCGAACGATAAGGTGCTCGAAGTTGGCGGGAAGGACTCGAGAAGGGACCCTCTGTAAAGTAATGACAAGCGGCGCGGGTGAGTGAGAGGGTAAAGTGGGGGAGAAGGGACAACTATGTCGCGAAAGTGTGGACAGTATGAGATATCGGGAACAGCTTTTGTAACAATCAGGGAAACTGGAATACCCTTCGAGAGACTTCAGCGAGGGACCTCGCTGAGCAGCCCCTCGCTGGCCTTGCAGACGTCCTGCAGTTACGTTGACCGACGTGCTCTCATTGCAGATAGTAGAAAAGGACATCAATCCGTACGTCGACCAATGGGAGGAGGCCGGGCAGTTCGACGGCCGCACGCTCTTCAAGAAGATGGGCGATGCTGGTCTGCTGGGGATCACGCGTCCCGTCGGTGAGCTCTAGATGTTGCTGTGAGGCGAACCAAGCAAAGATGTGTCTGCAGGGTGCATGTGACCTTCGATGAGGTTTGCTGCGGCCAGCTTCTTTTTTCGGATGTTCCCTCATCAGGCGATGCTCTTAAATTAGTCACCATGCGACTGGCCCACAAGGTTTGACATAAGTGGAGTGTCTATGAGACTTCAAATGGGGCATTAGTTGTGAGACCAAGGTTAAATGAGAGTGCGAAGGTCAACTATCCTTTTGGAACCCCCAAACATTCTTAGTAGCAGTCCTTCTTGAAGATAGCATATCTGAACATGTTAGTATCGCCTTCTCTTTTGAACTTATGTTTGCTCTCAGCTGAGGTTTACCTCGGTGACTGCTACATAAAGTCAACATTACAGATGTTGTCAAGCGCTTAACAATTGTGATATTCCTCATTTCCAAAGCAATCACTACTGGTCCACTATTTTCCTGGTTAAGCAGGGTTCAGGTGGTAATGTAGCTACTTTCCCTATCCTGTGAGGCTGTCGTCCCTGATTAATCTTCATGGGTGCAGGTAGGTCCCGAAAACGTCTAAGCTTATCCCTGCTATAAAGTAACACATTCAACCTCCCTACTGGAAGGGAAGAGATCAGAATGTTTCATTGTGATACTAGGTTGTAGAGTCGTTCTAGCGCTACGTTCGGAGCATTTCTGCACTTTCCCTCCATTCTGCAGTCCTTTGTTCACTTGTGGCATGTGAAATGTGTCTGTGTGAGCAGTTCAGGGGGTCACTGTTGTATTGCCAAGAGCCACTGTAGTATTAATAACGCGACAGGTTGTTCTTGTAACGCACTGGCTCTCATGCACATCATGGTGGCACCATCCATTGGTAGCATTTCAAAGCAGATTTTAAAGGGACCATCAAAAAGAAGCTGGTGGTTGGGAAACAAAGGACCCTTCTCCTCCACATGCAATATATCTTATCAGGAAGACAACAGATCCCCCCTGCCATGTCTCACGGTCCTGACGTCGTCATCGGCCGCAGTGGTTTTCACTTTTTTCGTTTCATTCCTTGTGAGGCTTAACAGCCTTGTCGTGTTCAACCACCGGTAAACCTGACTTAAGCAGATCGTCCGTCGCCCAGGGGTAATCCTTCCCTGTTCATTTCATCAAGTGGCAACACCGTCTGGTCAGGGGTCGAGACAAGTGTTGAATTAAAAAAGGGTTGCAAGCTTTGTAAAACTCACTTTTCCTGGGAACAAAGAAATTGGTGAACACTTGTGCTACTCGTAAAATGAAACACTACGACACTTGAGGTTTGACGTCAGAGCCACTAAGGTGTCACTTCAGAGCAGATTGGCTGAATGAATGGTAAAGGTGCAAGTGCGCACCATAGAGTCCGCATAGGCATTCTGTATTAAACCGAGTAACAGACCGGACGGAAATTTCATATAATTTTGGAGTCAATGAGGGTGTATCAAGTAGAGAGCATTACATGAACTTCTTAATCAATTTTATTGAATGCAAACTAGGACTGCTGCATGATGGCAATTGAAGAACACTTCTAAAATCGCGTGCCCAAGTTTGAAATCCAGGGTACGGCAGAACTGCATGTGTATGCATAAACGAGTCCCTGCATTGGTGTGACTGCCTGAACTTCTTGTGCATTGTTATTGCACACAAACTTGCACCGCCTCGTTGTCACTGAAGAACACTTCCAAAATCGCGCACTCAAGTTTCAAGCGTGTGACTCCATCTAGTTTCACGCCCGTGGTTTCGACGGCTTAATATTCACCTAGCTTTACTCGTTTTATCGCCCAAGAACCTTTCTGGCATAATTAGCAAAAACGCTTTGTTTTATTGTTTCCATTATAAACAGTCTCATGTTTATGTTTCTACGTGCTTTCCTGGTGTCATGTAACGACGTATTGTCACGTGACGTCATAGTGTCACATGACGTTGTGACATGAAGTGACTCACGGTGTCATTGGACATCATTAAAGGGACAATAACACATTAAAAGAACTCACAAAAATTTTTAAAAATTTTATTTCTTTTTAGGAAGACTACCCAATCAATATTTTGCTAAAGCATCACATATATTTTTAATGCCAGAAAACGCAACTGCTCGAAACAGAAACTGGACTGGGGAGGAAGGAGAAACATAGGGGAGGGAGAAAGTTAACAAAAATCACGTGGCTGTGTAAAATATATTTTTTTTAATCAATGTATCTGCAGCTTTTTAGAAGCTACAAAAAATTGGTGTCATTTTTTTGTGTATTTTTAGTATTGAGTGTATGTTTTCAATGACCCACGACTTTGATTATCTTTGGTGGTTGTGTCTAAACCATTCGCAACTTTCATCATTGGTGGTAATGCGGTGTGAGAATCGCGCTCCCTAGCGCTTCACAATAAAGGTGCTTGCCAACACCTTCCTGCCATGAAAAAATAAACTAAGGCTCTAATACTGTTTATATATAGGAAAACTATAATTAGTCATGTGCCGCAGACGTAGCCTCGTACTGTTGTTCTACGACGATCATCCAGAAGACAGCCATTTTCATAGGCACCAGTGCGCCCCCTATAGGTCCCAAAAGTTGTGAATAGAAAATGGCACGTGACTACGAAGAGGAGATTGAGTGCGGCTCAAACTGGCTAGTTCTCGATCAGAGGCTTTTGTGTGGAAAGAAAACAAACTTCGAGCCGCAAATTGTGTTCTGGGTAGTTGGGCTCTCATATGTCATGTACAAATAAAAACCTTGGCGAGCATAAATACCCTTTCAATGTCCCTTTTAGTCACGTGGCATCACTGTGCAACGTGACGACATGACAATGTCATGTCAGGGTGTCAGCTGATGCCGGTAACCGGTGACATGATGCACGGCGTGATGTCGGAGTCATGTCGACCGGCATTACGTCAATGAGGAATCTTCTGGCGGAGTGCCAAAAATGGTCCTCACTGATATAGAGCGCAGTCGACGGCGCGAAACCCGCAGTGTCCCACTAACTGCTATCGCAGTAAAACTGATGCCTGTTCTATGGTTTTTGAACGTGAAGTGTTTATTCTCAGCATTAGTTGGTCCAAGTGAAGAAATTGCCTCATGGTGCCTTTAGGAGTTGCAGGGCTGGGCAGTCACAGTAAAAATCGCTTCATGGTGCCTTTAGGACTTTAGACCACTACATAGGTGTCCCTCCTCATGTCAGCGAGAGGTCCCACCGTTTGCGAGCCGTCTGCCACGGTTCTGACGAGGCGGATCTGCTCGCAGAGTTTGGTGGGCTGGGCCTGGACTACAGCTACACGGTGGCCTTCCTTGAGGAGCTTGCCGCTGTCAACGCGGGTGGCGTCGTCAGCGGCATCCTCGTCCACACGGACATGTGCACCCCGGCGCTGTCAAGGTTTGTCTCCCGGCCCGTCCTACGTTTGTTTTTAGAAGGAGAGTAACGGGCTTGAGTTTAGGCAGATAAAAGATGTGGCGCCAAAGCGGGGTTGGTTTCTCTTTGTGGTCATGTTGAAAAAGGACTTGCACAAAGCTTTTTTCTTTTTTTTGGTAAACACAGGTGTTGCGGGTGTTGTGTTTGTTCTTGTTTTGTCTACCTTCATCCCAGTGTTAATTTGTTTCTAGCTTTCATCGTTTCACGAGTCGAGTTCGAATCCCGGTCGGGGTGAGGAGATGGCGCCGTGTCACCAAGATTTCGGTTGCGCAACAAAAAATTCCCAGGTGGTTGAAATTAATCCTCAATCCTGCGTTGGCGTGTGCTAGTGCCACCAGTCAACCTTGGTATTTTCTCTTCTCTTTGAGCTGCCTTTCTTTGTGATTTTCTTTTAGGCTGAGGTTCATTCCAAAGTGCCTGAGAATGAGCAGATGTTGCCCTCTGAATAGTAAAATGGAATTCCTTAAGTTTTCTAAAGTTTCGGCTTAGCATATCACGCTGCGAATTTATTTGCTTTAGGAGTCTTTTCTAGTGTTATGAATGTAACATTGGCAATTTCTGTTCCTCTCCTCTAACAGGTATGGTTCTGATGAGCTCAGGAAGCAGTTCCTAGCCCCGTCCATTGCGGGAGACCTGATCGGCTGCGTCGGGGTTTCCGAGCCAGACTGTGGCTCCGACGTTGCAAGTAAGCTCGACGGGCGACCCCTCAAATGCCATGTAGACTTCCTCATGACCAGGCTCCCTTTGGATTGCACGGCGTTCATACAATCTCCACTCGTCCTGAGTTTGCGGCACGCGATGTATCCTTACCTTGCCGCTAAGGCCAGTCTGACGAAGAATACCCTTCGTCATTTGCTGCACAGGACAAACCACTTTTTCAATTCAAAGGTTTTACCCGTAGTCGCACCGTCCTAAATTACACAAAAAATTTCAGCCTTCAGAATAATGCAATCGATCTATGGAGAGCTTTGAGCTTAAAGTGCCTTGCATTTTTCGTCTCCGTCGTGGCGTTACTTTTATGTTACGTGCCTGGATGCTATCGGCAACCCCAGCCGCACTTTTCTTTGGACGTGCGTTTTTGCCGCCACCGTCGTGAAGTTTTGGTATGCTCACAGAAAGGTAAGATTGTCTACTCTCTTATCTTTGTGCTCTTGCATGGAGCTGGGACAGTACTAAATGACGAAAGCGTCAGCGCTGTCAAATTAGTACTGAATAGTACAGCTTTCTATTCGGGAACTGCACCAACCATTCACAGCATTCACAGTGGCTGAAAGCGCATTTCACTGGAGTTGCCGTTGACAAGCCTGCGGGGGAGAAGCGAGCGGGTGTTCACGTATTTCCGACGGACAGGAGGAAGTGCTGGCTGTAGTTCTTTCCTTTTCACCTCTCGACTGCATCGGCCGTGCCCTGCAATTAACGACCAAGTCCCTTCCGAGTGGAACCAGAAGTCGACTGGCACATTCATAGTCTGCCCGGTGAAATCAACCTCTCATGACCCTTATTTGGCACGAAATTATAGACTAGAGTCGAACCCTGTTATATCGAACAGTGCGAGGACCGTGAAATAATTTGAAATAACCAAAATTCTATATATAAAATCACACCAAAAACGCATCAAAGTGCAGCGCGATTTAATCACTAAAAAGCTAGCGGCAAAACTGACTACTCACGTGGAGCGTTAAGATGAACTATTTATTGCGGCGAAAAAAAACTGCCGCAGCGTAGATTGCTTCTTGGAGATGACCGCATGCCTTATTACGGCCCGTTCCACGGCCTCCAAGCAGTCCACCAGCGCCAGACCACTACCGTTGGTTGCGCTGCAGTAGCGGCATAAAAGCTTTAAAGCAGCCACAGCTTTGCCCGAAGTTGGCGAAGTTTTGTGCTTGGTGGATGAACGCGAAGTCCTTTGCTTTCTGCATCGGCCCCGACACCGTGTTCAGACACCTTTCCGAAGGCCAATGTCTGAACACGGCGTGCGCCAGAGTGCATGCTTCGTTCAGCCTTCGATTTGATATCGCTTTTTGTCTTCAGTAGCGTGCTCAAAGTTCTTCTCCATATGCTGTACGCTTCGGCAACGCCGGACTTCTTTTTTCCTTTTTCAAAGCAGCAGATGATTTCAAGCTTCGTCCCAAACGTCAGCGACGTACGTTTCTTTACGTCTGTTTCCGTCCGTACGCCACACGCAGTTGACGCAACGTCGGAGGAATGAACCCGGGGGAACGAAACTGCGGCACCTACGCACGACGCATGAAAAGAGCGATCGATACTGGCGTTGCATGCGACTGAGCTGACTGAGCGACTGAGCCCGTATGCCGCCGAGACTGGGTGGTGCCCCCGGCACCATAGGCCCATAGGCATAAAGCTTTACGCAGGCATGCGCTTGGAAAAGTCTCAAACGCCTGCTGCGCCGCCGCTATCCTCCGATGTGTTGCGGAAAAGCCCGCCATATCCTCCGATGTGATGCGGGAAAGCCCGCCATATCCTCCGATGTGTTGCGGGAAGGCCTACCGCCTGTCTCCGGAGCGCACGCTTTCCGGGGCTGCGGAGTTCGATATATTAATTTTTTAACCCACCGAGTTTGCTATAAAAAATGTAAAATGCATGTAATTCTTATGACAGTTCGACAACGATTCAATATAAGCAATAATTTTATATATGCTTGTTCGACATAATGAGGTTTGACTGTATTGGGACCCGGGGGGGGGGGGGGGGGGGGGGGGAGGAGGAGGTTAAGAGGATGTGTGGACCAATGGAACGGGGGGGGGGAACGGAAATGGAGTTGTCGAAGTTCCCAAATTCTCGAGAGTTGGCGTTCCTCGAGCGGCAGCCTGACGTATTACGACGAAAAATTGTGGCACCCGGTTTCTTTGCGTCGCAGACATCAAGACGACTGCGGAGTTGAGGGGCGACGACCTGGTGATCAATGGGGGTAAGATGTGGATCACCAACGGCTGCCAGGCGGACTGGATGTGCCTGCTGGCCAACACGCGTCGGGACGGACCCCCCCACAAGACCAAGTCGCTCATCTGCCTGCCCCTGAAAACTCCCGGTGAGTGCGACGGCGCCGCCCCCTCCACCCACGTCACCTCGCTGTGGTTACCCTGGGCAATGAGCGACTGGCGGGAGAACGTACCGTAAAACACGGAGCAAACGCCCACCTATAGAAGTTGTAGATTATCGCTAGAAAATGGGGGCTTGTTAGGCTTGAGACAGAAAAGCTGAAGGAGAATATGATAGGGTAGGCCCTTGCTTGGCCCTTGTTTTACGTGACGGAACGATGTAGGAGCGGGATGCGGGTCTGGTGAAACCCCCAATTTATAGAGCAGCGAAGCTTCACTGCTTTGCAATGGCATGCTCGGAGAAGCAGGCGACGCGCAGAAGCGTTTTGGTTAGCTCGGTGGGCTCGAAAGTCTACTCGGGTGGGCTCTTGGTGCGTGCTTTGCTTAGCTTACAAATGTTTAAGGGTAAGAGGTCATCGATTATTGCGACATGGGCACATGCTCAGTTTTTTATGGTTGTGGCTAATTGCTCTTGGCAGTCACCCGGCTGCTTTGGCACAGAGAAAAGAGTGAGGGACGAATACCCGCGTTGCTTTACGAGCTTCGAGACCAACAGACTACAACATGACCGGCACAAACTGGCTTGTGTGGAAGCATCTGTTTGATTGGGATTTTATTGATCGATAGTTGTATGGACTTCTGATCCTCTGTTTAGCTTATTTTCCCCTAGATTTTTTATTGCTTTTTCTCTTCCACGATGCAGATTGCCAGCACACCCACAGTGTCAACCTCTTCATGAAACTCAGGTCGTCATGAAAACTTGTTGATGAAACTTTCTGTTAACGAAAAGGGAAAGCCTTGTACGTCTGTCCCTTTTCGTTTTGGTGCTCAAGAATAAGTGTTCTCATTCTGGGTAGATATGCTTTGTACTTACTTGCGAATCTATTCCCCCGCTCCCCATCTGCAAAGGCCTTGAGGGTAATTAAATTACATGAAATCACTCGAGTTTTTAAAATTATTCGAAGGGAGTCGCCGCTTCCGGTGTGTGCAGGGGTGACAGTGGCCCGTAGCATCAAGAAGATGGGGCACCACTCGTCAGACACAGCGCAGCTCTTCTTCGAAGACGTCCGGGTGCCGGCCAAGAACATCATCGGCGAGGAGGGCATGGGCTTCATCTACCAGATGCTGCAGTTCCAGGAGGAGCGGCTCGCAGCCGCCATCAACAGTGCGTGCATTCCACACCCTCGGTTTGCTCTCTTTATGGGGCGGCTCTTGCCGCTTGCGTGTCCGTAGCATGCGGCCTCAATGGTAGTGTCACGGCGTTCAAGCGACGTCATCGGCATTCTAAACGGTTCACTTCGACGTCATCACTTCGACGGCACGATGGCATCACTGTGTTCACATGACACCGTTACGCCGAGCGACATTATGACGTTCCGTGACACTATCGCGTCGCAGAGAATCTATAAATGCTGTGCATTTGGAGCACTTTTGGGATGTACCAAAGAGACTGGTGGGTTTCCTTCCTTGGGTTTCAGTAGAATCTTGTTTATGCGTTCTGGGTCGGTACGTTTTCCCATCTGTTTCGTTCACGAATGCCAGTCCCATAGAACTATTTGTATCCATTTCCCATTAGTCGCACGTGCCTTCCCGGTTGTTCTACGTCCAAACGCTACCACCTGCCGCGGCCACACTTGGGAAACGATGCAGCTTGTGCTCTGGCACTTGTATCTGGCTTCACTATTTTGCACCGGCACGTGCGACACAGTTCGTCACTTTGAGACGGCATGCTGGGTGCAGTTGCTGGCAGGAGGGAGCATAGGGCTCCGAGATCTTGCTCACTCTTGTAGGTCAACATTGTTTGGTTAGAATGATAGGTCAGCTCCCAATTTTACAGAACAGTTATTAGAAAAAAATTTTTACTTACTATATTTGAGTAAATTTGATGGTTGTCCACAGCCGCCAAAGTTCATGCGAGATAAAACGTTGCGCAAGAGTTGCTTCCTGTATGACCTTCCTTGTATGTATGGCCTTCAGGAGCGTTACGGATTGGTAGGTGTTTTCTCGAATCGTAAATTGTTTTACTGCGATCCCACGAAAAATGTATGTATCGAGGGGGCTCTATTGTACTTATTTCCCGCTTGTTTGATTCAGATAGGTATTGCAAGGCTGGGGAGGAAAAGATCGCTCGTAAAAAGGAAATCTTAGTATGGTAGTTTATAGTCAGACCAAGGAAGAGGCGCCTGTGACGATGAAAGCAATGACCAAGGAGTGGTTTGTACAACCTGGGTGGGTCTCTGGCAGGAATGCCTTTGGGCACTACCTTCCTGGAAAGCTTGATGCACAAGACTGAAGTGACCTTCAACAACGACTGTTGAGTACACAATCCAGGCCAAATGTCTGCATTTGTGATCCGTTCCCTCTTACCTCGGTTTTGTACTGAAGGGTGGAGGTAAAGTGCTGGCACTTGTGGCCTTCAGAGACACTCTGTCCTCGAAATGATTGCTTCATCGTCCTTTCGAGGTTTAGAATGGTTGGACACAGTTTAAAGCTAGGAACTTTGTGATATAAAAAAAAGCCCATTTCTCTCAATTGTTGACTGAAGAACCCCTGCTGGTTTTGTCACCAATACAATCGGGCAGTCCAGAAGCCTACAGGCCTTCTAAACAGTCGTTCACATACTAGACAAAATTGGCTCGTAGTTATGCATCATTGAGTGACTTAGACCTTTTAAAAAAGCGCAGAAAAAATGCTTTATACGTGAGGGCAGAAGTGGTCGAGAAAACTCGGGATCTCGGGGAGCCAGTGCGAGAAGCCGCGACTTGAAGCGTTAACGACATCCCCGCTCGATCAATGAGACTTCTCCCGTCCCGACCGCAGGCGTGCCCGTGATGGATCGCATCATACAAGAGACGATGGACTACTGCCGGCAACGCAAGGTGTTTGGTGCCCCACTGATCCAGAACCAGGTGATCCAGTTCCGACTTGCGGAACTGCAGACGGAAGTGGAGGCCCTCAGGGCCTTGTGCTACAGGGCCGCCGGTTCGTATGCTTTGCCTCCGTTTTGTCGGCTCCACGGGTTAGTCTAAAGTCGATTGTAGCACGAATGCCGATCGCAGGGTTAGTTCAGGCCCACAAACCTTAGTTAAAAAAAAAGAAAGTAGTTTTTGGGAGATGGTATTTCTTATACTCTGTTGCATGTTACGGGGGGACACTAACTAGAGATTTAACTCCTGAACTACTCAAGTGATCAGAATAAAATTTGCACGGGAGATTTAATATCTGATGTATGTGTATTGTGGAAACTTTCAGCTCTTTAGGGCAATTTTACATACCTACATAAGAAGATGTGTTACTCTTTATTAAGAAACCTATGATATGCAAATGAAGCTATTAAGCACCATTTTGACTGCTTGCATATAAAGTGGAAGATGTGGGATTTCTGGTGATCTAGTTTTTATAACCTAAATGTAAATATTTGAAGAGTTGTTACCTCACAATATGAGATGCATATCTGTCCTATGTCAATTTTTGAAAACATAGTTTTTTTCTCAATGAGGACTTCAACTTAAAAGAAAATAAGAAATAAGGTAGATAGCCCGATTACTCAGTAAATTTCAGTTGAGAACCAACTTGATTGTGGTATTGGAATACTTTTACCTTCGGACAAAAGATTCCTTCGTATGAAATTTGCAGCAAAAAGTGGAACCGTGAAAAATGCATTCAAACATTGAACTTCTTTACCGTATTTACACGGCTGTAAGTCGACTCGATTGTAAGTCGACCCCCCCCCACCCCCAAATTGCACATCGGCAAAAAAAATCTTTAGATGTGCATTTTATTGCGAATACATGAGAACAACAAAGTATCTCTTTCGAAAGCCCAGCCTCCAACATGTGATCGATGCTTTCTGGCTTGCTTTAGCTTTTAGCTGCGCATGCACGAGATGTCCAGGCGCTATCGAAACTCGGAAGTTCACACTGGAGGAGGGACAACTGAAGCTGCTCACTGTCGTTCTCACGTCCGCGACTAGACTGATTAGACTACAACTCTTCCTTACTGGTGATGTCAGTCCCGTCGTCATCACTGCTACGTTCTCAAAGCACGTCGTCGGCGTCGTCCAACGAAATCTCGCACTTCGCAAACGACTGTATCAACCGCATCTTCCGCGCTTGCTCGGCGATTGCGTTGCACGTCACGGGTAGGGACCGATTGCGCACTTTTGCGGCGTACGTTGCAAGGTTGATCACCAACTCCAAAAGGCATGCCCACCTATCCAGACTTAGGCTTTGGCTTTGGTCACACTTTAAGATCCCGCGCCATTGCACTCCACTGGAGCATTAACCGCTCCGACGGGTCGAACTTGCGTCCCAACGGCACAGTTGTTGGTTGCTTCTGGTTGAAGAATGGCCATAAACGTGCACCGAAAATTTAAACTGCCCGGTTCACGCTTGTCAATACAAAAAAACGGGCTCAAGCGTGATCTCGACACTCGATCGAACAACGTGCACCGTGCGAAAACTGCGAAAAGAAGCCGCGGGTAGTGAGCCAAGTGAGCTGTGAGGCTGTTCCAGAGGCCTCCTGAGTGGCTCTTACAAGAAGTGCCGCCACCCCCCAAATCCGGGCCCGTCGCGCGCTGTTCAACGCTGTACATTCGGGTTAATTTGCGAATCGCAATCAATAATACTCGTTCGCCCAAATAAAAAAAGAATTTGTAAATTGCACGCAAAGAATTGCGCAATGCACGAGGTACAGGCGGCTGAACCCGTAACAAGCCGAGATGTTCTTGATATCGTGATTGTTTCGTTTTTATCGGCGGTGGAATGGTTTGGTTCAATTATAAGTCGAACCCCCCCACTTTAGATTTTCAAAAATTGAAAAATGGGTCGACCTACATTCATGTAAATATGGTACTTTGTTACTGCCTCGCAATATGTTGAAATAATTTTATATCAATGTAACTATTGGGCATATGGTTATCAAATTTAGTGTAAGGGCATATAATTAGTTTCTGAAACGGAAAACCTCAAATTTGAAAAATGAATTTTTTCAAAACAATTTAAAAGTGAGGCTTATGTCCCCCCTTAAGAAAAGCAGGACAAACTGCTCTTGCAAAGCCTTCCACCCTTGCCGCTTTGACAGAGCGAACGCTGGAAAGGAGGCAAGCAGAGTCGTCTCTTCTCTTACCTCCTCTCCACCATTCACTCTGCAAAGTGAGAAGAGGGGAGGGCTTTATGGAAGGAGCTTATCCCGCTTTCCTTAACCTGCGGCCAAGCATAGTGATGGAGCAGTTGGAATGTAGGCACACCAGTATGACACGCCGCTCTGGCACTGGCATCGCCCTCCGACGGATCCGACGACGTTGACCCTAGCCGCGCCGTTCCCTCCCGCTCGCAGCGCTGATGATGGAGGGCGAGAACGTCACGCTGCTGGCCTCGATGGCAAAGCTCAAGTGCGGCCGTCTGCTCCGCGAGGTGGCGGACTCGTGCCTGCAGTACTGGGGTGGCATGGGTTACTCGCACGAGGTGCTCATGTCGCGCTCCTTCCGGGACGCCCGGCTACTCTCCATCGCCGGCGGCGCTGACGAAGTGATGCTGACCATCATCGCCAAGATGACCGGCTCGGCAGACAAGTAGCCCCTCCCACGGCCTCCCGTTAGAAGGGGATCGTCACGCGCCCGAGGTGGCGGAGAAGTAGGATCGGTTTGGTGCTGTGATAGCTGGTTCCCAATGTGGGAAACTTGCGTGGAATGTGATAAGAGTCAAAAAACAGAAAAACCTAGAGTTTGGATGGCAGTCGCCGAGTTTCCTTTACCGGAACGATATTTACGCGATGTGGCATACGCTTGCAGTGAATGCTGTGAACCGTATTCCCAGGACCACTAGAGCAGAATGGTAGGGGGCCCTCTTTGGTGCTTCGGTGTTTATACCACGTTCCATGCACGGTGCACAATGCCGCCGAAACAACCGGTGCTGGTGTGCCACCTTTTCTCAGAGCGTCCGCGCAAAAAAGATGGGAGATCAGGATGCGCGTTTGTGGTGTACGACTGAATCGGAGTTTCCCCTCCCAGGGCAGCTTTTCAATAGTGACAAACGTTCATGATACTGGAACACGGGCATGTTTTACAAGGATATGGACTGCTGATTGCGGCTCTTTTACTTCCCGGCGAACTACCGCTTTTATTGCCTATAGTTCCTAGAAGTGTGCCGTGCTACTCGAAGCAGTATTTGCAGTTAAAATGCGAGCCACGTCACTCGGGAAGGTGGTGATGCGCAAACAGGCGCCGTTTTAGCTTGCTAATACTGCGAAAGCTGGATGTTTGTGACAGAAGGAGTTCAACAATGGTGCCACCTCGGTTTTAGTCGCGTTCATCTTATATTGTAGCGTAATTGTGTCGAATGTATATATGCGTTAAAATAAAGGGATACTATATTGTTAAATCTCGTCTCAATTTCTCTTCCTCCTCAACTACTCGTTTTTAACTAAGGGCAGATTACCTCTCATTTTCTTAATTTTAAGATGTCGTGCATTGTACAGCAAGAGTCATTGAAGCCAATAATGTGCTTGAGCCTCTTGTTGGATGGAGTGGCGTGCCAGCCTCGCAGCTCTGGTTTGGCTGGGACTGCTCGTAGCATTGGCTCCTGACAGTGTCCTTCAAGTAATGTACAAAGTAAATAAGAGCTTATGTACTTCAAGTAAAGTAGTACCGTAAAATACCGGGCAAGCGCCCACTCAAAATTGAGAGATAATCGTGGGGTGGGCGCTTGTCTGGTCATCAATTTTACAGGTAAATGTACGGTGCATATTTTTCATATCTTAAACATCTGGGAGTGGGCACCTTGTGTGAAATAGGCGGATGCAGGGTATTCTGCTGTAGGGTAGTACACGGGGTGCAGTGTGCTTGCAGTAAGGTACTATAAATACAATGTAATTTCAAAGTAAAGTACAGGTAATTTTTAACACAATCTTTCATGATGCCCTTTCATTCCCCTATACAATGTGTAATTTTTTTTTAATTGTTATGCATTGTTTTAAGGGTAATTGGGACTGGATCAGTTATTTTCTGAAATTGTGGCAAATATTGGATGAAGGCAACTGGCCACAGAGTAGTTAATTTCGGTAATGGCATGAAATTTGGAAGTCCCTCCGACTTCTGAATTTGACGCCGCTTGTACTGGCTTCCACTAAACGCACTAAAGAAGAGCATGATGTCGTCCCCGTAGCTTCCACAAGCAATTGTCTTGTGAGGAGTATCGTGTAATATTTTTAACCTCGCTTGCACTGACCGAACGAGAAGTAGTGAGAGTTCCAAATGGGAAGGGGGGGGGGCTGGGGGGGGGGGGGGGGGGGGAAAGCCGTCCGCAGTATAAACGGAAGGATGCGTCGTCTGCTTGCGTTTTTTGTGAGAGTAGGCTCCCAGTGTTTCTTTAGAGTTAACAAAGCATCGTTTTGTCCTACAAATTTAATGAGACCAAATTTTGGGAATGTACGCACTTTGAAGTCGGGAGCTGTACTTCTTTCGGAAAGTACGTACCAGAAAAAAATGCTTGGGAGATTGTACTTCAAGTAAAGTAAAAGTTTTCTAAACCTGCTTGAAGTACTAGTACTTAAGTACAGTCATGGGCACGTTACTGCTAAAATGTAACAGTGTTACTCGGGTAACACTGTTACAGTTACAGTGTTACAGAGTTACTCGGGTAAAAAAAGTAACCCTGTTACAGTTACAGTTACAAAATTGAAAGAGTAACTTGTTACAGTTAGTTACTTCTCTAAAGTAACGCCGTTACTTTGTCGTTACTTTACAAAGAAACATGAGAAAACATTCAAAATGGACGTTCTTTTATATGCCTTTAAATTAGCATAGATTTCTTATAAGACACTGTGTTGTTCACGGTAGTGAATCTGATATCTTGAGAAACCAAGATTTTCTTAATAATATTAATATATTTGGTTCTTCCTTTTTCAATTTTTACTATGAATAGCTCAGATCATAATTTAAGGCAGTATCCGAGTAAATCTACTTACGATAAAGGATTGGAGTCTCTTGGTTGGAAAAGTTACAGGGGACTTTAGTCTTTCAAAATTTTAGCGTAGCAAAAAGCTGGTCTATAAAGAACTTTAAAATAAGAGCGACCACCATAAGTATGGTGCCTGGATCGCGTCTTCGACTGGTGTGTTTAGCGTCCTATCCCGCCCATACATCAAAAGTGGTCCCGATGTGGCAACAAATGACGCGAATGTCATGCTGTTGCCTGTCGCGATCTTGGCGGTTGGTCGTAGAAATGCTGGCGAAAAGCACGAGCGAACGCGAGTGTCGCTGTCGTCACGGAGTCCCTTTAGGCATCCCAACTCCGGTTGCTCTAGCTTCCGTGGACTGTCACAGTGGAAAGCGACCTGCAGCAGAACAGGCATCTGCCACATACACCACAGCTGTTGGGACGCCGCCAGGATCGCGACTGGCGACAGCATGACACTTTTATGACGTCATCAGGCGGAAATCGAGGGACCACTTTTTTGGCCGCGGTAAACACACCAGTCGGAGACGCGTTCCAGGCACCTTACCATAAGGTATACACGAACACAACGGCACACGTCCAGATCTCGTGTATATCCAATCATGGTGCCAGTTTACAATCGGTCAATTCTAATTTCGGACTTTTTTTATAAGGCTAAATTGGACTGAAGCAATATAAATCGTGCAAATGTGAAGTCTTGCAATCAGCTTCGTAGATGTCTTCTTATGCCACTCTGATCCACTCGTTGGTCAAATCGTTTTCTACTGGGTGCCCACAATCTTTCATGAAACGCGAAGCTTTTCTTGAAAACTTGGAGAGCAATGTTGCGGCTACATTCCTCCGTCAAAATAAGCCCTGATCGAGGTACAAACGACCACTGCGCGTGGCATTCCAAACGGCTGTTGCCTTTCCTTCGTCGCTTCCTAACCAGATCGAACTTGCTCCTCTATCTGACCACCCGAAATAGAAGAGACCACCCGGAAAGCCCACGACTTGAATATCTATAAGTCAACTGATGCCAAGTGCCCCTGGTCCCAACTAAGGGCGGTCTTTCAATTACAAAAACACACAGACAAACATTCAGAACGATACAGTCGTTTCGAGCAGATACTCTCTCTCAAGTGAAAGGACCCGAGAAGGGAGAAGTGGGTGACGGGAGGCAAGGCCAATAATTAATTTGTAAAAAAAAAAAAAAAAAAAAAAAAAAGGAAGGGAGAGAAAACGGGCCTGAAGTCGAGACCCCGCAAGAGTGCATCTGGGAGGTGGACGATTCCAATTAGAGGGGAAGGAAACGTATGCTTGGCAACAATAAGACGCCCGTAAGCCTGCGGGCGTTTGGGGTGACCATCACCAAAAACTGTCCTCTGCAAAAAGCACTCGCTCCCTCCGCGGGACGAAGAAAAGAGAGATGCTTTAAAGATGCCGCGCTTTGTTACATCTTCATGCGCTGTGGGCATACATGGCTGGTACGGACACAAATGTCCCCATCCTCCCAGTTGGCGGGACTAGCTTGGCTGTGCAGTGTCAAACAATTTAGTTTCTTTATATTTTTCCCTCCTGCTCCAGACGTTTCCTGCAGCAGTTTTTGCTGTGCCCTTCCCGCACCAGGGCTTGGGACTCTCTCACGAGTTGCAAGGCGATTTGGTGGTCGTGTTCCCATAAATCTGAGAAGTAACTGTAACGACGTTACTTTTTACAGTTACTCTCGCAAAATAGTAACTCTGTTACAGTTACAAGTTATTTCCACTAAGCAGTAACACGTTACAGTTACAAGACACTGAAAAAAGTGTTACCGGTAACGCGTTACTAGTAACTAGTAACTGCCCAAGACTGCTTAAGTACTATGTCCTCAAAGTACGTACTTCCCAACACTGGCCGCGAATGATGCGCTTAGCCGGGTAACCGGATGTTGAACGCAAAGGAGCTCTGCAGTTTCAGGGCCCATAAGCAGTAGACCAGAAAGAACAAGAAAAGTTAATGCAGTGATAATTAAGAATTAAAACACTGAGGCAAAAAAAAAAAAAAAAAGAAGAGACATACACACCACCGTCTCAAGATGGCGGTGTGAATGTCCCTTTTGTTTCCTTGTCTCGAGGTTTTAATTCTTAATTATGATTGTTCACCAGCTCGCCTGCATTTTGACACTTATTTCAGTACTAATGCAGCGATATAAACTTGGCTTACGCAAAGCATAAAGTAAAAATAGTGGTCAATTTCAATGTTCCGACGAGTAGAGCGACAGGAAAACGGTACAAATATGTATTTCACAGCGTCTCTCCTCAGCGCATGGTTTGTTTCATGTTGGCTCGGAGCAAGGTCGAAGTCTCTGAACTCGTGCATCCATGGACAGACATACTAAAAGTGCAGCCGATGAAAGGACACGTAAGGAAGGATGACAAATGCCACGATGTCGCGCTTTTGACGCAGTTCCATTGGTCCCATTGGTTGGTGGCGTCGGCTGCAGTTCGACCTAAAATAAAATAAGTTATAGAAGTCATTTTGTGAACCGCGCTGGTCCCCTCATCGTCTGAATTTCCAGACGATGTCGGTAATGTCGGGACCTAAATGTCGCGAGCAAATTTTGCAAAATAGTGGGATGGCAACTACCGTAATAATGCGAAACCATCTTTCTTTTTTTAATGAGACCATTTGATTCTTATTTTTGCCACATGCCTTCCTGCCGTGGCAGTCGTACGTACTTGATCCGCTTGCGTCGATCTTCACCTCCTCACATCGGCACACGCGCATCGAGCTTCACCGCTTTGCACCGGAGTGCGAGGAGCAGCGGCTGACATGGGTGAGCACCTGGGTAAGGGCCGATAAGCTCCGTAATCATGTTCAGTACTATTATAGTATAGGTCGACCTTCTTCAGTCTTGGCTGTAAGCTAATCTCTAATTAAGAAAAAAAAAAAAAAAAAAAAAGCTGCCTAGAAAGAGTAAAAAAATTCCAGGTTTATGTTCGAATAAATTTGGAAAATGCCTTATAAAACGCAAATGGGGGCTTTCTTTATATTGGTGGGTGGTTGTTTTTGCGGTATATGATATCAGAATCTTGAGTCCGATAAATTCATAAAACTTGGGGGAGGGGGGGGGGGGGACATTATTGATAAACATACCATAATGAAAGTCCGACCTACACAATCGTCTTCTACCGGGGAAAAAAAAAACGGTTCCCAGTTACCTTTTCTCCGTTCCCACTCGCCCACTTTTCCCCTCCTCTCCACACAGGACCGGATCTCTGAACTACTCCCGGTAGAGAGAAAGAGGGTCTCCCTCTTTCTCAAATGGAACGGAGGAATTGAGGGAGTGTTTCCTTCTTTCTGCTGGTTTCTGCTGACATTTGACGAATAGTATTTACAGGCCACCACCGCTATGAAAAGGGAGGGGGAGAGATGTTTTATCTCAACTGAAATGTTGAGCTATG